CGATGTCAGCATACCAACGGGCCTCTCACTCAACGGTCGCTTGTTTGTCTCCGTCAAGGATCACCTCGATGCCTTGGTAAGCTTTTGCCAGTTCAGTTCGGCTGACCATTTGTTATCCTTGCTTATTACACAGACCCAGCTGCAGGAGCAGGAGTGTCCCACTGAGGGAGTGGACATCGACCTGGAGATATTGAGCACCAAGGAGCTGGCCTACCACATCACCCTGTTCGAGTGGGACCTCTTCTGGGCCGTTCATGAATACGAATTGCTTTACCACACCTTCGGGCGACATCACTTTGGCAAGGTAAGAAGACCAACTTTGCCGAAAAGTCTCAAAAGTCTCGTTTGGGTAATTAGCCTGCCAGACACTGACCGCAAAGCTCTTGCCATTTGTCATCTGCTTGCAAATTAAGTTAGCCAAGAGTTTTGCCACTCTAAGTAATTAAAGATGGCCCGAAACTATGGGCCTTAACTTTTGGCTGGCCTAACTTCCACATTGCTCGAATTCCACTTTCACATCCACAGATCACTGCCAACTTGGATGTCTTCCTGCGCCGCTTCAACGAAGTCCAGTACTGGATTGTCACCGAACTGGTATCAACGCCCAGTCTGAGCAAACGCGTAGGTCTGGTCCGGAAGTTCATCAAGTTGGCCGCCTAGTAAGTATTAATCATAAAGATATAGGCCTAGATTTTTGATCTTCCTTATTGATACCTATATAACATTGTACTATATCATTTTAATGTACAATTAGAAGCAGCAATTAGAAGTAATCTAACCCAAAGCACTACCTTTATGAAATCCAATCCATTCTAGCTGCAAGGAGTACCAAAATCTGAACGCCTTCTTCGCCGTGGTAATGGGCCTCTCAAATATGGCGGTGTCCCGTCTACAACAGACCTGGGAGAAGATACCTTCGAAGTTCCGCAAGATCTTCCAGGAGTTCGAGGCCCTGATCGATCCCAGTCGTAACCACAGGGCGTACCGCGTGTTCGTGGGCAAGTTGCAGCCGCCGCTAATCCCGTTCATGCCGCTGCTGCTGAAGGACATGACCTTTGCCCATGAGGGCAACAAGACCAGCCTGGACGGACTGGTGAACTTCGAAAAGATGCACATGATGGCCCAGACGATGCGCACCATCCGCTTCTGTCGCTCCAGGAGTCTGGGTAAGTACACCAGCCCACCACCCCGAAAGTAATTTTCTCATTGAGTTCGATTCGGAACAGGTCTGGAGCCGCCGTCGCCGAAGAGCGAGGGCGAGGTGAGGTCGTACATCAGCAGTTTCCGCGTCATCGACAACCAGCGGGTGCTCACCGCCATGTCCCAGAAGGTGGAGCCGACCAGGAAGCTCTAAGTCCGAAGAGCCCTGTTATCCGATTAGCTTGTAGCGCGTATTAAGTGTCTAATCCTGAGTGTGTGTTAATCAAACCGCAATTAGCTGCACAGTTATGAGCTTAGCCGGGTTGTTTTCGGGATGCCAAATTGGGCCACGGCCACCACAACCCGGACCAACTTTCATCCGCATTCGCATTCGCATTAGCCTAAGTGACAGTGTACTATACGAGTATCTATGACCCAACTAAGAACTATCTCAATCTTCTAATGAACTGAAACCCAAAACGCATTTCAATGGAAACGAGAAACTTTTTGCTTTAGTACAAAACGAAAGATGGTGAACAAATTTAAAATTCGGGAATCCCGGCGGAAACCGAAGCGAATAAAAACAAAAACTTGGACGTGTGTGATACTAAACATTTAGAGGGAGGCAACATCAAAACAAACAGCACTAAACAGCATAATTTCCCAAAAACCAACTTTACTCTGTAAATCCTGCGCAAGCTAGTAAAAATAATTTGTAAAATTGTATATCGTACCCGAGAGCATGGAATCTATTTTTTTAAAAGCCCTAAACTAAAACCAACTATTAAACAGTCTAGTTAAAGCTAGTTATTAACATGTAAGCTACGTAGCGGATAAGTTATTTTACTTATAGTTTCAAGTTTTTCTTTCATTTGGTAATTTCTTGCCCCTAAGTACTGCGACTAGCAAATAAAATACGAAACCATTTATTAATATTTATTTACACAGACATTATTTGTTTTATTTTGTAGAAAATACAGCGTTTGTTTATGTTTAGTAAGCTTATTAGATATGCATTTTCAAGTGCATGCAAAACATTAAACACTGGAGAGGGACCTTATTAGTTGTAGTCTTGTACATAGATACGTGTAACACCACTTAGATTGATCATACAAGTGCAGCTGTGTTCAAAATATGGATAGTATTTAGAAAGCCATTAAAAAACAACATCTTATACGGTGAATTTCTGTGTTAGGTTGTCATTTTAAAAACACTTTTCAATGGAGTGTCGGAGTTAAAGGACTGGAAGGCAAAAAATCTTGAGAAGTTTAATTCTACTTCATTTTCAAAGTTTTATAATTAAACTATTTACTTTTTAAAATGTTTTTCCCCTTGGGACTAATAACATTTGCAGAGTTTTGATCAATTTTGAGTTGTTAAAGTTTATTGGAAAAAAGCTGCTGTCATTTATTTTAAAAAGTGCTTATTCAATAATGAAATTTAAAACTAGCTATATTTGAATACAGTTGTAAGCCAACCTATACTCGGTACTTGAAGTTTAAGAGGGCAAACTAAATATTTTGTAATATTTTATATGTGGATAATTAGCAGTTTCAAAAAGTTATTTCCTTAATTAAAAAGGTCTTCTAACTTTGTCTTACTATGTGCTTTCAAATTGTTTTTTAAGTAAACTTTTTTGTACTTTTGGTTTTTAAGAAATTCCTTAAATTTCCATTTAAATTTTAAACTCAAGCAATTATATTTGTTATTAAAAATCAATCATTGCCCTTATACTCAAACAAAATAAGTTTGTACCGAGTATCCCAAAGTCGGAAACTCGACTATTATATTTTTCCTTTTCTAAAGTCAACCAACCTCTAGTGAAACCAATTTGTGTAGAAGGAAGTCTTCTAAGAAATATTTATAAGCCCTTTGCCAACCAAAAAGGCACAAATAATTTCCTGTAAGTCGTAGATAATCCTGTACTTGTAACCACCATTTTAACCCAACTCCTCTCCCAAGTAAAGGTCTCTCAAACAACGATTTATCACATAAACAAACGCCATTCCTAGATATAACCAAAACTTTGACCACGAAACGTAGTATATAATTGACGTAATGAATAATATTTTTTTCCATTTACGTAACGCAATCAGACAACCAGTATATCCAACTACAATCCAAGACATTAAGTATCCAGTGGTTTCTCCTTCAAAAAAAACAAAAACTAATACAAGAGCTAACGAATTTTCAATAATAGTTTTATAGATATAGCAAACCATTCAAACGAAACAATATTCTTTAGTTTATAGTTAAAGAGATGTAAAAATTTCGTATTGATTTACAAACAACGTAACACCAATTTAGTATGGTACAGATCGTAAGTAGAGTTGGAAGCCTTTAATTACTTTATCTACACCATGTGCTACGGAAACGGGTAGAATCTATCACAATCATCCACATAGAATTGTGTAGGCGTTATAAACCCGACGCAACTCAACATCCTCTGAGGAAGTTCTTGACAAAACTAGCATAAATGGAATATTAGAGTACATTATATATATATAATTATGAAATGGATCTATATAGATTGTAGATTCTATACTAGTTTTAAGCAAATGTTTCCAACCAGAGGAAACCCTAATGTGTCAAAACCAAGAATGTTTCTATATTTTTGAGTACTGCTACGTTAAAGTAATGACAACAATAAACCACCACCACTGTTGTTATTGTTGTGCACTTTCAATAATACAGATATACATACTATATATATATATATATTAAATATGCAAGTCCTCCAAAAAAAAGGGAAAATTTCAAATTTAACTTGTGATTCGATTTGACAATCTCAAAACATAACTCTACGAACTCTTGATTTCTCAAATATTACCTAAGCACTTTGCATAAATTAAACATCATTGGGTAACTCACGGATGCACAGACACAGACAGATTTATTCATGCTATACGTATATACCTCCGTTACCAAGATATAGCTATACCAATCAATCATAATCAATCAGTAAATGTTCGAGCCGTAACTAGTACTAACCACTAAATGTTCAAATCAGTGTTTACATGTCTAATGCAAAACAATCTTGAAGTTTACTTACCTACCTACCATATAGAAAAATAGAGTAAAAATTCATAGTTCGTAATAGGAACGAAAGAGGCGGCTCCCAAGAGCTCACAAGTAAGAAGACAACACCAACAAACCACTTAGAAGTAATTAAATCCATCGAGCATGGAATAGACATGCATATTGTGTAGCAGAATCAGAGATCTTTTAACCGTACTACCCAGATTACATATTCTAATAGCATGTATATTGCCGTATTGCGAAGGGCGACGTGAGATTTATGCAAAGCAGAGTAAATATTTTAATGGCAACCATAAATGTTGAAACTAAGTGTAAACCAGCATGTATCTTTGAATGTCTAACATTTTGAACTCAACTAATATTCGAATAAAGATTTATGTGTTAGCGAAAAGCTAATTGCCTTTTAATATAATTTTATTTATTTTCAGCAAACTGGAATTCAGTGTAATATTGTATTATTGTCATAGGAAACGTTTTACAGAGGGGATTAAGTCCTACATAAAAGGGGAATCCAGTCCAAATAATATATTTGACTTATGAGTTAAAAAAATCTATTGAATTTGAGAAATAGGTACAGCTAAAGAATTTGATTGGAATGATATTATTAAGCCAATAATTTAACTTTCAATATTCCCTCTGAGTTCCAGAAAGCAGATAAAAACCGTTACCCGACGCTTTAAAGTTTAATCGCTTAGAGAGGATCACCTTTACAACAGCAATTAATCGATTTATTTTGGCTAAAACCGATTACCTTTGTAAATGCGCGTCCAAAGCTCTGGTCTCTCCGCTCTTGAAGCGAGCTTTTGCCTGCTGGGAATAACCGCGCGTTGTCCGTGACGTCACCGGGTGACACAGCAGCTGCTCGGTCGCGGTGACAAAACAACGAAACCGGCGGAGCGGGCCAACAGTTGTCCGCGAAACCTCGAGATAGAGATTGCTGCCGAGAGCCACACAAAAACGTAATCACACTGATTTAGAAGCGTCTAATTTGCACAGCGTTAATTATCAGTGCCAGCGACACGATGACCAATCTGGCTCCCACCATCCGACTAAATAATGGGCGCGAGATGCCTATCTTCGGCCTGGGCACCTGGAAGTCCTTCGAGTCGGACGCCTACCACTCTACGCGCCATGCTCTTGACGTGGGCTACCGGCACTTAGACACCGCCTTCGTCTACGAGAATGAGGCGGAGGTGGGTCAAGCGATCGCCGAGAAGATCGCTGAAGGAGTGGTAACCCGCGAGCAGGTATTTGTGACCACCAAGCTTGGCGGAATTCATCACGATACCGGGCTGGTAGAGCGCGCTTGCCGCTTAAGCCTGAGCAACCTCGGTCTGGAATACGTGGATCTCTACCTGATGCACATGCCCGTGGGCCAGAAGTTCCACAACGACAGCAACGTACACGGAACCCTGGAGCTGACGGATGTGGATTACTTGGACACCTGGCGGGAGATGGAGAAACTTGTGGACTTGGGCCTGGCTCGAAGCATCGGCCTGTCCAACTTCAATGCTTCCCAGACGGAGCGTGTGCTGGCCAACTGCCGCATCAAGCCGGTGGTGAACCAGGTGGAGTGCCATCCAGGATTCCAGCAACGTCAGCTCAGGGAGCACGCAAAGCGTCACGGCCTGGTCATCTGCGCATACTGCCCACTGGCACGCCCCCAGCCAGCCCGCCAGTGGCCACCCTTCCTGTACGACGAGCACGCCCAGCAGCTGGCAAAGAAGTACGGTCGGACCACGGCTCAGATCTGCCTACGGTATTTGGTCCAACTCGGAGTGGTACCACTACCCAAATCCTCAAACAAGTCTCGCATAGAAGAGAACTTCCGGGTCTTCGACTTCGAGCTGAGTCCAGAGGACGTTGCCAGCATGGAGCAGTACCACACGGGACAACGCACGGTTCCGTTCTCCGGAATGGCCGGGCATAAGTACTACCCATTCCACGACGAGTTCTAGGCGACATCAGGGATGTCACTCACTCAACGGTGTTCAGGAATGTGTACTTTTTTATAGGGGATATCATATCGAAATGTTTAAAATTGTTTACTCAAAGTCGAAGAGGTTGCTGGTGCACCGATATTTTAATTCTTTTAATATTTAATTACGAGAGATTCGTAAGACACCCCCGCATGTGTAGTATTTGTATTGTAAAATAAAGTATATTACGTAGAAAATCTCTGGTCGGTGGAGCTAATCAGTTTGTCTAAAGGGGTCGCTTGATAAATCGTGTTATCTGGGAGCATTTGGCGTGTGCGCCTTCCAGTATTGGGTATAAAGCGAGTTTTCATTCAGATGAATGCCTGTGATAGTAGCTGAAATACCTGCGAACATAGAGACATTTCCTAGACGCATCCGAATCATATCTCCGCTTATCAGTGAAACAGATTCTAGAATTGTGAAATCAAATTTTAAAGTGGCGACCTTGGGCAGCGATAACGACAGATAGTTGCAGAGCATCGATATGCATTACTTTCGATAACATTCTGAAAGAGCGTTTCACAGCACTGTACCTACTTATTTAAGGCGATCTGGCAGCACTCCAAAATTAAACATTGTTATTACGGCCCAAAAATATTAGTTAGTTTTATATTCTCTGTTAATTTCCTTATGGGAAATGTAACATTGCGGAGATATTCAATTGTCCAGTTCTACCCTTAAAATATATTTCTTGGCGGTAAACCAGAGTGGCCAAATATAATCATCGATGAAACAGCAAACGATTTATTATCGATACATTCAACGGAACAAAAAGCAGCTGAAATAAAGGAAATAAATAAAGCGGCGGAAAAATGTCAATGATATTAAGGCGAAATTTAAAAGCATCTTGGGTGCTAAAAGTTGGTATCCAATAAAAAAGCAGAATCATCCACTAATTTCCTAATACTTTCCCTTGCAGGCTTGTTACAGTTCCAGTTCACAATCAGGGGACTCTGCCAAGACAATACCCAAGAATTTGCTCGAGGACAAGCAAACAGCCGTTCTGCAAAAGGAGAATGGTGCTATCTTTGACAAGCGACCCTTCAAGATCCACCTGGACAAAGGTACAATTCACACATCTCAAAAAATCAGTGATTTTAACGGTGTTTACATAACCACAAATCGCGATCCCAACAGATAAAACCTACAGCTGGTGCCTGTGCGGCAAGTCCAAATCTCAGCCCCTATGCGACGGTATGCACAAGAACGAATTCCTCAAGATCAAGGAGAGGTAAGTAATACGAGCTTAAACGTAAGTCTCCCAGCTCAATCTAATACTTTTCAGGCCCATACGTTTCAAGGTGGAAAAGTCGGGGGACTATTGGCTGTGCAACTGCAAACAGACCACCCATAGACCCTTTTGCGACGGAACCCACAAGCAGCCGCACATCCAGTCAGCCGTTAAATAGTTTTAGGATTCGTTGAAGTACTCGTGTGTGAGAATGAGAAATGCATTAATTTTGAATCAAGCAACACATGTTTTATTCTAGATTATAGAACGTAATTGGTACTCCTACTAATGCTCTTTTCGGTGTGCGAGCACATAAACATACAATTTATTTGCGTCTGACGAAAGCACATGTTGACTATTATGTGTGTATAGTTAGTGTGTGTTACAAGCTTTAACAAATTATTTACAATGATCAGAGAAATGAGTAAATGAAAACGGGAGCCGTTCACAAAAGTTTCCGGCCAGGTTGACTTTTATCCGTTGACAGTCAAATTAGAAGGCCAAAAATCAAAAATGTGTTTAGAAAATAGAAAGATGTTCGCTTTTTATTCAAACTTTTTAAGTTCTACCTGTTTTACACATAAATATATAGAACTTAAAAGAAGCGAGAGCAAAAATTACTTAATATATATAATCATTTTGTTATGAAGCCAATGATTTAAAAATAGAAAGTACAAAATCCCGTTTGATGAACGGCATCTCGCTGTTAAATATTTTTCAGATTATACAAATTGGGCTCTTGTGATCCACTACATACAACACTCAAAACGATTAAAGTCAGCCAATGAAAAGTTATACTTATACAAAAAATAAGTGTATTAAATAGGTTTTAATTGTGTAAAGCATATGATACAGATAACTAACAAAACTAATCATGATAAATTGGTAAGGTAAACTGAGAATTTTAAAACTTTTCTTAATAAGAAGTCGGTGAGTTTAACGAACAATTTTTTAGTGCAGGCTGGCCCTTCCATTAGTGAGATTTAGTTTTTGTTTATTCTGCTAATATACAAACAATTTAAATATGAAATGGTTTTGATGGTGATCTTTACAGTGATCGGCATCATCAGGACCCAGGAGTACAATCGCGAGCACAATTTTGAACCTAAACATCTGTGTAATATGTAAATAAGTCCCGTCTTCTATCTTTGAGCAGCGGCATATTTGAATTAAAGTAATGTTTGAAAAAATAACGCTCATGTTGTCAGTCAACCTCGTCTTTGGGAATTAAACACTATTCCCTTTCGTAAGTCTTCTTGTTTGCTAAACATCTCCTTGGTTCCCGTCTAATTAATAAATTTTATTTGTGTCCTTTCCGTCTTGCGTCTTGACTTATGTTTTGAATATGTATGCAGCAAATGAATTTAGTGGGTTGTTTTTATATCGATTTAAATTAATATTCTTCGTCCTCTGGCGGTGCATCGTCTGGCGGCGCAAAACCATCCTAAAAATAAAAAATTTAAGTCTAAGCGATTGCAAGTCCGGCCAAAAAAGTGTACAGACTTGTCCTACCTCAGTCGCATATAAGATGTCCAATATCTTTTGAATGAGCGGATGTGCCTCGCCGTCATCAGCTTCTTGGCAACTTTAAAAATAAAATTTAGTTAAAAAAAAAGTCGCATTTAATTAAACAGATAGAATTCAATACTTACAGAATTTCAATGTCCCTCAACTTGGAGAAGTAGAAGTCGCGCTCTTTTTCTAATCCCTCCAGGTTAATGCGCATATCCATGACCTGATCCCGAACATTAGTAACGGTTTTTTTCATATTTTCTTGTTCATCACCCACCTGGTTTGACATCTCTTCGATTTGCTGATTGTTGACTGAGTTGCTCGCGTCGTTCTTCTTGACCGTGCCCGTGCTGTTGGCACCAGCGGTTATTCTGCTCGCTGGCGCAGCGTTGTTTGTGCGTGGCAGCACCTTGGAGACTGCTTGAATGGGCAAAACGAGCAAAGTTAGTACGCGAACAACCGCGGCACAGATTAAGGAACTAAAGGTATCAACAAACGTGAAGCACAGACAGCTTAGCTCTTCGTAGTGTATGTTTGTGTTAACTTGAAGGATGTGCATTTAGTTTCTTAATCATGAGAATATGGCATGCGATATGTACAATTGTCTGATCATGTGGATTGTGCACTACGATAATGAAAGGATAGATAGCGTAGGAGGATACTAGGGAACCAAACCATATCAACATACTGGGCTTCACTGTAGACGTCGTCGCGGGGCGCGCTGTTGCCGTCGGGGCACGTCGGTAGCTACCGGCCACGCCGCTGGCTGCCGTGCCGGGTAGAGACTTCACCGCTCCCGAGCCGAAGCCCATTGGAGCTCCCTCTCGGACAGCACTGGCATCGTAATCCCTGCCATCGTAATTGGCATCGAAGAACTTTTTGAACCATTGCAAAAACTCGAAATTGTCTTGGAAGCGGCCCTTGATCAATTTGTCAATAGGTATAATCTAAAAGTAAAATGGGCGAGAAATATGCAGATAGGTGAGAGAGTGTGGTGAAACCCAATGCAATGGGAACATAAGGATAAACATAAAGTATGAATTTAGGAGAGACAAAACTTTGGTCAACCAAAGTCTCTGATGGGAAAAATTCTGGCAGAAATAAGGTGTTTGATAAGAACCTCCTACTAATGACAAAGGTACAACTATCGATTCCCATCACTCTGTTTACGGGGATGAAGAGGAGTTAGTGGGTTTGGATGTGGGACAACAACAGATCCTCCGACTTGTGTGTTTTGTGCTGGGATGCGACTGAATGTGTGTGCTTGTTGGGTAGTAGTTTGTGCTCCTGTTGCTCAAAACCAGTGCGGTGAAGTGTGTGATGTAGTGTGACTTCCGAGTTCTTCCAGTTCCCACTGCGTGCTTCACGTTCGTTCGCTTCGCAACTCAAAATGAAATGACAAGCAAATGGCGCGCTCCCAACACCAGAATTTGTTGCTTCGACACATCTCAGTAACCGTACCAGTCTGACCGAGGACCCGTGGTGCCAAGCGACCAACTCCGGCTGGTGCTTGTAATGGTCGTCGGTGCATCAGGTGGAGATCGTTGTTGCTGCTGCCCACGCCACTGCCTCCATTGCTGCCGTGTCCGTTGCCATTGCCCAGCTTGACTCCGGACCGTTGGGCCACCGGGTCATACTCGCGACCGTCGTAATTGGCGTCGAAGAACTTCTTGAACCACTGAAGGAACTCGAAGTTGTCTTGAAAGCGTCCCTTAATCAGCTTATCAACTGGTATGATCTGTGGTCGTCGTTGTTTGCGTGGTCGGGTGGTTGATTTGTAACGGAAATCGTAGTTAGTTACAACAAACAAGATTTGATTGGTACAGTAGACAGCTTCCCATAGCGAAAACTGTTCGCTTCAAGAGCTTCCACTGTACCGTGCCCATGTCCACTCTACGCTCTCGGGATTGGTTGGGTTTGTGTGTTTAAATCAAATAAAAATCTCAAAACATACGAAACTACTCGAAGCGAGCAAGCATATTACCTTATCCACAGACATCTTTTTGAATCCCGCCTGCAATATCTTGAAGTTCTGTATGTATTCGTGCTCCAGATTTGTACGAAATTTGACACGCTTTACGGGCACTGAATTGGGGAACAGCATGTCCATGAACTGGCAGTATGCGGCACCTAAAAGCGGAAGCGTAGGTCGATCCCAATAAGCACTTAGCACTTCTTATATGAATCAAGACCACTTACCTGTGCAGAGCTCCTCGATTTTTGAGAACTGCGACTGGAGGCAATCGTTGACCCAGGCCAGCATGTCGTGGCGCGAGAGATTCTCTGATGTCACATTTGTGGAGTAAACGTTAACAGCCATGATGGTGGTGTCCTCTGCTTTCTTGAGCGGCTCTGAAACGAAGATGCAAACAGCTGGTTAGTTGGTTATTGCTCTGTTGGCGGCTCTACATACAATCCCGTGTGGGAGTGCTACATCCATGGCCGGCTCTTAATTGCGGCAGCTAATAATTGTTTTGGCTCGGGGTGCATTGAAGCGTGTCCCATGTGCGTGCTCAATATCAAGATCACGATAACCATCAGCAAAAGCAAACGGCAACCGGGAACGCCAAATGATTGTTATTGGACATGTTACCGTTGCACACTCACTCCACGAATCTGCAGAATTTGTTCCTCGAAAGTAGTTTGGCGGGTTGGCCTATCGCAGAGAAGTTCGATTGTTCGGCTCCGAAGTGGAAAGCCACACGAAAGCCTTTCCAAAGCAAAAACTAATTTTCTTACTTCCCGGAATGAGAATAACAATCTGTCTAAGTATTTACCATGATGCACTCACCAGTTGTGTTTATGCGATGGGTTTTTATTAACTCCCCTCTACCTATACTCCCTATTACAAATTGAAGCTTCAAAATTACAAAGAACTGTGAAAGTTACTTTTGTTTTCCTTTTGTTTCGTTTAATTTATATGACTTACTGGCGATTACAATACAAACTGTTGTAAAGTTCAGATGTTAACTGAAATACAACACTTTCAAGGCCTATTTTCTATTCTATTTTTCTATTTCTTTTTTTTTTTGATTGCAATTCTTGGATATGAAATGGATGATTTACATCTTATTAAATACTGTGCAGAAGTACTATCTATCTAAATATATCTTTGTTTCATATGTATTCTTAAATTAAAAAGATAAACAGTATGTTTCTGACTCAACTTGTTGTACTTCAACGGCTACTAAAAATAAATCCACTTGCGGCAACTTTGATTTTGTCAAGTTCGAGAAAGAGATCAAATCTACAGAACAGAACTGCGGATACCCTTCTGAACTTCCAGAGATAAAGGTTCTTCCGACCCGTCTTCAATACTTACGAGAGTACAAGCGGCAATCAAACGAAATGTTAGGCGAGTGGAAAGAAAACGCTCCGCGGATAGTGGAACGGGCGAACAATGAACTTGGACTGTTCGACGTCGCGATGCGTCGTCAGCGATCCGCTTCGCTGCCATCGCCGCTCCTTTCTCGCAGAAGAAGATTACTCATGGACCGCGTCATTGGCATTATCAATGTCAGCCTGGCCAGCAGGAACCTAGAGCATGGGCAACGCGAACGTGGGCCAGTGAGATAAAGAATTAGCCGGCATTTGGGAGCCAGACTATAAATACACCGACTCACTTCGCCATGTGCCTTTTGGTGTTTCCGTAAAACTTTGCCTCGCCACCTTTTCGCTGTGCGAGTGTACGGTGCATTGACCCGAAAGGGCGGAACTCCAATTCAAATGCGGAGCGATTTGCTGCTAGTTTATTGATTTAAGTGCCCCCCTGCCGGAGAAGGCTCAACAATAGCCATGCCCCAAATACAACTAGTTGGGACTTGTCCACAGCACAAAATGCAAAATGCTTTCTATAAAGAAATCGTAAGCTTGTTCCCATAGATCGTACTTGCCTTTGTTTACTCCTTTAATAATTTTAATTTTATTTTTATCACCCGCATTATAAATGACGGGTTTCATATTTTAAGTTAGTCGATATGACTAGTTGAATGATTCAATACTGAACGATAATACATTATCTTTGACTTTGCTCACATAGTTAAAGAAAAACAAAACCGTAAACTGTGATTGGAACATTAGAGTTGTTTGTCAAACCTTCCTTATTCCATGCACAGATGTTTTCCTTTTAACCCTTCCTTCCAACCGTGTTACCTGATGTGCAGACGTTGTTTACATTTCACGTTTGGAACCTAAGATTTGTGAAGGCTGACTTTTTTGAGAATGAGCAATATGTTTGAGAGGTCGAAATAGATTTTTTGTTTTCCAAATTCCAAGTTGGTAAATCACCGAAGTGTGTCATTTGACTTCGAAGAATTTCCGAATAGATGACCCATCCGATGATATATATTTTTCCCAGTGTAGTTTGTTGTGGCTGTCGATAAGTAAGTGTACATGTATGCGAGTGTGGGCGCGTGCAGCGGATGTTGAATGCGAACTAATTAAGCAGAACCAGGAAAACAGAAGCGAGCAGCGAAAAAGCGGATAAGTGCCCGAAAACGGGGCCTTCCATTTCTAGCCCACTCTAATGGCCATTCATATATTAACCATACTTAAAAGATCCCAAATGTGAATAAATCTGAATCGGATGGAAGTGTGTCAACAACAATAAGCTGTTTGAGCAACAAATAAACATTCCGATATTATGAGCTAAATCCGCTTGAGAGTGTGAGCGAGTGTGTTTTTGAGTGGGGAAACCGAAAAGAAACCGGCAAGCTATTGGAACAACAGAAAAGGCCAGAAAGCTGCGTCGGCGTAGCCGATTTCAATTAAGCCAATAAAAATAGTAACTCGAGCTAAAAGAAAACAAAAACAAGTCAGAGAATTATTGGTAACTGGACAGCCACACACACACATATCAACACTATGAAGAAATGCGGGGGTTTGACAGATAAACCGTGCTAGAGTGACGTCATCGAAATGGTGGCTTAAAACCAGAAAGAGCCGAGAAAATATGGTTTCCCCGCTTTTTCCAGACGCTGAGGCCATCGGCGGATGGGGGTTGGGCAACATTATCCACTATATGCACCGGAATTTTTGCGGCCTCTTTTTTTGCGGCTGTGGCAAGCACACGCACACATTTACACGTACGCCAAGATGACAGTCACACACACACTCACACACAACCAGGATAGGGAATTTTATTTTTGGAGGAGGAAACGAAACAGCAGCAGGCGACATTTAAATATACGACGTACACGCACACGTACATACGCACACAGTCGGACGGATGCTCCGCAATGTACAGCTATTTCGCTCAAGTGTGCACTTGAAGTTGAAGTTTTCGGCTAAGTTATTTTAAATCGCCACATACCGATGAACTTTCTTTTCTGCTGACGCTACTTCTAGATTTTGCCATTTCTTCTTCTCTCCGTTTTTTTTTCGCGAAAAAGTCGAGGAGCCGCACACACTCACGCACACAGAGAGAGATACACTCACTGACTCATACGGACGCAGTGTGGCAATAAACCGGTAAATCCTTTGACAAACTCACCTTCTCAGTTGGTCAGTTGGATGTCCTTCGGGTCGAAGGCGTATTAAATGATTTCTGGACTTTAAACAAAGAAATATAAATTCTAAGGCGAACCGTCTTCTGCAAAACGAGCGAGCGCTAGGGATGTAAAATGTACACTGATGCATCGACCGCCCAACGCAGGTCAGCACGGAGAACTATCGATAAGCGCTAGAGATGGACTGTAGAGTGCGGCGAGACCTCCAGCCATTTTGACTGTTATTTTTTAAGGAAATATGCAAGTTTTTATTCAAAGAGCTGATATGCTAAAAATATTTTTTAAATATTTTTTTTCAACATTTAGAAAAAAAGTAGTTTTTATTGGGAGAAATTAATGATCTTTTTAGGTATTTAATTCATTCATTTCTAACCGTATATGAATCACAAAAGATTTTAAATCATCCTAATAAATGCATTAGTTTTGGTTTGATTTTTTAAAATATTTACTTTTCTTGGGTTTCCGTAATTCCAATGAAAAACCTTTTTGACATAAACATTCATTCTATTGTATTAAAAATATAAAAAGTTGTAAACGTTTTAACACCTGAATGGTCACTACTCGATCCTTGGCTTATTTTCTTTTTTAAATAGACACACAATAGTAAATTAAACAGTTAACAATTGACTTAACTCTAATAAATGCAACAGTTTCAATATAAAGGCTGGCATTAAATGCCTGTAAATGCTCACGAGTTCATTTCAAACGCATGCAAATTAGATTTACATGCGGAAGACTCCGAATTTAGTTTCCTGGCCGGCGTTATTGACGGCTGCTTTCAGGCTGAGGCCAAGAACTTGTCGCGTGTTGGCCGGATCGATGATGCCGTCGTCCCATAGGCGTGCTGTGCTGTAGTAAGGAGAGCCCTCCGCCTCAAACATTTCGACAATGGGAGCTTTCAGCTTTTGGGCCTCCTCCTCGCTGAACTCTTTACCAGCTCGTTTGCGCTGGTCCTGCGTGATCTGAGCCATGACATTGGCTGCCTGAGTGCCGCCCATCACAGAAATGCGCGAGTTCGGCCACATGTAAAGGAATCGAGGTGAGTAAGCCCGTCCGCACATACCATAGTTTCCTGCACCGTAGGATCCACCGATTATCACTGTCAGCTTGGGCACATTGGCGCAGGCAACGGCCGTTACCATCTTGGCACCGTTCTTGGCAATGCCATTGGCCTCAGCATCACGTCCCACCATGAAACCTAGATCGAAAGGGTAAGAATATTAATCTACTTAAAGTATAGTTTATCAGCAACTCACCAGTTATGTTTTGCAGAAAGATCAGAGGAATCTTACGTTGCGCACACAACTGAATAAAGTGGGCACCCTTGAGGGCACTCTCCGAGAAAAGGACTCCATTGTTTCCGACTATTCCCACCGTGTGCCCATAAAGCTTTGCAAATCCACACACCAAGGTCTCGCCATATAGCTTCTTAAACTCCGTGAAGCGACTTCCGTCAACAATGCGGGCAATGACCTCTCGAACGTCGAAACTCTTAGTAAGATTGGGACCCACAATTCCGTAAAGCTCGCGAGGATCGTAACGTGGCTCCTCAATTGGAGATTTGGGAATAGTATCCCTGAAGTTTGCTTGGCTGGAGTGCAACAGCTGATCGTTGTAAGAATTAGTGGCTGGCAGGTTCAGGTTGCTCACAATCTGCCGAGCTAGATACAAGGCGTGCTCATCATCCACGGCAAAGTGGTCGGTGACACCCGATGTCTTGCAGTGAAGGTCTGCTCCTCCAAGATCTTCTGCAGATACCTCCTCTCCAGTGGCTGCCTTCACCAGTGGCGGGCCAGCTAAGAAAATGGTTCCCTGCTTTTTCACAATGATACTCTCATCGGCCATGGCCGGAACGTAGGCTCCTCCGGCGGTGCAGCTGCCCATAACCACGGCGATCTGGGGAATGCCCTGGGCCGACATGTTGGCCTGGTTGTAGAAGATCCGCCCAAAGTGTAGTTTGTCGGGAAAGACTTCAGCCTGTCGTGGCAAGTTGGCGCCACCCGAGTCTACGAGGTAGATGCAGGGCAGGCGGTTTTCTTGTGCGATTTCCTGGGCGCGTAGATGCTTTTTTACGGTAATAGGATAGTAGCTGCCACCTTTTACCGTAGCGTCGTTAGCCACCACCAAGCACTCAGTACTAAAATGGAAATTTTATTAATAAGTAAATGATCTAGATTTAGTTATATATGATATGTAACTTGTTGCACTTATTGATTATTATATATATATATATATTTTTATAAATCGCTTTGTTTTTCAATAAACAAATTCCGTTTTAAAGTTTTCAATTGTGATTATCGGCTAATAACCAATGCCTTTCCTGATACAATTAGTTCCCTAAAGGTGAGATATAGTTGAACCTACCCACATACGCGTCCCACTCCGGTCACGATTCCTCCGGAGTTGACTACCTCCTCGCCGTACAACTCATGTCCGGCCAGAGCACTCAGTTCCAGAAACGGTGATCCCTTGTCCAAGAGCAGATTGATGCGCTCTCTGGCCAAGAGTTTGCCGCGCGAGGTGTGGCGCTCGATGGCTTTCTGCCCGCCGCCCTTGAGCACCTGGTTGGTGAAGTTCCGCAGTTCTCCAACCAACCTGCCCATCTCACTGGCATTTTCCTGGATAAAAACTCAAAATTGAGACTGTGGACAAAAGTAAATAAACTGGTGTTTATATGTACCTTGTACTCGGCAGACTGCTTATCCACCTCGGTGGGCAGAATATTGGCCTCCCCCACATGAAGCAATCGCACCTGGCTGCTCAATATCTTGGATGAACTCCTCAACAGTCCATTTAGCCGAATCATTTTGTGGGGGAGGGTACTTATGGGAGCTAAAAACTGAAATTACCACGCGAATGCAGGCGAATGTTACGTCAGGTTTGGGCAGTCGAGCTGATAACGATAACAAAACAGCAACAGCTGGTTGATCGCGATGGTGGAAATAATCGATAATGAAACACATTACACTGAAAAAAACTGGTTAGATAAACAAGGATATTTAAGAATGAATTAATAATATAAAAAATTTCAATGACCCACATGTGAAAATTTAAAGTACATTTAAAAATAGAACAAAAAATAAAAGAACATTCATTTTAAGTTTTTGAAGATATTTATCTTTACGGATTTTCGACCCAGGTGGCTGAATAAATTAAAAGTGTGTTTAAGCATAAGGTGAGTTAGTAAAACAACAGCATTTAAAGGTTGTAGTCATTCGGTTCTTTATATAGTTTAATAACCAAGAATTTAACAGGTACTAAAACCCGATGTTCTTTTGAAAGTTTTAAATTAAACCGTTAGACAAGATAACACAACTTAATTTTAAACGTCCTGTTTAATATGATTTTCTAACATTTATTAATTGCAACACTCTAGCTGAGACCTCTTTAGGAATTGAACTTGAGACTGTGGAACAGATCAAACAGCCAACTACGAAGGGTGCATCGCTTTTATGCTAAAAGTTCTATGAACTTTAATACGATTCATTACACAATATGAGTTAACATGATTTGTGATTGTGCAGGTCGCTCTAGAAGGTAGGTGGTAAATACTAATTTATATTGATTTACGTAGTCAGTAGTGGACTTGTTAACGCTGCTAAACAATCACTTGACAAGCATAAACATTGGCTCGCTTAAATTTATTCACTTAACTAATTTAGAGTAAGATGTAGTTGTAGATTTCTCTTAAAGCGTTTCGAAAAAGTTGTACTACAAAAATATGATGCAATCTGCGCCTTGCATGATTCATTTAATCTTGATTTTGTGCAGCTTCAACTTGAAGCCCAAAACCTCGCTAAGAACGCCCGATAGGGCCGACAGGATAACAACCTTGATGGTTGTGAATAGATATGGGTTGGCACTGAGGCCAGAGATCTTGAATGGCGTTTCGAGTTCCTTTAGCAGATCGGCGGCCAGCTTGAGCACGCTATTTGACACCATCAACTCGTCCTTCTTCTTCGGCTTCTGCTCGATCTGCAGATACAGGTTAATTTGTTCAGTTATCAGCACCGACACGCTGCGGTACTTGTGTTGAATTTTCTGGCCTAGCGTCATGAAGCGCAGCAAGAATATTCCAATGGTGATTGACCAGATAAGTGCCTCCAGTGTGAGATGTGTGTGGAGGTGCACTGAGTCCTTTAACCACTCCACGCTTAGGAAGGCCAGCAGCAAAAGGGTTACTATGAAGGCGGCGGAAACGATAATATCCACAGATCTCTGCGGCCCGCGTTTCTATGGGATATCAAAATATAATGTAAGATTTTAGATGTAAATAGGTGTGTCAATTTACCTTTAGGTACGACCTCACGCTGAGCCAGGTCTTGATATTGCGCACCTTGTTCAGGCGGAAGTGGGGAAGATTTGACTTGCGAGCCCGTCTCGATGACGTAAGGTGTGAGAAGAGCTTGGCGTAAAGGAATCGCTGCTTAAAGGTTCGCTCTGCTACGGCGAAAATGATGAACAGAATAAGAGTCAGGCAAAGGCGCTGTACAAAGCCCAGAGCCAGTACGGTGCGCTCCCATTGGGTATCGCCGAAAGCAAAGCCCAGCAGGGTAAAGAACGAAGCCGACGACTTCTCCCACAGCAGCTGCGGCAAGTACAAGTAGCTAATTTCACTCGCCTTTTCTGCGTCGCTCCCGATAGTGACCTAAATACATACAGCAAGTTTAAATTAACTGCTTACTTCGTCAGTTTCATACATACCTCGCAAAGTCGGCAGAAGATGGGAATTAGTGTGAGCAGGAAAGAAAATACCACACCTATGTAAATGTAGTCATTGGTCTCACCCATCGAGTCTACGCGTTCGATTATGCAAGATGCGATCTCCAGCACAGAAAGTTGCGCCTTCTTAGCGTCTCGCTGATCCCAAATGGTGCAGCTAACTAAGAATAGTGTATGGAATCATTAAAATTAAGATTCAAATAAATAGATTTACAAGATTGCATTTCTAGTACTCACTACGGTCCAGGCTGCTGTGTGGATTTAATATGGTGGTTGGTGTGATGTCTAGCTCGCCAGGATCTTCGTCGCTGCAGGCCGTGTGTTTTAAACCTCCGTCAGAGTGGTCCAAGTCAGAGGTGTAGCTGCAGTCCTCACTATTTGTAGTTACTCCCAGCCAATCTGTAGCAGAGGTCGTGCACTCCTGGTTGCAGGCCGAGGCAGGACTAGATATAATGTCAGCATCATCGCACTCGTCTGACTCGGCACAACTGGTTGTGGATTCATTGCCTCTCGAGTGAGTCTTCTTTTCAGTCGGTGGGGCACTAGTTGATCCACCGATTGTTGTATTTAGACGCAGGCGAAGTTGATTGGACTGGACCGGGGCTGGCGTAATAGGGACAGCTCCCGCGTTGGGGAGGGGTGAATGGTTATTGTCCTCCCCACTGGAGCTCTTTCCATTCAGACTTTCGAATCCATCGTCTTCACCGATACTTCGACGTGATTGATAGGCGGAATTGACGGAACCCACATTGCTTTCGCCATCCGCGTCCGCCCGGACTTCACCAACATTTCGGCTCGAGGAAGGCTGCTCTGTGCGCTCATAGGTAGCGTAGATCTGAATGGGTGTATGCCAGTTAACGTTGCGCTTTTTGGGGCTTTCAGGAGCCACTCCTCCTGACTGCCTTGTGAGATCGAAGCGTTCATCTGTGGCTAGCGATGTTTCCGGTATTGCGCTGATAGCAGTAGTGGTCATATAGGTCTCCTCATTGCTGCTCCGCCTGATTACGACGGGAGGTGGAGTGGCTGGAAGGCTGGGATCTGGTACAACGGCACTGGTGATTGTGGGTGACGGTAAGGGCGTGGCCGGTCTGGGAAGCACTTCGATGGTGCTGGGTGTAGTGCGTCTGTTTGGTATTGAAATGTTGCTGCTGGCTTGGGATAAATCAGCTTCCATTGGGCGAACTCTGCAAACTCAGGAATTAAATAGTGATTTCTTACTTTCAATTGACTTACCGCACAAACTTCTTCCGTCGTCGCATCCGATGGTCACGGGTCGAGGGCTTGTCCCCCAAACAGCTTGTGGAGATGCGTCGCAGCTTATTCTTGCTGCTTCCGCCAGTACCTCCCGTGGCTGTGTTGGTAGCAACGATCTGGGAGTGGATAAGGCTGATCAACAAGCTTAATGCACACGGGATTAACAGGGCGCTGAGGAGGTCAGCATGCTCCTCGGATTGCTTATCAGCATCCGCAGCGGGGACATCTTCAGCTGAATCTGTCAGAAGCACGGTGACATTTGACGGCTTTTCATAGACCAACGGTACTAAGCGATTGCTATGCAGCACGTAGATGGCCCAGTTGAACAGCTGGGTTAGATAGAGAACAAGAATGAAGCCAAATGCGTTGGGCGTGGTCTGCTTGACCCACCACTGGGCATAGAGGGGCAGCAACACATATCGCAATATGGCCAAACGGATGACGGTAAGCAGAGACTGTTTGGGCTTGGCCTTTGGAAAGGTGGAACCTGAAAAATATAATTTCATTACCTTCACTATGTATAGGAGAGACTTGCTAAACTCACCGCGCACTAAGTCTACATCGATCAGCTCAGTCTTTAGCTTTGTGTTCTTTAAGTTGACATTATTAAAGCCATCTAGGATCCTCTGCTCGACAGTCTTTTCCCATTCTTGTTTGTCATAGGTGCCGATTTTCTTCTCGTACCTGGGTACAAAAAGCGTGAATGAGATAATACAAAAAATAATGGAGCTTTGTTTGCTTACCAGGCAACTATTTCATCCAATTTCATATTAATAATAACATAAAAGCCCTCGAAGTGCCGTGCAGCCTGCGAACGAACAAAGAAATCTTCAATTAGGCGTTACAGCTGTGTCGCAAAAGCTTCTAATTTACATCAGACCGCGATAGTGCCTCTTATCCGGATATAACTGGGGAGTAAACCCACTTCAAAAGTACTGCGCCGGGGATTTTGCCCCACTTACTTGGCGTCGAACAGCTGCTCAGCATAACGGGTTTTGCAAGCGGTTAGCTGATATCAGCTGATGACTTTCACCTTCGCCTTGCCACAGCCATGACCCCGCCCCTTGGCTAACGTATGGCCCCAATAGAGCGATAAGAAGTGCACCATTAATAAAGGGATATCTGACTTTTCTTCTTTTTTCCGCATCGCTTGCCTTGAAAAGCGTGAAAAGCGGACTGCAAACGGCCGAACAGCTGTTTTACGGGTGGGTGGGCGTTAATGTTTATGCACACACATGCGGAAGGGGCGCAGGTATACACATAAGCTGTGGGGATTGGGTTTGGTATGCGGCCCCATCGGCAGTTCTGGGTTCAAGGTGAACCCATATACCCACAATATGGTCCAAAGGAGGAAACGACCGCGAGAAAAGCTGCTCTCATTCATGGATGGCGCTATTACCTTTATTTAAACCGCTTCAACGATCGATTTTTGTACACCAGGCGCAAGTTTCTTCCGTATCCGTTGGATCGTGGTCACATCGAGTCCAGAGAGGTACTGCACAGGGAGCCACGAGTCCCGTCAATTGACTGGTAATTTTGAATGCACTACTCACGCCGCGAAAGCGTTTTGCATTTGCATTTGGGGCCGAAAAAATTTGGTGCGCAGCTGAACGACAACCCGTTCTAAACGAAAATGTAAAGTGAGTGCTCACATTTACGTAAATCACGCTCGGCTGCGAGCTATCGATAGAGTTTTTAACGGATTGCCAGCTGTGCGATAGTGCATATCGATAGATGCACCTGTTTTTTAAATACAAATGGCGCTAATGATGTTTACTTTAAATTTTTCTAAGAGGCACTCGACTGGCACACCTTATATCTAAGACAACAATTAGCATGATCCATTTCTGAGGATCGCGCCAAGCTTTTGTTTTCGTTTAAATCTCGTTCTTATAATTAAATATAAGCCTAAAATCCATTTTTATTAGTTCACATTGAGTGAACTTCCAAACTTACCAGTGCCAAGAGCAATTAAAAGAAATTAAATGATTATTACAAAAATTATTAATAGCTAGATTATTGGTAATAAGCCAACAGATTTTGTCAGATTTTTTTTTTTTTTTTTTTGTTGAAAGTCAACATTGGCATAAGTAATAAAAAGAACGCCACTCAACTTTAATCCCAATCAAGAATATCTAACTTCATATGTTCGGAAACACTTTTACTATTTGCTTCTATTATGTACTTACTATACATTTTAGTATATGTATTACTCTTACTATTATTACTTTTTTTATATTTTATATCGTATATCGTTTATTTATAATCGTTTTATTTAGAATAAGGAATAGACTTGGAGACTAAGTGGCGACTCACAAAAGTAGCTTGCCACTCACATGTGCCTCTAATAACTAACTAACTTTCTATTTCCGGCATTTTTATATTCTTACAATGTCTATAAGTATATTTATTATCAACCTATCGGATAAAATGAAAGGCAACGCTCGCATACAAATATCTTATAATTTAGCGCTTTAAAAATGTTTTTCTCCGAATTTGTTTTTATAAACCCATTCGTAAAGATGGTTGTTTTCTATGTTTGTATTGCAATCGTGGCAAATGCATAAACAGAGAAATGCATTTCCAAAGAGACGACTCTCGCTCATCATCCGATTCCACCACACTCATCGCACGATCATCCGTCGATCCATCCGGCGCTCCTGCGCTCGTTCCGGAAGCTTTTCGAAAAGCTGTCAAAAAAGCACGAAACGCACGATCCCTAAAGCTGCCGCAAGGCCTCTTGAATGGCACCGAGTGTCCACCAAAATACTTTCAGTTGCGAGCGGACCTCTGCACGGAGTGGAACAAAATCTGAAAAGCAAAGAGTACAGTCCGCGGAAAACGTTCAATTAATAGAAGCAAGAAGCAATATATATAATCTAATTTTTCTCATATATACCCTACATTTATTTCGGCTGTGTATATACGAACACCGTATATATGTATCAGTGTACCAAAAGTTGTTATACATAAAATAAATTGCGAAAGAAAGAAATACCATTATCAACTAAAAATAGTGCACGATTCTCAAAGGAATACAAATTTAATAACGAAATAATCCCAAACGACGAGAACGAATTAATTGCAAAATATAGCCAAAAAGAGCAGACACGCGCACGCATGTTCGAGTTAAGGGTCTAGAGTACTGTCCACACACCACAAACCGAACCGAGGATAGAACCGTTACCGACTGTGAGTGGGCGATCAAAGGATGACTTTCACTCGCCTCAAGACTCTGTCGCTGCTCGTGTGTGCTCTGCTGGCACTGAGTTTTCCCGGATATGTGAATGGCGCTAACAACAGCAAGAAGGGCTCGCAGCCAGCGGCTCCCGTTGAGCCGGAGGCCGTTATCGAGGAGGTCAATGCCAAGCAGCTGGAGAAGCTTCTGGCCGACAAGGATTACGTGGCCGTCTTCTGGTGTAAGTTGAACGGGTGTGCGAGTGCTAGTACGATAGGGTCGGTCGTCCGGGCACCGATCTTTTATTGCCAGCCGAACCGGACTCGAAATAGTAACAGAAGCCATATTATATAAATTTTCGCTAGTGAAAATTCTAAAAATTCACATACAAATGAAAATATGTGAAAAATTCGTTGCTCGAAATGTCCGAGATTTTCATTCGGTTAATTTTTTATTTTTTTCTATTTCTTTATTTCCTCCCCATGTTGCCAGTAGTCTGTGTTGCCTTCCCCTTTTCTATATATTTTTGGTTTGTGTGCTATCTTTGCGATCTGTTTATGAGTAGAGAAATCTCTCTTGGCTGTGAGAAATGGCTGTCTCCGTCCCCGTCTCCGTCGCTGTCGTCTTCGCCTTCGCCTTCGCCTCATAGTGCGAGGCAACTTTTTATATATTCTTAGTTTTTTATCTATTTTGGCGCAAACTTTTGGCACAGAAAGTACCTCTTACCAAGAAACAGCACTCTCGCACTTCCTTCCAGATGCCAACAGATTTCCTGCCCTTTATAATTTATGTCCAAGCACACAGATCAATCTGTAGAGATCTATTTTTGGGGCAGGAGAAAATGGTTTCCCATTGTTTCTTCTATAAATATTCGGCTTGAAATTGATCAAAAATGTCGTATAAACAAACTGCTAATGGTTATATATATATACAGATAAAATCTTTTTAATCACCTTAAAAATAGATTTGGCCTTAATGCACTGTCCGCCAATGTCAAAGTTAATAAACAAGAAAGCGATCTTCGGATTGTAATGTTCTCTAATATATATAGATCTTTTCATACCTACACATTCTCAATGATATGTTTCATTGGCGGCAATTCCAAAAATAATTGTTGACAATGAAAATATTTTAAATCCAAAGCCCCAAGCCCAATGCCCCTGGCAAATAAGCAAAGAAAAATCATGGAAAATCTACGCAAATGGCAGAACTGCCATTGAAAAGTTTCGCTAATCACATCACAGATAGCTCAAAATTCTCCATTCCAATCCCAATCGAGAAGCTATTTGTGTTTATTGTTGCAAGTTAATGATATTTATGTTATTGCAATGTATTGCGAAAACACACGCATCACTTGGAGAAAGAACTTCCTGTGGTAATCGAGTCTGTTCCATGTCTTTGACCGCCCATTTAGAACCCGTTTATACAGACATCAGAGGTTGGGAGAAGGCAGGAGATCCGGCCAAATAGCGATTACTATTCAAGCAGCTAAAGATCAATCCAAATGGAAAGCCAAACAATGGAAATGAGTGTTTACTCGGCGATGTTTTAATTATTCCAATTTCTGCAGTCTGCAGTCTGCCGTATGCCGTTTAACCAACCAGAACATTTTGGGAGACGTTGGCCAACGGTGGTCTTTTGTCTGCTGCAATTCATTTCCCTAATAGCGGCCGCATGAATTTTATGAATTAATTTAGAAATTTTAGCATATTTGTTGGCAGTTGCTGCCGCATTAATAGCACCGAATCGGCCTGGCGCTGCTGTCATTTCATTCATTCATTCAGCCTTATTCTGCTCTGAGCGGTCCGATGATGCATCCTGCATCTACTATAGGAATGAATAATCTGCACGGCATTTGGTTCCACTTCTGTCAGGGCTTTGAGTTTTCACTTCTAATGCTCTGGCGTCATACGCAGCAGTTGCCGATTGTCAATTGATGTTGGGGTCTATATTCGATCTAAGATACTCACCTGCCCGGTTTCTACGTTTTCAGATGCGCGTAGCTGCGTGACCTGTGATAAGGTTTTAGCGGAACTCGAGAAAATCGACGATGACACCGACTCCTTCGGTGTGGACTTTGTGAAAATCAACGACAAACGACTGGCCAAACAGTATGGCATTAAGAATTTCCCCGCCCTCACCTACTTCAGGTAGGTACCTTCCCCACCGCGTCCAGTGACAAAATCGATCTAATCCAAGCCAATCTCCGAACACCACAGGGAAAAAGAACCCATCATTTACGATGGCGATCTCATGGACGAGGAGGGAGTGCTCGACTTCCTTACCTCTCTGGAGGCCATGGATCTGCCCGATCGCATCGAGGAGGTCAATGCCAAGATATTGCAGAAGATCATCGAGGACACCGATTTCGTAGCCGTTTTATTCTGTAAGTCCGACTGACTTGATCTTAACACAAACTCCTTCAAATCTTTACCACTCCGAACTCTCTTATGGTCGGAGTTTCGAATTGATGACGTTCTATTTCAAAGCAGTTGCAGTTTTTAGCGAACACAAACAGTTTAGCTCTCTTGTGACTAAAAATCATACAGCTAGGTATAGACTACAACCATATCTACCTATACTGTATATTCTTGAATCGATTTCTTAAGCGTATGTCTGTATCTCTCATCTCTCTTTCTCTCTCTATCTCTCTATAAATACGTATTTTTCTTGTGACTAACCAAAGCTAATGGCAGCATATTTAACATTAAATATTACTCTCTATATAAATATATCTCTTCTGGCGGTAATTCGTACCCTCTCTGAGCCAAATTACTTATGGACAATTTATAAATGCAATATATATTTTATCAAACGACTGCAGGTCCAGATCATGAAACATGCCCGCCCAGGGTTATGGGTAAGTTTTCCGTGAACAGTTCTGGGAACCTTCTGTCTTGCCCTCTCCTTCTAATAATCACCTTCTTTGAAACTTTGTTTCCCCAAAAATAATTGATTGACATTGTTTACCCTATTCCACCATAATTTTCCTGATTCCAGTAATCCAAAAATGCACACAAAAAGATTCTTCCGCAATGCCCAAGATCGGATATGTAAATATGTACTTTATAATTGGCTATATAACCCAAATAACCGAACAATCCAGTGTGCCTTGGTGCTTGCTAACATGGAACGATTTGGGTGGAACCATTTTTTTTAGGAGAATCATGCACAGCGGGGTAGAGATTATGAGATTCAAGTTGATGCTACACCAATTAGTTCTGCTTAAAACAGATCGAAATCTATATACTCGTTCTCTGGGTAATCCATAGGCTCTCCGATAGCGATATAGTCAAGCGAAGACAACGTCGATGCCCTGGGTAAAGGACAAATTCTTAAATAGATGCAATCAACGTTGTAGTAATTCTTAGTAATTTTTTTTTGTTCGAAAAACAAGTTTTCTCATTTTTGCGTTCGCTATCGACCAAGGCAGACACACATATTACGTATACGTATAATAATAAACGTACAACAACAGAAGCATTGCAGATGAACGTCTGGGCTCGGCGCCAGATTATGTTTTTGTCGCCACAGCACCACCTTATTTCCCCCGAAACTACTCTCCAAACATCTACCCACCGATTTGGACAAAAGTTTTGGATAGAGATTGGTAATGGGGTACAGAAGTTAGAAAAAATTCGAAATTAGCAAACCTGGAGAGGGAGCTACGAATTATTCTAACGGTGGCCTTGTATGAATTATGGAAGAAAGGCATGAATTTACCTATTGAAAAACATAAATTCAATACTTGCAGAAATTGTGGGTATAGTCGTATAATACACACGCGTTGATGTCTTGGCCAACAACAAAGTATTTGCTGCTGTCGTCCATCTCTTTCCGACACAGCCACCTACAATTTTGGTTTTATAAATAGAAAACTCAAGCAGTTGGTCGGCCAACAAAATGATTTTTCGCTGCTCTTGTTGCTGCTGTTATTTTTGCTTAATTCTGAAACAACTAACTATAGAGCGGGCACCAGCGCGGACATGCCACACGGTACGTGTGTATATCTGCAGTATCCGCTACACTATCTATGGGTATTTTTATCAAACGCAGACAGCATACAAAAAACAAAAAAGGTTTTCCTAATGCATTGATGCGAACAGCATGTAGGTGAGACAAGACAAGAAATCGTGGCCCATTGTCCCGCCCTCCCCCAGTGCTGCGCCACCCCACCCCTTCCCTCTCATTCCGCTGCAATTGAATTTGTATCCATCAGGGGCTGCAGACAGACAGCACTTTTAATTGCTTTTGCATACAGCAATACATCAACATGGCGCACACGAGCCGGCAATGCATGGTTATGGGCAGATCTTTAGTTGTCGCAGCCAAATGCTGGTTTACATAATATACAAATACCTACATATATATCGGACCCACTGCAGCTCTATAACTACGAGTATATGTGCTCGTCCCATCCCCGACTGACTTGCACTATTTTTAGTTAAGTGCAACATTTGCCCATGTCTGCCATGTCGGCAGGGCCAAAAATTGGTCAAGCCGTCAGAGAGAAAGTCAGAGCCCCATAAACATGTTTAATTTTCAAGATTTTCCTACAATATATACTTTATGCATTTGCAGTAAATTATGAACCAATTTCGCCAGCGAATGTGTGCAATGGCCTTGTCACCTTGGCGACACCCACTCAGCCAGTTGCAAAGAATGAATCCCGTTGAATGGGAAAATTAGAGATATTTTTGGATGGGGAAAATGCATGTAGTTTCGAGTACTACCGCCGGCTAACTGTATTTCGCAAGGTGCTGCCATTGGTGGCCATAAACATGTGGCCAGTCAGCCATCAAAAGACACTTACAAGTTCACCGACAAAGCAACAGAAATAAATATTACGTATACGCAGCGTCAGGCAGAAAAGCGAAAGCTTACTGAAAACACATTTACGAATGTGGCAAGCCCAACGGAATGAGATAGGGGAATAGCTGAAAGACAGAAGAGGAGAGAGCTTTCTGGGAATGTATTCCTCTCTTAAAGTGCCACCTTCTAGTGTTTATCCTCTACCAAGACAGGCATGTTGCAACAGGTTGCACGCAGACAGATAGGGAAGCTGTAAACAAATTGTGTAAATAAACGAATCGCCTGGGGAATGATTGGGTAACTGTACAGTTAAATGGAACTCCATGGCCCTTGCATGCACTCACCCCTGACTGTGTTGGCTCCAAAATAATAACCTTACAACTTACGGCCGCACGATATATAATCCATGAATGTTCTACCAATCCGTGTGTAATAACACCCAGCAACAGACCCCCTGTCCTGATGTTTTATACTCCCCGTCCTCGCTTTCCGAGACGTTTGCACCTCTGCCAGACGACCCTAATTATCTATTGTTTGCCTGATTTTATGAAACCAACCAATCGAATCCGCGACCGCCAGACAAGCAGCAATGCCGCAAGTGCGCCAAGGCTTTGCAGGAGCTGGAGAATATCGACGACGAAGCTGATCAGCTGGGCATTGGGTTTGTGAAAATACACGACGAGGCCTTAGCCGATGAATACAATCTTGGCAATCTGCCAGCCTTGGTCTACTACCGCCACCAGACTCCGATCATTTACGAAGGTACACCCACCATTCCACACCCACATTTATCTTGAAACTTCCACGCCTTCCACTCAAATCTCAAAATCCAAACCAATACACATCAATCAATTCCATGCTGAACTCGATATTCATGTCGCTAATATCGAAACTGTGTCTCCAGGTGAACTTCAGCGGGAGGAAGACGTCTTGGAATGGTTGGTGCAGAATAAGTCGACTGGGGACGAAGATGATGTTATTGAGGACGTCACTTCGAAGACTCTGTCGACGCTGATCAGCAATATCGACAACCTGGTTGTGCTATTTTGTATGTAGTTGAGAATTTTCCGCGCGACAAGGCCGCGATAACCGACCGCTATTAATCTGCAGATGATCATGGAAATGACGACTCGATGACCGTGTTGGAGGAGCTAGAGCAAATCGACGACGACTGCGACAAGCATGGCATTCAGTTTGTGAAAATCGACGATGCCAAGGCGGCAGCCGATTACGGAATCGATTCGGTACGACCCACAAACGATAGAAATTGAAACGTCTTTGACACGGATAATGTATTATTCGATCTGCAGATTCCGGCCATTGTTTACTTTGAAAAAGAAATTCCAAATGTGTACGACGGCGATCTCATGGACGAGGAGCAGATTCTGAAATGGTTGTTGGGACAGTTGGAACGGGATGAGATCGAGGACGTCACCGACGAAATGCTCGACACAATGGTCAAAGAAGGACGCGTCATTGCAGTGCTGTTCTGTAAATATTGAAACCCTATACCCATAGGTCCCGATAGGCCAACAATTTGCTCACACGCTGTTTTCCAGACGACAACAACGACAAGAAGTCCCAGAAAGTGCTCGAAGAGCTCGAGAACATTGACGACGAATGCGACGCGTTGGGCATTACTTTCGTGAAGATCGACAATCCCGAGGAGGCCGTTGAATATGGCATCAATAAAGTTCCTAAACTGATATACTTTGAAAAAGGCATTCCAACTATTTACGAAGGCAATCTGGAGGACGAGGAGAAGCTACTAAAATGGCTAACGGACCAAACGAGTTCCGATCAAATCGAGGACATCACCGACGAAATGTTGGATTTGATCATTGAGAAAATGCCACACGTTGCTGTCCTCTTCTGTAAGTGATTTCAGGCCCCACACCGTGACTTTGTGCCGGGACCCATGCGCACTCGACTCCAGACTCCTAATCTCTGTTGATATTGTACAGTTGACTTGGTGTTGTACTTCTGGGGTGTCTGCAATCGTAACTTTAACCCTATGTCGAGTGCTCGACGTGCTTTACAGTATTAATTTTTAAAAGCGCTTTATAAACTGATTAATCAAACTAAACTAAAATCTAGTAGACCTCTTTACGTGAAGGCAACAATTGGTAGACCGTTGAAAAGTGTAGATTGTAGGTTTCAAGTTACAAGTTGAGCGAAACAGCAGTTTGTTGATCATTTTCTTTCTTAGCCTCCAAAACGTAAGTGACAGTTACTAAATTGACAATATGAAATCATCTTCGCAGACGACAAAGACCAAAAGAAATCACAGAAAATCCTCGCAGAATTGGAAAACATTGACGATGAGTGCGATCAGAATGATATTGCCTTTGTCAAGATCGATGATGACAAGGAGGCCAAAGAATGGGGTATCGACGAGATACCATCGATTGTACTCTTTGAACGTGGAATTCCACACATCTACGAGGGTGATCTGATGAAAGAGGACGAGCTGCTTGGCTGGTTGGTGCACCAGAAGCGCTATTCCGAAATTCCCGAAGTTACTGATGAGATGAAGGACAAATTGGTCGAGAACACCGAACACTTGGCAGTTATCTTCTGTGAGTAACTTCTTCCGCAATATTCTGCATTGAATTTTAAATGATTCCTTTACATCCACAGACGACAAGGACGATAAGCAGGATATGCGCATCCTGAATGAACTGGAGAACATTGACGATGAATTGGAGAAGGAGGGAATCGTCATCGTGCGCATCGATAATGCCGCTGAAGCCAAAGAATACGGTCTCGATCATTTGCCCGCCCTCATCTACTTCGAGAACAAGATCCCGGCCCTCTACGAGGGTGATTTGATGAATGAGGATGAGGTGCTCGAGTGGCTCCTGGTGCAGAAGAAGACAGCTACCATCGAGGAGGTTACCGATGAGATCCTGGTCAACCTGATCAACGAGCACGAATATGTCGTCGTCTTCTTCACGGGACCTTGCGAGCCCGGTGAGACTTGCGACCACACTCTGAACGCCCTCGAAAGCATCGACGATGAGTTGGACGAGGCTGGCATCATTTTTGTTACCACTGAGGATACCGGAGTCGCTAAGAAATACAATGTCAAGACCTATCCCCGATTGGTCTTCTTTAGGAACCGTGATCCATTGCACTTTACCGGAGATCTGGACGACGAGGACGAAGTGTTGGCTTGGATTACCGACGACGAAACCCTCGAGATTCCCGGAAAAATCGAGGAGGTCAATGTGAAGATGTTGGATAAGATCTTGGCTGAAAACGATCACGTTGTCGTGTTCTTCTGTAAGAAATCAATGAAGCTTATTTACTTCTATACTTACTTTCCCCTTTTGGATTTTCCAGATGCTGAGGGCGACAAGAAGGCCCAGAAGATCCTTAACGAGCTGGAGAATATCGATGACGAGTGCGAGGAAAAAGACATTGACTTTGTAAAGACATCCGACGATGATATTGATAAGGAATACGATCTGCCCGGTCTGCCGGCACTTGCATTTTATAGACATAAGTTTAGAACAATTTACACCGGTATAGTTGCTAATACCTTTATATATTTATTGTGATCCTAATTAAATAATTCTTATTTTTAAAGGTGACCTGATGAAGGAAGAGGAAATTCTTGAGTGGGTTATTGACTTGCACGAGTCTACAGCTGATGTCATTGAGTCCGTCGATCGTAAGACCCTGCAGGTTTTGATCAACGATGTTGAGCACCTGGCTGTGTTCTTCTGTAAGTGAATTATCCACTAAAACAAAGGGGATCTCTGGTTAACATTATGTACCTTCTTTAGATGATGACGAATGCGAATCGTGTTCCGATATCCTGGAAGAGTTGGAGAACATCGACGATGACACCGATAAGCATGGAATACAATTTGTTAAATCAAATGACGTTAAGCTGGCCCATGAAATCGGCATTTTCGCATTCCCAGCTTTGGTCTACTACGAGACAGGCGTCCCGATTATGTATGATGGTAAGTTGGCTATTATAAATCAAATTAGAGAACATTTTAGTAAGCATCTTCCCTCCCTTAGGTAATCTCAAAAATGAAAACCGTGTGCTGCAGTGGTTAGTCAATCAAAAGAGTAAGCGTCCTTTTTTCAAATGTGTTTTCTGCTTTAAACCTCACGCTCATAAGCCAAACTTTCGCTACAAAGTCAGTTGAGACAAAAAAGGTTCCATAAAGCTAAAAAAAAAATGTATAAATCCAAGATCATTCACCCGTTTCTTGCCCATAAAAAAAGAACAAAACGTAATGATAATTTCTTATATAGGCAATGATGACGGCGAGAGTGATGAAAAAATTGTTAAGTTGCGCTATCCCAAAGAAAGTGATGAGGATAAAAGAGCAAGACTAAAGCGTCTGCAGAATTCGATACGAAATGAGAGATTACGAAAAAAGAGACTAGACATTGAAGATGATGAAAACGGGGATGAGGATGAAACTGGGGAGAAGGGTACTGATAGGGATAAGGATGATGAGGATGACGATGACGATAATAACGGGGATGACGAGGATGATGAAGATGGTAATAATGAAGATGACGAGGATGAAGATGATAATAATAATGGGGGCGACGAGGACGAAGATGAAGATAACAATGGGGAAGATGATGAAGACGATAATAATGGGGATGACGATGACGAAGACGACAACAATGGGGACGACGAGGACGAGGATGATAAAGATGATAAAGATGATAACGAAGACGACGAAGACGAGGATGACGAAGACAATAATGACGACGAGGAGGATGATGAAGACAATAATGAGGACGACGACGACGAGGATGACAAAGACAATAATGGAGACGACGAGGAGGAGGATGACGAAGAAGAAAATAATGGGGACGACGAGGATGATGAAGACGATAATAACGGAGACGATGAGGATAACGAAGATGATACCGGGGACGATGAGGACGACGAAGAAGATAATAATGGGGACGACGAAGACGAGGACGAAGATGACGAGGAAGATAATAAGGACGACGAGGATGACGACGACAATAATGGGGACGACGAAGGTGATGATGACGATGACGATAATAAAGAGAATGACGAGGAGGACGATGATGAAAATAATGGGGACGACGAGGACGAAGATGACGATGAAGATAATAATGAAGACGAAGATGACGATGATGATAAAAATGGGGACAATGACAACGACGAAGACGAAGACGAAGAGAATGACGGGGACGACAAGGATACAAATGGGGATGACGAAGAGGATGACGAAGACGATGACGATGACGAAGAAGACATTAAAAGTAAACCAAAATATAGACACACGGCCAGAGGTCGAACGATACATCGTCTTGCTGACCTCTGCTCAGGTCGGCTTATAGATGAAATAGGTAATACCTGAATGTGAGTTGCCATTGACGCACTAACTGAAGTTGTTCAATGTTCTGTCCACCCCGACTGAATTCCGTTCCCACTTTCCCCCACCTGAGCATTCATCCCAGTACACTTTGCAATGTCACAATATACTCTACTACTCCGACTACAGTTAATTTCATTGTCTATCTACAGACTTGGGGAAGAAGAAGTCGAATAGAAATGCATTTAACCAAGGTAACCACTTCACATTCACGTGACCCGTTTATCTGTGCTGTGCGCAAAGCTTCTGTGCTAAAGCAACTATCATGTGAGGGACAATCGCAATTGGGATCAGTCCAGCCAAAATAACTATCCACACCCGTCAATGTTTGATCCTATTGAATGTTTAATCCTACACCCGTAGCTTTACCCAGTCTTTTAGTCCAAGGCCTTTTTCTTGGTACTTCAAAAGTCACAAATCTAAAGAAATATTAATTCATACATAGCTGACACAATGTTTGAAATTATTTAAGCAAGGAAATATATATTTTTTTTACTTTGGAAAACGTAACTATTTCAATAATGATACAAAATGTGTTAATACCTAATTCGTTTGACTTATAATTTATTTTCTTATAATACTTTAAGTAATCGTTATGTTTGTTTATATATATTATTTAATGATGATCCTGCTGTTCCATAGAAAATGTTTAAGCATATAAACAACAAAAACAACCGAAAATTCGATCAAGTGAAATGCAGTGAATTCACTGACACTCAGTCGAAATGAAATGTACAACGTGGGCTTAACTCGATATTTAATATGTTAACAAATTAGAATCAAAATCCGAAACTTGTACAGTCAGCATCAAAAGCATTTTGTCAGTTAGTAGTTTTGAAATATAATTTACAATTATATTTAAACAATTTCAAATCTCTTCCACTCATAAAGCACGCTTTTTACTCTAGAACAAAGAATCTTTCAAGTCTGAAAATAATGAAAATCAAATCAAATCAAATCAAAATCGAAATCGAAAATCGATAATCGAAAATCGTACTAACTGCTCTTCTTCTCTCTCTGTAGTAATTATCGGAGGTGTTTAAGAAAAGTGTTGAAAGTTAACGACTTTTATTCTTAGTTCTAGCCTACAATGATGCACTTTTGTTAAAACCTTTTTTTATATAACTTATCGTAACGAACCTTCTGTTGTTAGTGAACTGAAAAATAAAATAAAAATCTCTTCAAATTAAACAATCTGACAAAATGTTTTTGTTTGTTTGCTTACACAGATGACGAATGTTTCTATGTTGGATTGGGTCATGACGGCCAATCAGCTAAGCGCGGCAACAATTTCGTGCCCAACGATTACAAACCATTCCAATGCTGTCCAACCAAATTGGAGAAGTCAACGAAAGTTCCTAAGATGACGGCCCAGCGGATTGGACATACCGATGGCGATCAGGGCAAGCGTCCAATTGGCGGCGGCGGTAATTTTCAGTTTGCCGGCTCGGCTTCCACAGCCAGCAAGTCGTCCAGCAAGCCAACGGCGACCAAGAAACAGGCCAAGCCCGCCAAGGACACCGATGACGATGATGAGGACGATGAGGACAAGCCCCTGGTAAAGGTCTCGTATGCCAACAAACGCTCGGGAGGAAGCAACAAGCCGCAGGCTGGCAAGAAGCCAGTGGCCAAGGGCCAGGACAACGACGACGAGTCCCAGGAAGTGGAGAAGGTGTCCAAGCAGAAGTCGTCAAAGAAGTCCGGCAAGCTGAATGTGAAAACCGGTACGTAATCGTTGGACCATCGGACCAGACACCGAAGTCATTTAGCACTAGAAACAAGTCAAGACGAAGTTCATCTAAAGTCAAACTCATTGTCCTGCCCCTGATCATTTTTGCTGTTGTTGTGCCCATACTCAGACACATACAGACTTACGCACAATTTGGTCGTTACCTTATTTGTTTATTTCTCTTCTCTTTTCTCTCTCTTGTGTCTTGCAGGCATTAATTTTTTCCAAAATCGACTAAAAAATTTGTATGATATCATTTTTCAGGATATCTCTCTGTGGGAGTAAGGCAACAATTTAACTGAATGTGGATAACCACAGACAGTTAAATAGTGATTGTATGATTGAATGATATGCCATACTAAAGTAGCACGTATACGCACTGTTGTCAACCGATAAATCAAATATCAAACCACTACCAAAACCAATACCAAAACCAACTCAAACCTGTATAGCCACCAAAAGAACCTTCAATGACAGGTTTCTATAATTAAATGTACATCATCTACATATGTGTGACTGCAAAAGACAACAACTATGACTAGAACCAACCAAATAACTGAACTCGTATGGCTGTGTGTGTCCATAGAAATGAGGTTCTCCCTCACCAACCTTGAATTGTCTGGCATTGGCACATTTGCCATTTTAACAATATCTCATAAACTCCCGGTGCCAGATCAGATCATAGTCCATACACTTAAAAGCCGCAAAACCTAAATCGTTGTTCCACGTTCAGAAGATCCACGAGTAGCAGAGTCACACGTAACTCAAAATAATTACAAAATAATCAAGAAAAAAAAACGTACTAACTTAAACTTTGTTGATATTTTCGCTTAAACTATTTTCAAGAGGGACCCTTCCGTGCGAGGGAAGCCCAGATCTATAACTAAACTAAACCAAACATTTGTTGCATTTTGTCAACGGATTTCAACAACTTTGTTCAAACTAAAAGCAATTACTTCAACAAACAACTATCAAACTTCTGAGAACTTTCACTTGTATATTTAGCCAAACAATCTTTGTTATTAACAAATCGATCGGCCATTGTCTTTTGTCAATAACAAACAGCCTAAACTTTTTTGATACTACTTCTTTTTGTCACAATATACAATTTACATTTATGTAGTTAGTCTAATTTAAACAAGAGCCAAAGCAAAACAAAACAAAACGAAACGAAACGAACAAACGGATAAAATATTTTTTGAAACAATTTACACCTGACAGTGCCAACTGTTAACTATTTTAACTGAAACTGAAACTGAAACGTGTAACGATGATGAGAGCTTTCAATTGTTTTCATAATAACAACATTAAGAGCCACACTACACTTTTATATGATACAGCAGCATATGTTGCAGCATACTATAATACGTATACTTAATTTTGTTGTATACTCGTTGTTATGGAAACGAAAATCCAATATTTCTCGCTGAACAATGGCCTCGCATACAATGTAGCTATGTAGTAGCTTGCCATTTTGTTTCATTTGTTTTCTTCTGAGAGCGATTTCTGTACCGCTCGCTGTTGTTTTTGTTATCGATATTTGAAAAATATCGAATTATAAATCTTTATCATTATGTTTTCTTAAGCTAAAGTCTATCACTCGACACGCAATTGTAACTAAATCCAAATAAATATATGTAAACAAATTTTGTTGAACAGCAGTTGTTAAGTCAAGATCAAGCGAATGTATTTTTGTCAAACCAATTTTCAAAATGAAAATTGTCAGATTGTAAGAATCAAACGCAAGTCAAACTGAAAGCCATTTTGTAAACATAAACTCCTGAAAGAAATTGTAAGAATATTCAATAAAAACCATCCAACTCAATATAATTAGGTTCTCTTATTTGAAAATGTTTTAAAGACAAATTGTTGAGATACAGAGAATTTCTTTGTCTTAAATAATTTCAAACACAAAGTCGATAAAAATGCTTAATATACCATGAAAAACATGAAGAAACCTTGAAGATGTATGATTTGTCAAAAGCAACTCTTACCCCCCCATGAATATAACATCTTATTTTGACTCATAGGCAGCCAAATGTGGCCATTAATTATGGCCTGGTGGGGTTTTTGGCGAATTGCCCATATTGAATTTCTTTTTGGGCGGGGGTGAAAATAAACAAAGCGATCATTAATTTTGTATAAACATTCAAGAATAAACCTGATGATTGATTGACAAACTGCAGCCAACAGGTATGTGCCAGCAAATGGATAAGCCCACGCGTCTCCTTCGAATGAAAACATGATAATTTCTAACGACACTTTAATGTCTTACAAATAGGTAACATTGCCAGCAATCAGGACGTCTTCAACTGGATACTCGAACAGAAGGCCGACCAAAGCATTCAGCTAATTAATCGTGATCAACTCTTCGAGTATATAGGCACCAAAGACTTTTTAGCGGTCGTTTTTTGTAAGTATAACATGCGGACAGTGTTTTAGGTAAAAGCTAAGGAATCTAGGAGATCTTTCATATATAATATTTTTAAGTCGCGCCCACTAAAAACTGTAACTGCCCAAAAACACAAGCAAAATTATAATTTATAGTTATAAGATTTCTACATCTATTCGATGTAGTACAGATATTGATGCGACATGGATGTCATTTGTAATTGCAGACAAGGAAGATGATCCCGACTCGCCACGAGTGCTACGGCACATCGAACTAATCGACGATGAGGCTGCCGAATATGGCATTTATATAGTGAAAATGCACGACAAACTGATGGCCAAGAAGTACGGGTACAGGAATCCCCCGGGTCTCACATATTTCCGGAAAGGCAAGTACATTAACTACGATGGCGACATCGATGACGAGGAGGAGGTACTGGACTGGCTGACCAGCCCGGCCAACATGGAGATGACTGATCACATTGAGCAGGTGAATCGCAAGATGTTCGAGAAGATCCGCAAGAACTCCGACTACGTGGCGGTTATATTTTGTAAGTCTTGAATGTCTACGGAGCATTCGATTATAAAGACCCATGTACCTCTTACCTAACCTCAGATAGCGATGAGTGCAAGCAGTGTCCCCGCGTCCTGGCCGAGGTGGAGCACATAGACGATGAAGCGGACAAGGCGGGCATTGACTTTGTCAAAATCGACGATAAGCAAATGGCCAAGGAGTACGGAGTGTTTGCCCTGCCTGCCATTGTCTTCTTCAAGCCCACTTCCAAGGAGCCAGTTATATACGCCGGTAGAAGTCCTCATTTTTGCCGCCAAAAGCCAATACTAATCTACTCGGTCTTTTCCAGGTGATCTTTACGAAGAAGAACAGATCCTAACTTGGCTGATCACGCAAAAGGATCCAAGTGGAGATGTTATCGAAGATCTCGAAGGCGATAGACTCGTTCATCTGATTGAAGAGTCTGGCTCCATAGCAGTGTACTTTTGTAAGTGTGCAGCCGGAAGCTCTCTCTGATTTAACTGATGAATAATCAATACCTCTGAGGAACCAGGTTTTAAACGCTGCAATCGGTTTGGTGGTATCAATTCGCAGAAAGTACAATGTCCAATTTTGATCTCTATCATTCGTTTTGTCTTACATCCAGCCCAGACTGAAATAGTTCAGTCAAAGTTCAGTGTTCTCGAATACGGCATGGGTTTTTTAAAAATAACATTTTGTCAAACGTACTTTAGCAGATTGATTATCACGCTTTTGCGCAAACAGTTTGCAGCAAACTCTGTGTTATTGTAGTTAACCAATTAGATCAAACTAGTTTAAGCCTCTTATCAGCGCTCTGTGTATCTAACCAAACAAGACTTTATTTATATTTCTATCTACGACTGTGCTCTCTGATATCTCAAACCGAACCGCACACAATATCGATACCCCAAACGTAGGGAACAAGACTAAGTGCGACATTTGCAATTCGAAAGCGGCGCGCAAGGCGCGTCTGAAAAAGGAGCGAGATCAGCACCAGCAGGAGGGCGGTGCAGCTAGCGCCGCTGCCGCCTTCGGCAGTGAGACAGATCCTTCCGAGGCAGCCGCTGGTGGGGCGGAGGATTCGCCAGGGGCAGGTCCTGAGGGTGAATCGGCGCCAGCCTCTGCAGCTGCTCCACCGGATGCATCGACTGGCAAACAAGAGGATGGTAGCCCACCTTTCTGTATAGAACTCGTGCAACTGGAATGAGCCCAAGAATGTTTAACCACATAACCCAGCACAACCAGACACACCAATAGCACTCGCACACACTATTCACACTTCCACCTTGTACAGCGAATGTATGAACCCCAAAAGAACTTAGAAACTCCATCCGAAACTCTCTCTATCTCTCTGTTGATCCGACTCTTTCTCTATATCTCTGTCACTCCCGAAACCTTCTATGTATACTCAACGTTAGCTGTTCTCTTCCTGATTCCCGATTAGATTCTCCCTTTATAGTCTGTTTGTGTACTAGCCTGATCATAAATGCTGATTCCACTGGCCTTTTATCCTGTTTTAGATGTCCTGAGTACAAGAAATTCTTGGTGCCTTAGTGGAATCAGGACTCATGATGTTTACTATAGTTGTTTGCTATCTCATATCCCTTTTCAACTTCTGCTGTGCTTCCGTTCACATATGTGTAGTGCTTGCTGTAGTACCCTGTATTGGCCCTACCCCTGTACAGCACCTGTTGATTAATTCCCAAACCCCACTTTGACAACCAGATGCGGATGGCTGTGAGCAGTGCACCAAGGTTCTAGAGGAGCTGGAAAACATCGATGACGACTGCGACAAGCATGGCATCACCTTTGTGAAGACCAGAGACTTCTCCGTGGCCGATGGCTATGGTGTGCACGAGTATCCTGCCCTGGTCTACTTCGAGGGAGGAATACCCAACGTCTTCGAGGGTAACCCAGCTCGCTCTCAGCTCCTTGAAACTCCTTGGTCATACTAAGATCATCTCTTTCAGGTGAACTCAGCGAGGAGGAGGAGGTTCTGCAGTGGCTTATCACCCAGAAAACCGAAGATCGCATTGAGCTCATCACTCGCCAAATGCTTGAGACTATGGTGGAGGAAACGCAATACTTAGCCGTGTACTTCTGTGAGTAGCTCCTAGCAATCGGGCGCCGTCTCGATTGGTCAATTGTTTTCCATCACTTTTTCATGATCTCACACATTCTGAATTGTTGTATCCCCCCGCCCCAAAATGAATCGAACATAAACCAAAAAAACTTATCCCTGACATAAACCGAAACCTGAAATGTACCGTCCTCAGTGCCACCTGAGCGCAATGGGAAGCAACCCGCTTTCTGCCGCAGTTTCTGCTCCCCCTCTAGTCTTAAAGAAAGCAACCTGACCACCACCAAATCCACAAAACACTCATCCAGCCAATTCGTACAAAACTACATCTCACGTAAAAGAAAACGTATCGAAAAACAAGGTATTCCTTCCGTATTCCATGTGCACAAAACAAGCAACTCCCAAGCTCCGACTGCGCATGCTCCGCGGAGCCCTAACCACGTCTAACCCTCCGTAGGAGCTCTGTTCTATATCCTGAATCGATTCTTGACTGCACTAAACCAGGCTTCCATTGTATTACGACCAAACTAAATTATGTTTCAAAATGTTTTTCATTAGTTATTTATAAAATATTTCAGTTCAGAAACGGATAACATATTTTATTAAAAAAAATTGCTAGAATTCACTGGAATTTAGTTTGGACGGGAATACCTTTTTGTTACGGCGTTTTCTTTGCCTCTCACAATCTCGCTAACCGATTCTTAAGCTTGGCACTAATTTTAAGTACTCATATTGAAAGATTAACTGACTTTATTTTTATTCTTGGCAGACAAAATCAACTGCAACATCTGCGACCAGATATTAGAGGGCTTGGAACTGATCGATGACGAATGCGATGTTTTCGGCATTCACATGGTCAAGATACAAGATCCGCAGTTGGCCAAACGCTATTCGATTAAGACCTTCCCGGCTTTGGTTTATTTCAGGTAAACGGTCTGTTTTTTTATAGAAAAAAGATTTTCCCAACTAATTTCCTATGCAGAAACGGAAATCCTTTGCTATTTGAGGGTGACCTCCAAAACGAGCAGTCAGTATTGGAGTGGCTCATCGATGATGACAACCGTGAGCTGGCCGATGAGATCGAGGAGGTCAACGAACGCATGCTGGACAGGCTAATGGCCGAGTCTACCCTCTTGGTGGTTTTCTTTTGTAAGTACTTAGCCTAACGTGTCTCAGAGATTGGGTTTAAAGTGTCACACCACTTTCAGATGACGATGACTGTGCTGAGTGCGAGGAGATTTTGGAAGAGCTGGAGGAGATTGATGGCGAAGCCGATATGTTTGGCATTGACTTCGTAAAGATTGCTAGTATCCAGGCAGCCAAGAAATACGAAATTGTCAATATACCTTCCCTGGTATATTTCCGGTATGCTCCATTCAAAACATTCAAAACTTTTTTAAAAAACTTTAATCTTCGAACAATTTAGAAAACAAGTGCCCGTCCTCTATGACGGAGACTTGCACCAACACGATAAGGTAATTACCTGGCTGACGTCACAAGATGTATTCGAAATCAAAAACGAAATTGAAGAAGTGAACCGCAAAATGCTTGACAAGCTACTCGAAGAGAATGAGTTCTTGGCCGTGTTCTTTTGTGAGTGCAAGAATATTTTAGGAATTAATTAATTAATTAGAGGTAAAATTCCAAACTCTTTAGATGAGCACAATCAGCCGGACAGTACTGCCGCTCTGGAGAAACTTGAAAATATTGACAGCGAGACAGATAATCTGGATATAACTTTTGTTAAGATGGCCGATTCACGGTATGCCAAGAAGTGGGGCGTCACCAAGCTACCAGCAATGGTCTACTTCCGCCGACGCTTCCCCAGCATATACAGGGGTAAGTAGAAGAGATTGTCCAAAAAAAAGGAAGCTCCTGAACATAAAACTTTCGTTCCAGGTGATCTTCTATCCGAAGACGAGGTGCTCGAATGGCTAAGGAAGAACCGCTTCCGCCAGCCTGAGCTAAACATCTTTATGTACGCCCTTATTGCTCTGGCGGTGGCCTTTGTGGTCTATACAGCCTTCCTGCTGCAGTGCTTTAAGCCGGCGCCACCCCCTCCTGTTCAGCACCCCAAGCAGTCGTGAATAGGATAAGCCTGGGAAAATTGGAAGCACGTACTGAATCATGTTGAATGGCTATCAACTACAATGGAGGGTTTTCGACAAGAGACACAAAAAGCGAGCGAAAAGCGAATCAAACTTGAAATGATTATCCAAAATCACAATAACACACGCACATCTATGTACATTACAAACTGTCATCCAATCGTCTAAATTAGACGCCTATAAAAACCGTGCTCGGTGACGATCCATTGCTTTCGAAATATCTTTTGAGACAGCTTGATAACTACAACAAACTCTGATACTTCCATAAATATCAAAACTCATGTATAGCATATTCATTTCAAAGTAAAAGTCATTTGTCTTCTCACCCGTGTACGTCATGAACAATCAATTAAAGAAGAACAAACTCAAGTCATAGTAATTACTTTAAATTTAAATTTAAACGCCATAATATTGTGTAATAAATGCCAATGATAATTTTTACAGTAAAACCTTTACGGCTCATGATACTCTTAATAAACTATTGGATGATGTATGCAACATTTATTTTCAATTAGTAATGAATCTGTGATGAAACACATTTTTGGTTCAATGAGGACACTTGGAATCCTTTTGGCCGCTTTATAGGAGAATATGTTGCCATCTAGCGGTCCTTGTTATTCAGATCGAAGCCACCTGGATGTGAGATTTGGAAGAAAAACTTGGAAGTGGACAGGGCCAAAAGTCAAACGTTACCAGTGTTTCTCTTCTTGGCGGCCTATGGAGGGGAATATTTAATTTTCTCAGATGAAATTTCTTCCGAAAAGTAAAAATTTAAGATTTAGGTAAAACTTTTCTAAAGTTTGCATATTGACTTTTATGGCAGTTTGGTAGTTTGACGATACTTTCAATTGAGACTTAAAAATAAGTTTTTATATAACAAAATAACAAACCTAGCCAGTTTTAGTGATTAATAAATCCATGAAGTCGTGATTTTTATTAGCTGTCACATTGGCAATATCAATTAATACTTAAAAATCACTGTTATAAAACATCTGCGGTTCAATAAAATATTAAAAGATACTAAGCGAATGATTTATTTCATAATTTCCCCAACCACCGCCCTACTTACAGATAGTCAGTCCCTCCTATGTTAGTATTGACCATTTGGCGACGATAACTAAATTTCGAAGTTATCAGCTGAAACTGTCGGCCTCACCCAATGATGGCTCATAGATTTCTGGGTGCACAAGGCTTTGACCCGCGTTGGTAACTAATTTTTTGTTTTCGCCAGCTGAAATTTCAGGCCGAAAACTCCCATTGACAAGATAATGCAACCAAACTGATCGATGACCTCATTATAAAAATTCCAGAAATATAGACAAAAATAAAGCCTAAGCTGAGGGGAAATACCGAAAGGTATCATGCCGAAATTTTGACTTACACCTTTTGTTTAAGGCATTAAGTTTAAGAGTAAGACCATTGCTAGTACTAGCGCCTAAGCCCTTAATATTAGTAAATATTTGCCAATACGCTGATATCTGCAGTTAGATATCAAGTCCAACTATAAAAACTGAATGGCTAGATATTAGGCCAGTTCTTTCATTTGCAATGGCAGACCAACACTTGATTGTGGCCAAAATCGTGTCCATTGTGGTGTTGCTGCTGGTGACCCTGATCTTCTGCTTTATTCCCTACCTCCTGGATCGTTTTTACCACTGGACGAAGCGACCCGAGAGCAATGCCCGGGAGTTCAAAGTGGTGCTATGTCTGCTCAACTTTGGCGGTGGTGTGCTCATAGCCACCACCTTTATCCATATGCTGCCGGAAGTGGTTGAAGTGGTGAATGCTCTCCAAGATTGTCGGATGTTGGTGCCCACTCCCTTCGGTCTGCCGGAGGTTCTGCTCTGTACCGGCTTCTATCTGATGTACTGCATCGAGGAAATCATGCATTTCCTGGTGCGTCGGCGACAGCAGAAGAAGCTTCGAGAAGTGGTGACAATCAAGGAGGCGGGCGAGGATTTAGAGGCAGAGGTTGTAGTCCAACCGGTAGAAACGCCCAACGAGCCGAACTGGCTGCGTGGCCTGGGAATCATAGTGGCCCTTTCCCTGCACGAACTCTTTGGCGGAATGGCCATTGGCCTGGAGATGAGTGTGAGCACGGTGTGGTTTATGACCGGAGCTATCGCTGTCCACAAACTCGTCCTGGCCTTCTGCATAGGAATGGAGATCATGATGGCTCACACCCGGTGGGTGATAGCCGTCATTTACCTACTGGTCTTCTCCATAGTAACCCCCATTGGCGTGGGTATCGGCATTGCCGTCAGCGAATCAGCTTCGGCTAATCAGCCTAGCACGGTCTCTGGAATTCTGCAGGGTCTCGCCTGCGGAACTCTGATCTATGTGGTATTTTTTGAAATTGTGGCCAAAAACCATGCTGGCATTCGGGTCCTACTCTCGTCGATGGTGGGATTTGTCCTGATGTTTGGTCTCCAGATAGCAAGTAAGTCTTTCAAAAGTTAAAATGTGAAACGATCAATATCTTTATTTCTTTTTTCAGTTGGTGAGGCGAAGGGCAAGAGTCATTTCACATGCCTTTAGAGGATTTGCCATATTCGAATTCCAAATTATAAGGATCGAGTAAATCAACCATGTCTCCTTATAAGTACAAATAATAGTTACGATGCTTCAAATAAACTTCTGAAAGATTGTATCACAAATGCGAAGTAATATAAAGAAAGTTTAAGTCTTTAAATAATTGTCGAAATAAATGTTCTCAGTGTATCAATCAAAGCAAATAATACACGATTTGATAAATACTTCCGATGTTCCCACACATTACACAACTCCTTTCAAACATCAGATCCGAAGAGCCCCTAGTATGTTTTGGTTATCGGGGAATTCGATGAAAGCCACCTGTCCAGGGGACAGCAAAGGAGATAACAATACAATGGTGCGACGCTTGCTCGATGTCTGCCCGTGAATCCGCGTATCAATCAGCGATCACATTTCAATCAGCAACCATTGATATATGGCTGGAGATATAAACCATTAGTCTGGCTGTGGGTTGCAGCCAGGCCAGTCGAAGTTCGCTGTTCGGGACGTAAAGATGGGTCTTACCGGGACTATGTTAAAGGACCAAGCGGAAGTCGGGGATAGCCATGCGCTGCTTGTGGCCAAAATAGTAGCCATGGTAGTGCTCGTTGTAATTACTGTGTTCTGCGGCAGCCTTCCTTATGTCCTGGACAGATTCTTTTACTGGACCAAACAGAGTCCGGAGGAGACCCGCTCATCGGCGGTGGTGCGGTGCCTGCTCTTCTTTGGTGGCGGTGTGCTTATCTGCACCACCTTCCTGCACATGCTACCCGAGGTGATCGAGGTGGTAAATGCTCTTCAGGTTTGCGGATCGTTGGCCCAGACGCCCTTTGCCCTGCCGGAGATGCTGCTCTGCTCGGGTTTCTTCCTGATGTACGCCTTGGACGAGCTGATGACAAACATAGTGCGTCACCACCAGCGGAAGCTGAGCCGTAAGGAGTCGGTGGCCAGTCTGGCCTTCGAAAGGGGCCGAAGCATCCGGCACAGTGTCCTTCTCAAATAGAGAAACTGCCAGTGAAGGAGATAGAACCTCAGCCGCCCACGGATCACCACGGTCACTCGCACATGCCTGTATCAACTGGCGAAGGATCTTCTGCCAGGGGTCTAGGCATAATCCTTGCCCTTTCCCTTCACGAACTGTTCGAGGGAATGGCCATTGGACTGGAGGGCACCGTTAGCACTGTGTGGTTTATGTTTGGAGCCGTGGCCGCCCACAAGCTGGTACTTGCCTTTTGCGTAGGAATGGAGCTTTTGGTGGCCCGCACCCGAAGCACGCTTGCAATCCTATACATTGTCACCTTTTCCATTGTCACACCAATCGGCATTGGAGTAGGCCTGGGCATCAGCCAGCAGGTGGCGGCGGGACAGCCCAGTCTGCCCTCTGGAGTGCTCCAGGGCATCGCCTGTGGAACTCTGCTGTATGTGGTCTTCTTCGAGATCCTCACTGAGAGCCACGCCGGATGGAAAGCCCTCGTCGCGGCCGTGGCTGGATTTGCTTTGATGTTCGGCCTGCAAATACTTTGTAAGTGATAACTAAAAATAAGTTATAGGATTTCTTATTGACTATGGAACGATAATATTAATTAATTTTTCTCTTTTTCAGCTGACGAAGCGGAGGGCGATGACAGCCTCACTTGTGCCTAGCATATATGTTCATATTTCACCAGTTCAGTATTATAAAGTTAGGGGCCAACTAAAGTGGTGCTATTCAACAATAATATAATAGTGAATTAAAAATATATACATATATAGTGATTAGATATTTCAGTTTCTAAAACTTGTTATAATGACGCTAGAAAATCGAAAGACTTTTAATAAAGTTAATAAGATTATCATATGTATTCCTAAATGTTTCTTCCTCTATCATATTCCCTTTTAAAACTGTAAAGTGATAGCTAAGCTGAGAACTTCTTACAACACGTACATTCGAACATTAGCAATTAATTAACTTAAACCACGCTGATAAATTGGTAACAACACAGTTGGCGGCTGATTTCGAATTAACAGAAAAGCTAAATATGTTGCGCACACAGTTACATTCTTTACGTTAACAGCGCCCATTTAACATTTTATCGTGCGGTTGCACAAACATCGATATATCCATATCGTATAAATTCAAATTTAAAAATTTGTTTTTAAATCAATGTAAATAACCATTATCGATGCACATTCGATATAAAATAACGACTTTAAGAAAATTTGATGATTTTAGTAAATTGCTTTTACATATTTTTCGATATATTATATCGGAATTTCCACCCTCAGCAAGCGTCGGGTTAACAGCCGCTGTTACGGCAACGGTCAGATGATGTTTCAATTGGAGTGCGGACGGTCGTGCAGTGTTTGTGTGGTGGAAGATTCGATTTTTCTGAATTCGAAAGGGCTCGTCAGTTGTGATTGCCTCTGTGTTTCTCTCTCGTCAAAACGCGTTAAGTAATCAATTAAAAATCTGCGATTGACCACATCTAGAGTTAACTCCGTTTCCTGCGTGCTCCTGGAGCTCTGCCATCGGGGATTTCCGTATACGGACGCACTGTGCTTTTGTTTATACGACCTCCGGTCGCCCCACATTTTGCTGGTGAACTTGTGCCGCCGAGCGGTGTTGTCATTTCCCCACCTCCCCCGCAAAAAATCGAAACTCCCGCACAGTGGGCGGTAACGCAGGGCGAAGCCCACAGATAATAATTTTCCACGCAATCGTTATCGTTTGCACAGCCTAAAAACCAATGCACCCAATATAAATAAATACAACGGAGTTTTTTGAGCTTTTGAAGTGACGCCACACAACGAATTTTGTAAACTCAGAGGGCCAGTTGATACGGGTGTGTGCTTTAACCAATTTATACCACTGTGCAAGGGTCGAAACAGTGGGACGGCAGAAATTCATAAAGCAACGGCTAACAAATTCGACGAAGAGAAATACATAAAAGAAATAAAAGAGAGAGCGAGCTTATTTGGTTTATTTAAAGACTCGCCCGCACAACAACAACTACAATCACTTCACTATCTAATATCCAGATTATAATGTAATTTACTGCAATGACCAAGGACCAAGATCCAGCTAAGGTTGTAATATAGCCCAGGTACCACGAATTCAAAAAAAAAAGTCAGCGAAAACATCCAGGTGAGAAGCGAATAAACAATGTTTGTTTTACATTTTCGTACGATACGTTGACCCTGCTTTTATTTTGTGAAAAGTATTTATACCCTCATTGCAAATGCGTAGTTCCCTCTGAAAAGTCTCTGTCCCAAGTTATATATTTTCGATAAAATATTATTTGTTTCGGATTTTATCTTTAGCTATAATCAGTAGACAATTTTAGATTTATTTTTCGAACAACCTTTTGAAATTATGATCGAGTGGGGGGTCTATTTATAGGTCGGGAATTTTGGACTCGTTTTGGCACGACTCTTGAATTTATATTCGTTGCGAACGTTGGAGAAATACGTAAAAGGCAGAAGCGCTTTCATAAGTTTTTCATTGTTTTGTTTAAACTGAAAGTGATTGCCACTTAATGCAGTTTGTTTTCAGCATTATGTGTAGTGACTCAACGGTAGCAGATAAGACAAACAAAGCAAGTGGACTGTTCGGGGATTTGTTATCTTATTTGTTATTTGTTTTGTAAGTAGGGAACTCACCATCCCTGATTAATAAGTTAATCATAAAAGCAGGTTGAAAAAATTCAATTGCAACACCTCTGAAACAATAAATCCTAAGGGGTTCGGTTCTGGCTTACCTCCCTCGTCCACACTTCTTGCTCCATTTACATAAGCCTGTTGGATTGGGTGGCTTTTTGAAGGACGAAGGCGAGATGAGATGAGATGAGATGCTGGTAAACCACAGCGACTGTAGCACAGTTTCGGGCTTTTCGCTTGTCACACACGCGCCGCCATTTTGCTGCTCCAGTCATTTGGCTTTTATTGCCTTTGTCTTGGGCACCATCCAACCCAACCCATATACCCACTATTCAAAATTCAGTGATGGAAGCTGCACATTGCTACTCAGGCACCTAAAGAAAATATCACCGAAACTGGAAAGTGATTCGTCTGGAGGAGGGCCACAGAAACTTCTAGAGTTTTATTACCACTCAAGGTATTGATTGCTAGGCACATAAATGCAATGTTTTTAATACATTTTTAAATGTATTCAAAACTTTAGAGATTTATGTGACTTGAGGCATAAAGTCATCTTTATAGGTTTTTACTTCAATACTAAGCAATATATTAAAAAGAATATGGTGTCATCAAAATAAGTTATATATTTTTTCTTCTCTCTGTGTAGGTTAAAATATTAGACATAGTGCCCTGACATACATACACACTTGAGTCGCTTTTTTGGCTTCGATTTTCGGTTCTTTTTGTCGTTCTGCAAATTTGATTTACTGTAATCGAAAACCATTCTCTTGACTGTCGTCCTTGAGCTGGCGGTTTGTTGATTTTTATGCATTTCGGAGTCTTAATGTGTCTAGAAATCTTGGCTTAGAAGCCATTGACCCTCAAACATCTAAAAACGTTTGAAATCGGCAGTGTAAAGAAACGAAAACAACTGTCAGCAGCAGCTGATAAAACCGGTAACACCTTTGTGCATTTATTATTATTAGTGGTTGCCGTGTTTATCCGCTCTGCCGGATAATGTGTGTCAGCAGTGTGAAACGGGGGAGAATCCAACAGCTGATTGCCAGTGACTGTCACACAAAATCGAAATGAAACCTCAAAACCGGTTTGAGCAACTCATATGTGTCGTTCAGCGAATTTTATCACATCTGTGTTAACAATGCTAATTGGTCTAAAGACGTTTCATTAGTTCCACTGTACTAACATTAGATCACAATGACTTAATTAAACATCCAAATTGGTTTAGGAAAATCATGCACATTTTCATATTTCTGAATGCTTTCTGATTTGTTTGAAAAGTAATTTATGGCAAATGTAGTTAAAATGGTTTTATTTCTAGTTTTTTTTTACAGCTTAATCTCACGAACAAATCAAATAGTTGCTAATTAATACAAGCGTCATACTTTTATTGTCTAACTTTATCTTATCTTGATATTCTTTTTACGTGGGGAAATATTCAAATATTGCACCAACCAGCTTTAAGATGTTTGTTTGACATTTAAAAAGTGTATAAAACGAGAAAGTGTCAAAGCAACAAAGCTGCTTTTGAGTTATTATATTGCATTTGATGAATGGTGACGTGCACTTTGCACCTGATCCCACTCCCGCTTGCAAATTTATTACCTTTTCTCATCGCCACAATGCAACCTTCAAATGAGTTCCACATGCAATTAAAGCATTCATTTTGGGTGGCTAATCCTTGACCAAGGAGTTGGTTCTTAGCATGCGAAGTAAAAGCTTTCCTTATTTATTACAGGAAGTTTAAAATATAGTATAATTTTTATGGTTTAAGCTGTTCACGTTTTTATTATTCCCTAATTCGAGGTATTAGTTTTTAACCAATAATAAAATGATATCATTGATATTTTCAAGTATTTCGAACAGAAGCAGAGCGAATATAGTCGAAATAACCTTTATTAATCTGATAAAGTACTAAAATGACACTAATTAGTTTGCACAACTCATTCCTTAATCTTAAAACCTCTTTCGAAATGACTTTTATTCAAGGGTATTTAAAAGTCGTTCTCGATAGGGATGCATAAAATATGAAATACTCGGGATTAGACCCAAAACACTGAAGACATGCGACGGAATCTAATGATGTCAACTGGTAAATTTCCATTGCGTCAAAAGAACCCAAACAGGCAGCAGCAAAGAAGTGTTTAGTGGTGGGAAATGCGTCCAGCACTTGGAAATTAAAAACTCCCGATGCACATACAGAGGGCGAGAGGGAGACAAAGAAAGGAAGCGAGCGAGCGAGGGAGACAGGGAGCAGGGCTGAGCAGGGCAGGGAAGACGGTGTTCAGTCAGTCTGAGTCTAAACTCGAGCAGAGCAACAACTGTCGAGTGCAGGAAGTGCCGGGCCAACAAGTGATTTCTTACAGAGTTGCGCTAAATTGATTGTTCGGACTATTCAGAGCCGATTTGGTTATTGGACTCGAGTCCAGTGGGGCCGAGATATCGCGTGAAGTGCTGACACAGGGACGATTTATCGCCGGCAGATACATTTGCGCGTAAGTGGAGCAATTGGGAACAGCCATAGCACTCGTACATATGTACACTCACGTCCAGCTGTCACATGATCAGCAAATGCAAATGACACAAAACTTGGAAACAGGCACATAAACACAGCGCCCATCCGTCGACCGAGTCACAGACTGCGTGACGCGCTGCTTAATTTCTGCTTGCAAATTTGTCGCAAAGCGAATTTTTCGTAATTACATCATATGCTCCTCGAACGACCTTGACGGCCCCTTTTTCCCCAGCCCCTTTACATGCTGCGGGAAAGTGCCCTTGGGCCAGGTCTATCTGAAAATGTTCAAACAGTGACAGTGCGAAAAATTTAAGAATCTTTAATCTCACTAGACCGAAACCACATCCGGGCTTTGTTAATAATTTGTTAATTATTCATAGGCAGTTTGATTGATTAATTCGAAATCGAATATGAATAATTCATTGGTTTAGTTTCGATTAGTCTGCTTATTTTATTGGTAATGCATTCCCCCTAGCACAAACTCTCAGTCGTCGGCGGGCTTATTACTTATTCAAATTTTTTGCATTTTTATTTGCATATTGCATTTCACATCCAACCTTTTGGTCACCGCTGTGCAAGCCCGTGTCAAGAGCAAAATTAGAAAATAAAAATCAGCCCAGCCTTGGGGTTGTTTATACACGCACAGCCAAATGTCCGTTTTCTGCCAAGTTGCCCTTTTCAAAATGCTGCCAGAAAAAACTGTCAAAACAGTGGACAAAAAATGCCATTTGTTTTTGGTGATATAATTTTTATGTATTTTTCAAATTCCATTTCAAGAATTTAGGAAAATTGCGTTTTAGAATTGTTGATGAAATTGGTTCTGGTGTATATTTTCTGGATTTATTCGTTCTAGAAGACTGTGCAGTATATATTATGATGTTTTAGAAGGAATATGTTTATTCTGAAGTTGGATTTAATATTGCCAATAGGTTTATATTGTTATATTATTAAGGAAAATGAGGCAAAATAAAGTACCACATACATTTTCCTAACTTCTGCCAAGTCAAGAAGGATGTATGATTCCGGCATTCAGCACTGACTTTTTCATCACAGAAAATAAAGGATGACAAATATTGGCAGTAATCTCATCTTGCATATCCTCATCCAGCACAAACACATTCTCAAACAATTAGGAGCTCATAACCCTGAACGGAAAAAACAACAAAAATGCCAGAGAAAGGGAAAAAATCAATATACGGAATTTTTCTTGTGTTTGCACGACCGCAAAGTTAGTCAAGTTGAAGGCAAAAATCATAATAATCCTTTAAATAAGAACAAACTATATACATAGCTATGTACATTTATGTGGGAAAATGCAGCCGCCATTTTCGTTTTTTATATGAACCCCATAACTTTTTGAGAGCTGACAAAACTGCTGCTGCAGTTTATTGTTGCCATTTGTTGTCCTCCTGTAAAGGGTAAATATAAAACATGAAAGGACCCCGAAAGTGGGTGCCAGTCCACAGCAACACCTGTCTGTCTGACTGTGTGTGTGTGTGCCAGCACTTGTTAAATGGAACCAGTGGCCCCCTTTATGACTTTTTGCGGTGGCTTTCTTGTCAGCCTTTCAAGTTGAAAAAGTGGTTGCAGCTCACGAAAAAACGTTTCTTTTTGCAATGAGGGGGGTATTGTTTTTATCGAAAGTGTACCTAAAACTAAGGTTAATTAAAAATACAGAAAGTCTACATCAAGGTTTTGGCTTGGTGTTTTATTAAAAACAATCTTAGATTCATTGAAAATCTTTAAGCTTCCGATACTCAGGTCGGAAGAACATAGCTCTTTAGGCAGGCAGATTGTAGAGCTGCGTGAGTAAAGCAAGTTCATTTTTGCTAATAAAGAAAGTTTAACTTTAACAATTTCATTGAGCTTGAATTCAATCTAAAAAGTGTACAGCCAAGTAAATCTATCTTAAAGCGAAATGCAACAAAAATTCCCACCCACAACCGAACAAAACGTCAGAACCGCAAATCAATTAACAATTGCCAGCAAAGTGGATCTTAGCTGAACCCACTATCAATTAGATACCTCCCTCAATTAAACAGAATGGGAGCCCCGACATTAGATGTTAGGAAGCTGAGCGAGCAACCATAAGAAAGCGATTTTCTACGGTGTGAACTTTGCTGGCGTCAGAGAATATTTTTGTTTTGAACTTTCCGATGTCGGGGGTAAGCTCCGTGGGAGAGTGTTCCTTAACAGCCATAAAAGTGCAGGACCTGAAGGACAATGGGAGCCAGAAGGGGAATATGTGTTGTTTGTCCTTCTTAGACAATCAATTCGCAGAACAAACTTCATTGGGTTGGCACACTAATGGGCGGCACTGAAAGCGATTGAGAAAAGCAAACTCAATTCGATTCAAGGTGACCAACTTGTCCTTGTCCCCCGTCACATGGCTCAATCAATTCGCTTAACTCTTTCAATTAAAACGTAAAGGCAACAGGTCAAATTACATTATGTCAATTTCTTCAGTTCACTTCAAACTATTTCCTTTGAGTAATCTAAACAGCAATTTATAAACTTAAACTTAAACCCGCTTGAGAACACAACTTCTATATCTAGGCTCCAGACAATGCCTACTTTTATTACAGTCTTCCCAGTTAAACTTACGTTATAGAGCCCTCCATATAATAATCAGACCAATAACTTAAATTCGATGGCCTAGGTCAGCGTCAAATGGAACCCCTGTGTTAAATATGGCTGCTATATAACTTATCGGCCAACGTGTAGAGCCCGCAAAAGAATTGCCTCACAACCAGCCAACTTGAGGAACGACGCAGAAATTTTTGTTGACTTATCACCATAATTATAATAGGCAATTTTGGCCAAGTTAGGTGCTTAGAAATAAGTCGTTATTCCTAAATTATGTTTAGCAACTGATAACCTGGAAATGCGGATAGTTCTAGATCTTTTTGGATTCGACAAGCCAGAATGTCAATTAAAAAAGCAAGAAGTTTTGGACTAAAATGGTGACATAACTATGAGAAATTAAAAATAATAATTATTTAAAAAGCAATAAATGGACACCGCCATTAAAATCTATTGCTGTTTTGGCAGCAATGCGTGTTTTGCCAATAAATTGAAAATAGCACAGGGTAAATGTGTGAGTAAAGATAAAAATAAATTCCCATTTTATGGTCTTCGACCAAGTGGGCCAAAAGCAACTTCTACAAAAAATGCTCGTAAAGTCCATTGCGTTCTAAAAAAAAGGCTTATTTAAGTCATAATTTTATATAAATTGCAGGGCCCTTTGTCAGTTCACATCTCATCCATAGGAAAATAATATTTATTAGCAGATCAAGGTCTGTTCTGATTTTATAACTGACACTAAGGCGTTGCCGTTGCAACTAGAATAGCAATTACCCATAATCACATGATTTCTGTACTAGCACTATAAAGCCGCATATATAGCTATTTCAATATGTAAACCTATATGTCAGGTTCTGAATCCAAATCTGACCGCTGCCAAAAAGAGACCAAGAAGACCGCGTTGGCATGTTGACAGACGCCGACGCGTGTGCCATTACATACCGACTGTGAGGGTTTTTGTTCGTCTATTTGTAACTGCACAAACGCACAGATATAGTAAATACTATACTGTATACTATATTCACGACGCTCTTTGATAAGAAATTTATTAGATTAAGGCAAACGATAGCCGCCGCTTTGCTCTACTCCACACCGCCGGCAGCGGCGAGAGTGGGCTTGGGTTTTAGTCGGTCCGTCGACGAGCTGCGGGTCTGTGGTGCCTCAATCCTCAGTTCTCAATCCGTGCCCGAATCCGTATTACGAGATGCTGCCTCTCCAACAGCCCAGCTCACGCGGTTCTTTGTTTTCGGCTATTTTTGTGTAAATACGGACTGAACAAAATGTGGACTTTAAGTTTCAAGCACGATTTGCTCTGCAAAGTGAAAGTGCTGCTGGAAACGCGAGTGCATTGTAAAAGTGTAGCATACAACAGGGCGCAGCAGTTAGCACTGAAATAGTTTGCAAACCAATTTAATGGAAAATGTAATGCCAACTGAAGTTTTCTAAGCTTAAATTAGGAAATATTTAAGATTAATGACAGCATTTGTGAAGCTATCACTTAATACACCCTTTTACAAGCTATTTCACGTGAATTTATCCCTTTGATCATAAGCAAACATAGTTAGTTGGCTGTAAAAGAGTTATCTTATGAAAGGTTTTTCGCATTCGTGTTCGAAACAATGTAAATTTGAACAATAATCATTTGGTTATGAAGGCTAGACATTAGCTTATCGCTTTCAAAGGGAATAAAACCATTTTCTGCCAATTATATTGTAAAGATAAGCCAGCCTTCGAATCGCTATCACCTCGACATGCACGCTCACACAAGAGCCAGTAATCGTGATCTGAATTTGATTTTTGATAAGAGACAATTTCATTGTCTAGCTAAACTCGGAAACCAGACTGTCGCGTTTTTAAAACTGAAAATCTCAACAAATAAAGCACGCCGCTCCTTGTTTACTTGAGCATTCGGTTCGGCCTGCATTATACTCGTACTCGTACGAGCTATTTTAATCGCCTTGCCTATCGAACGTTGAACTTGGCTGTTCGAAATCACGTTCAGTTGGTCAACGTAGATACCATAGTGTATGGACTTCATGGGATGATCCATTCAGGAAGTGAATTGCAACTCTCTTTGAGTGAATAGAAGTTCGGATATGATGATAGAGCACAAGGTCCTCTTCACTTAGCTTCATATGCCAAATATAATTTATGCTCATTTCATGTAAACACGTGCATAGTGAGGATGCTTGTGCTTTTTAAATTTATTTTTGTTCGTGCTTAGAGCTTACTTTATGTATTTTGGCAAGTCATCTCACTTAAAGTTATCATTTGGCTTATTCGATATAAAAACGACGTAGTTTGTTATTGCAGAAATAAAATTTTTAAGGTGCCACAAACGTGTTTGCTTATTTTTAAATAACAACAAAAGCCTTTGATTAATATGCGTTACTTCCATTCAAAACTTGGCACAGTCGTAGGGCTGATAAAAGTTGAAATGAGAAATCCGGTTTAGGTTGCTTTTACTATGCAGGTCGTTTTTGTAATCTTTATTTGTAGAGTTAGATATATATAATGATATTTGGTAACAGGAATTCTCCTTATATATAGAAAGATTCTCCTTAACATATAGAAAGATTAGGATTTTTAACAATTCCAAATCCGGTTCTGAACCTGTGCTGGCTGGTGAAAGGCCAAATAAATGATGTTGTCATAAAATTAATCAACAAAATGAACTTAATTTCAAAAACTGATTGTAAATACTATAAAATCTTTAAACAAAAATCGTATGGAGCTTGATTTTGGGAACTATTAGAACTGCAGACTTCGCTTTAATCTTGCCAAATCAAACATTTATTTTAAGCTTTTGAAATTCTGTAACTTCCACGCTTTCATTGATAGAATACATATTTATTTAGACAATACATGGTCGACCTTTTAGATTTTGAAATCCGGCAACTAATAAACAAATTGGTGAAGGTAAAATATCAGTAATAAAATTATTATTTATCAAAGTAATGGGTATCTGATAGTTGAGGGGCACTAATATAGAGTTCAGCTTCTCATTCTGGCAGCACTGGTTGGTAATGGCCTCCAAATGTGCTATGTCAAAGTAAGAAGTTTTCAGTATACTCTGCCATATCATTCCTTTACTCCGGCCAAAGATAACACAAGTTAACACCGTTAAAAATCTCTGCTCTTCTGAAATTGAGTCCCCTTGAAAAGATTTCAGCTGCCTCTGCCATACAAATATTCCGTATTGTCTGTCAATTGAGTAAAGAAAATTAAGTTGAGCTCCCTGTGCATGGTATGCTGCGCATTTTGTGGGCATTTGGTGGAGGACTACGTATATTACTCGCATTGAATATATTAATAGGCTTTCAGCCTATTAAGCGCCTTGGTCGCATTTAAGTAATTTATCAGGGAATCTGAACTAACTTTTGTCCCCACTGCTTCTGCCTCTTTTGCAGCGTTCGCATTGAAGGCAGCTAATCGAGGAGGGAGATCATAAATCATTATCAGGTGCCGGCAAGGAGAAGAGAACAGAGAGGGCAGCGATTGAGTTGCACCATCAGAGACGAATTAATCATACGCCGCGTTGGTCGCCATACCGTCGATAGATACATATACAATGCCTGCCAATCCGCCTCCGCACCACACGCCGCGCACTTGACACGGGGAGCGGCAGAAGATCCCGGAGCCGGAGCAGCACCGCCTCTTGGCCAAAGCCACTGGGCTCAGTGTTTTGTGTTTGATTTGTGTTCGTTATTTTTTGTTCGAGCTCGACGGGCGCGCTAATTCGTTGGCATCGAATTGAAAAGTGTTTGATTTCTGTGAAAACAAAGTACCGCATGTGGCTGCCAGGGCGAAATCGGTTTACCGGCAGCATTAACTGCCACACTAACAACATCAACTGCAACTGCAACTGCAACACCAGCAGCAACTGCTCACAGTTGCCGTCAATTATCGCTCAATATATTCTCCGTTGGCCTGTGATAAACCCCCTAACGTTCTTAATGAATGACATTCGGTCCAAGTCATTCTATCGTGCAGGCAAAGCAACATCTGCAGCATCCGCATCGGCATCGACCACCACCGCTAAATCGTTCGACAACAGCCAGAACAACAATCCCCGTACTTACAACAACAGCGGCAAGTCGAACAAGGTGTTCCTGCACTACATACCCCGTGATCCGCGCCTAAGAATTTTAAATAAGACCGCCACCCTGAATAAACACTCTGATCGCACTCTGAGCGAGCTAAACATAACTGAAGATCTGTGCAATTATGGTGAATTGATTGGCGGCAGTGCTGAAACAGTGAAACTAGTGCCAGTGAAATCTTAAAAACGCATATCTCCGAATTCGATTTGTTTGTTTAATGTTGAGCTGTTGTCGTGCGGAAAGCGCCGTGTTTGGATAAGGAAAAGGTGAGTAAACTTTACTCTTTTGATCAGAAAACTACCATTTGATCAGGGTAATAGGATTTCAGACAGTTCAGTCATTTCAGTCTGTACTCATACATACTCGTATAGTACGTCCGAAACGTTAATTACGTTTTTCCTATACAGCCTATATGGCAGTCTATAATTAACCAGACAGACAGAAGAGCATTTCGGTCGAAAACAAGCCGCTAAAACGAATTTTGTTTGAAAATATTCATTTTCGGATCGCATAATTATTGGGAGACATCAGCTGCCGTCGTCGCCTTCATGTGACGCACTTTGTTTTGGGACTGATGTAAGAAGAAAGCTCTCTCCGAATACTCTCTGAACATTGTCCGCCGTTTTTCGTGAGGTCAAGTTGAAGGCGCTTCGAAAACTAAATAAACCAAATGCCAAATGACCAAACAGTTTCTGCGCGGATTTTTCAACGAAATGGTTTCGGCCAGATGTTGTTGTAGTCGCGTTGATTGGTCATTTAGATATATAACCATATTTCCTTCGAGGTAGATAAAACCAACTGGGCAATGTTGGTGTTTTCCTTCTGTAACTGACAACCTACTGCGAAAGTTTTAGAGGAGCAACTTTTCCAATTAATCAGGGAAAAAAGTGAAAGTTCAGTTTAGATAGCCAAATGAAAAGTTTAAAAGTTATTACCTATCTTTATTTTTTCAGCTACGCACTGCAGTTGACCAACAAAAAAGGGGGGAAATTCACCTAACGCCTACTTAAGAAAATTAATGCTGAAATCTAATGCAAATTGTGTTCACTTCCAATAATCGCTTGGAGAAGAAAGTGCAAATTTTACAAACCTTTTTATAGACGTAGCTGAACCCTTTACAAATCACCCCGATCACCCGGATACCGACATGGCCAAGCTAGCGTCGGACCCAAATGCCTCCTCCAACAACAATAGTTGCGAGGCGGTCAACAACAACCACAATGGACAGCATCAGAACGGTGGCGCCACCAATTGCCAGGCTCTGCCCCACACACCTGCGCCGGCCAACACGCCCCTCCACAAGGCCATCAAACACGACCTCTTCCCCGAGGTTACCTTCTGCAACCTTTCCGCGGAGGAGTTAGCGGATGGGGCAGGGCACAGCCGGGTGGTGAGAAGCAGCATCATAGCCCTCGACGACGGCACCCTGACCTGCCTGATGAACGGGAACGGACAGGTGAAGAAGCGCAAGCGCCTTATTTCGAACGAGTCCGGCGACTCAATCGACTCCAGCTCCACGGAGAAGAAAGCACCCAAAATGCCCGACGGCGGATACGGCTGGGTGGTTGTGTTTGCCTCACTGGTGGTGTCCCTTATTGCCGACGGACTGAGTTTCTCGTTCGGATTGATCAATGTCGAGCTGCTGGAATACTTTGGCGAGTCAACCTCTAAGACCGCTTGGATATCCTCGCTGTTCTTCTCCGTGCCCCTGCTGATGGGGCCAATCTGGTCCAACCTGGTGGACAAGTACGGTTGCCGCAAAATGACAATTCTTGGCGGTGTTGTCTCCGCCTTCGGATTCGCACTCTCCTCCGTGTGCAACTCCATCGAGATGCTAATGGTGACCTTTGGCATCATCTCGGGCCTAGGCCTGGGCATCGGGTACGTCACCGCGGTGGTGTCCATCGCCTTCTGGTTCGACAAAAAGCGCACATTCGCCACTGGGATCGGAGCCTCGGGTACCGGAATCGGGACCTTTGTTTATGCACGTCTCACCTCCTACTTAATCGAATCGTACGGCTGGCGGGGAGCCACGCTTATCCTTGGTGGCACCATGCTCAATGCATGCGTGTGTGGCGCCCTAATGCGCGATCCCGACTGGCTGATTGAGGAGAATCGACTGGAGAGCCGGTCTCAGAGCGTCACCACCTTTTCCAACTCCAGTGTTTGCCTGGAGGAAATTAAGAAACTACTGGACACTGGCATCACCAAGGAGGCAGTCTTGGACTCCCTAGTAACCAAGAACAACACGGAGGCAAACCAGCAGATTGACGATCCTCTGGACTCTGCCCTGAAGCGCTACCGCAGCGAGATCTTCCTGCCCACCTTTTTGAGCATACAGGAGCTGGACAGTATCTGCGAGGTGAAGAGCTTAAGCCGCCGCTCCCTTCGCCACAAGGAGGGTGCGGAGGCCCCGTCACGCGAAAACCTTCTGTCCATGTCCTCGGGTGCGGGCGCTTATCCCCCATCGACAGCCGTCATAGGATCGCCGGATGATACCTTAATGGGCGGGATCGCTCACGAGGCGGCGGAGGAGGCGAAAAAGACCTACCTGGCCTCTATCGAGACGCTGTCGCCGTCTGAGAAGCGATCTACCGGTGGAACACCCCTGGGATCACTACGCTCCTCAGATGAGGGCTACCTTACCCAAAAGCACGCCAGCTCCCGGTACTCGCTCAACGAGAACCTCTTCATGGCCAAGCACACGACACCATCGATCTCCAACCTGAAGGTGAACGGCCTGCGTCACAATTCGGTGGACATCCTGAGTGAGGACATGCACTGCTACTACTCGAAGGACGAGACTTTCGCCTTGCTAGAGCCAAGCAGGCGGGTCGGACCAACTGTTATAGCCATTCCGGAGCAGGAACAATCGGTAAACAGCGAACTGGCCACACGTCGTGCCCGTTTGGACAGCATAACCGGGATTCGGCGGCTGTCGCGCTCAAAGAAGCCCAGTCAACACCGATCTAACCTGCGCCGCAACATCTCGATCCGGAACTCCAATTTCCTCAAGGACATGCGCATCCACCGCAACTCGATCCACTACCGTGGGGCCATGCTGAACACTCACCGCTACCGTTTGCGTGCCTCCTCTTGTCCCAACATCTACCGCAACTCAATGACCACCATCGCCAAGGAGGAGGAGGATGTGAGTATACAGTGACCTTTACCCCGCCCTTATCGGCTGGTCGCTTGGCGACAGCCCCAGCTGGTTAATGCTCAAAGCTGGTTATCAGCTGCTCTCAGTCCTCTGAATGGTCGCCTAGTTGGACCACATGGGCGAACGTTCCTCGACTGATAAGGTGACCGCTCCGATTTCCGTAATGCCTACGTACAGCGGGATCATATCAGTTGAAGAACCTAGCCGGCTTTTTACCTTGAACTATCCCCTTTTGATTGAAAGTATTAAAAATTAGTCAGATATGACAAATTTTATTTTGTTATTTAAACTTTTAATTAGTTTGTTCATTAATTAATGCAGAACTCAAGCATTTTAATAACTTAACACTTAATAAACGTCCTAAATTGAGTCATTATTTTAGTAATACTATTTATTAAGAATAAAATATAAATGAGAGCATATATTATAACAACTTACTAAATTTCATATTCCTCCCGGCAGACCTGGTACGACAATTTCGTGGACACCATGAAGTCCATCTTTGACTTTTCCCTCTTTCTGGACATGAAGTTTGCGCTCTTCAATCTCTCCACATTGTTTTTGTTCATTTGGTGAGTACTTTTTTGGCAATATAAATATAAACAATATCGAAGGTCCCAAGCTGCGCACGAACCGTCGGCGAATGAAATGCTAAAATTAATAGATGAATGTGCCGCCAAGCCGTCAAATGCAAATTGTACATTTGCCAGAAGATGTCGCAAACAATTTTGGCAGCTGTTCGAAATCGAAAGGTGCTGGTTGCACAACAATGATATTGGCCAATAGCCGTGGAATTCCAAACAATAAGTTATCGAACCGCCTTTGGCAGTAGGGCTCAAGATCATGGTTTATCTAACCCCACGTCCATTAGATTTTAAGTGTTCCATCGATAAGGCAACTAGTTGGAATCAATTCAAACTCAACCTTGTCCAGATAATACTCTCCATTCTGAACAGTTACTAATCTATCCCTTGGCACGCTCCACAGGTTCATTATACCTTATCTTTACCTACCCGACTACATGAAGCAATATGATTACGATGTGAGCGTGAGTGCCGAGTTGATATCGGATGTCGGCATTGCCCAAACTGTGGGCATGATAGGACTGGGCTATCTGGGGGATCTGTCCTGGATGAACATTAACATATGCTATTCGCTGTGCATGTTGGGTAAGTTTCTGCCAGGAACCTTTCGATAACACATTATCACTAATATTAACCGAAATCCTTTCAGTGTGCGGAGCTTCGGTGTTCTTTATGCCTTTGCTGATGACCAACTACATTGGCCTGATGGCCATGTGTGTCATTTTCGGATTCACGTTTGCCAGCTCATTTTCGTTTACGCCCAGCATCCTGGTCAGTATTGTTGACCTGGACGATTTCACGTGTGCCTACGGTCTGGTGCTGCTGGTGCAGGGAGTGGGCATGATCGCAGGACCCCCCATTGCCGGCGTTATATACGAGCATACGGGCAGGTGAGTTCGATTAGATGTTAAATCAGTCGGTTTGTTAATAATACCGTAATCCTTTTTTCAGATGGGACGACACCTTCTACTATGCTGGCATATTTATAGCACTCTCCGGCGTCTGTTCGTATCTGATCGAGTTCTGCGAGAAGAAAGCACCTAAGGAGAGTGATAGTGATGTCTCAGAGACTAAAAAAGCTCAACTTTTACACTAGGTTACTTATAATACACTGTTGAATGCCGAAGGTGGAAGACAACTGGAGGTACTACAAATCGGAACAGTAGCCTGTAGCATTAAATGTTAACGAGTTTCTTATGTCAAATGGTGTTGCATCCATAAAATCAGAGCAGAATTGTAACTGAAACTGAGCCTATTTCATAAGTCTTAGCCAGTAAGCCTATACTTGACTTGACTAATCGTAGCTAAGTACCGATATACACCTAATATATAATTACCGCACTAGGGCAATTTACTATTCGCATCTGTAATCACACTTAGAAAAACTGTTCAATTTCAATCAATATCAATGCAGTGCATCACTGCCAGGTGCAAACGGGTCCCTCAATTGTCTTCTTTACAAAAAATTATAGAAATAGTTTTAATTGCCTTACATTTCGTACGAATATTAATTAAATACAATAAACAACAATCTATGTAACGTATGCAATAATACAAGCGACCATTTTCAATCGACCTAAAACTCACAATAAAGTCTTTGGAGCATTTGTTTTTAAACCAAACAAAAATAATGTACATCAAACGTCGCGGATCCCAAAAGTTTCTAAATTAACAAAAAAAAAACAACTGAGCAAACTAGGGTATACAAAATAATTATTGTTGAATTGAAAAATGTGTTTTTCACGATTTGGCAAAGCTTTTCTTAGGCGAAACACAAACAAGATTTAGAATAAAAAATACATTTATGTAATATCTTACAAGTTCAAGTATTATTACAAGGAATACAAACATATTTATAAATAGTTTATATCGTTAGCGGAAAAATCCTTTAAACAAAAACACTCTTCAAAAAATGAAGCAAACTTAGCCCTATAGCCTATAGCCTATAGCCTATATAGACTTATAGATAACAGTAGTTGTTGATTCCAATCACTTTAGCAAATATGTACATAAACGAAAATGAATCACAATTCTATATTATTTACAATTGAACAATTATCTACCGAAAGCCTATTAAGAAATAAAAAATCACTTGAAATTTAACAATGGGTATTGTTTTTTGGTTTTGCGTGTAAGAGATGGTAGAAACTAGAATATGAAAAAATACTTTTACCCCCGGATCTTAAAAGCAATTAAATTTTTGATTGATTCGTTATACTTTTTGTTACTGTATTGATTTTGAACTAAAATATTTTTATGAGTGAGATAAATAAAAAGGATAGAAAATGTTGAACAGGATTTCTAGCAAATAGTCAGTCAGACTTGGAAATGTTCAATAGACTTTATATTCTCCCAAAGACAAGCCACTATTCAATCCGCATTTTTAATATTTAGTATGTATATTTATTATTCTGCATTGTGTTGGGCAAATACAAATATTATAAATAATTTGATTTACGTTTACAGTTGTATCTTTCGTTTTGTCTGGCAATCGCCTTTAATTTAATATATAAACTTCGTAAAATACTAAATTGATCATTGAATCGCATGAACAGCATTTACGTGTTTTCACTGTTAATGCAAGTTGAGTGTGTAAATTATATAATCCCATTTCAGCTCGCATGTTTTGTATATTTTGTTAAAGTACTTTTTTCTTTTTCTAAGGTATGTATAAAGACTATAGCGGATTGCACAACAAAATATGAACAAAGCAAATGCGTTGAAAAGGAAACGTAAAAATATTCATATATGTAATTATGTCTTTATATGTATGTATAGAAGAGGAGCAGATACCCATTGCAAGAAAGGGGCGTGACGCAGCATGTCGGAGCTGGACCTCACTGAAAACGAATCACAATGAAAATTCACATAGTTTGAGTTTGGTTTATATATTACACATCATTTTGTTAAGATCCCAATGTATAACTATCGGTCTTTACACGAAGTAACTAGCAAACTAATTTCAATATACACAAAATACATGCATAAAACATTAATAAATGTTTCGATCAACTTTATAAAATTTAGAAATCACGCACGACACATTCACATACACAAATGTTGTAGGTTTTGGTTTATTTCGGATTTCTTTCCTTTTGGTTTCTTTTGGTAAATTAAAACGTAGCTGAACAAGGAGATGTGATTTCTTGTAGTTGCCTGATCTTTATGGTTTAACATTACGCTTAGTGTTTGAATGCTAGTTAAGTGGTAGCTATGTTTACGTGGTTAGTTACGGTTGAGATAGAAAACAAGAAATATGTCCCTTCAACTACCTTCTATTAGTTAGTCACTAAAGTAGCTTTTACAGAAGCGGCTACGTCTATCCCAGAATTGCAAACGGGCATCTGCGGTTTACTCCTAGCAGCAGCCACTGTTTGCTGCTCCAGCTGCTCCTCCGGCTCCTGGCAGCGATGGGTTTGTGGGCGAATGCTGTTGGCCAATCTTGATGCCGTTTGCCTGAGAAAAAACATTTGAACTATTAATTCAACGATTTTGAAAGCTAATTGCATCGTACTCACCTCATTGTTGATGTCGAAGACTCCTTCCTGGATCTTCTCGTAGATCTCCTTGGCCGTGTTTATGAACGCCTCCTCCACGTTAGCTGCCGTACGCGCTGACGTCTCCATGAACACAAGTCCGTGCTCTCTGGCAAAAGCCTCACCCTCCTCCTTCTTTACCTCGCGCCGCGAGTCCAAGTCGCTCTTATTACCGATCAGCATTATCACCATGTTCGAGTTAGAGTGCTGGCGCGCATCCTCTAGCCAGGTGGTGAGGTGGTTAAAGGTCTCTCGCCTTGTAATGTCGTAAACCAGCAGGGCACCGGCAGCTCCGCGGTAGTACGATCGTGTGATCGACCTGGTAGAAAAAATTAAATGTTTTTAAAAGATTTCTTCTCACTGATAATAAGAGGCCACTTTAAATTTAGTTGCCATTTATGCATCATTGGAAAGGCAAGTTATAAAATTGCATTAAATTTTGATTACTTTAGGAGACCTCTAAGAACTGCAAGTTATCTGCATTTGGAATTAACACTAAAAAATTATTCCTAAACTTTTAGAATGGTTTTTAGAACTCGATAAAATTAACACGATAACATTAACACTGTACGAACCTGAAAGCCTCCTGTCCAGCTGTGTCCCAGATCTGTAGCTTGATCTGCTTGCCGTCGATGGTGATCATGCGAGCTCCGAATTCGACGCCGATGGTCAGGTCGTGCACAGGCTGAAAGCGCTTGTCCGTAAACTGGAGCAGCAGACAGGACTTGCCCACGCCTAAGGAAAAAGCAAAAGGTTAGTTGGCGAGCAGGAGAAAGTTGAAATGGCTGAAAAACTGCCAACAGCTGTTGGGCATCCCAAAATGCAGAATGCTGATAAGCCCGTGGCTCTTTGGGGCGGAATCCCTCAATTACAGGGGGTGGTTGGGTGACTCAGCAGCAGGGTTTAGTGTGTGGGTTGAACCCCGCACCCCGGAAACTCCCATCTCAGTAAACGCCTGTATGCGTTGTTATGGTTTTATTGATTTTTCCTTCGGCCGCCCGACTCCCTCGTTATACTTGTGTAGACTCGTGAGTTCTCCGTTGGCATTTATCTCTTATTTTATTTCCAAAAATCACTAGATTAGAGCGACCTCTGCACCTCCGATACTCTTTGTTTTGTTTGCCAATTACAGATTGTTTCCCTAACAATGGCCAACTTTTCACTGGCCATTCCCTTTCAAAGGGGAGTCGCAGTATCCACTCACCTGTATCGCCGATAATGATGTATTTGAACAAGTAAGCGTAGGACATGTTTGCAGATAAGTGGATTACAGCAAGTTAGCTTTTGGAAAGTTCGATCTCGTAATACCACAAATAATACGCAATTCTTGTAAGTTTTCCAATCTGTTCGTATTTATGATGACTGGCTCCCGACAGTGTGGCCACTTTGCGACCAGGGCTAACGGAAGTACCAAAAACATACTAAAAACCGACCGATAGCGATATGACTGCGATAACAGCTCACTGACTCTGCCCAATCGATAGGCATATGTATGTATGTAGAATTTGTCAGAAATTTTCTCGCACAAAGCAAAGTGTTTTGGATAAACGCTATTTAATTGTTGTGAAATGCGCCAGCGCAAGTAGAATCCATTCAGATAACTACAGTGCAGGATCCCAAATCCGGAGACTCCAGTGGGGCAGGGACTGCGCTAAAATTCAGGCTCTGCCAGCGATTTTCTCCCCAAGGCGTAGGCACAGGCGTTGTGGATCATCGCGTCTCCGAGCAGGTGAAACATGAAGATGGCTGACGGCTCGACAATATTGCGTAGGAACCGGCCAGGCACAAAATCCAAGGTGAGTACTAACCATTATCCCAATACCGGAACCTCAACCAATTGACCACCTTCTAGGACTTCTGTCGCTGGCCCGACGAACCCCTTGAGGAGATGGACAGCACGCTGGCAGTGCAACAGTACATTCAGCAACTGATCAAACGTGACCCGAGCAACGTGGAGCTCATCCTGACCATGCCTGAGGCGCAGGATGAGGGCGTTTGGAAGTACGAGCATTTGCGGCAGTTCTGCATGGAGTTGAATGGTCTGGCCGTGCGGCTACAAAAGGAGTGTTCACCGTCGACGTGCACCCAGATGACGGCTACCGATCAGTGGATATTCCTGTGCGCTGCCCATAAGACGCCCAAGGAGTGTCCGGCCATTGACTATACTCGCCACACATTGGACGGGGCCGCCTGTCTGCTTAACAGCAACAAGTACTTCCCGAGCAGGTATGAGGGATCCCAGGCTATCTGGAACTAGCCACATAATGAGCAAAGTGTTTCCCACAGGGTGTCCATCAAGGAATCGTCAGTGACCAAGCTGGGCTCTGTGTGCCGGCGCGTTTACCGAATCTTCTCGCATGCCTACTTTCACCATCGTCGCATCTTTGACGAGTTCGAGGCCGAGACGTATCTGTGCCACCGATTTACGCATTTCGTCACAAAATACAATCTGATGTCTAAGGAGAATCTGATCGTGCCCATCAACGTGGGCGAGAACGCAGCACCTGGCGAAAGCGAGGCATAGACGCTCGCTTAGATCAGTCAGACTCTTATAGAACACTCATTCAACATACATATATTTATATTTACCAATAGCTTGCAGCTCGAGTGGGCTCACCCTGACAGAGAAACATGGACGGAGGAAACCCGACTCGAATGCAAATCTTGTATGTAGTTTAAATGTCAAATTCACATAGAGCTACATAACGATAACTAAGTAACAAGGGCAGACCCAGATATAAGCAGGCCCACTCAACATCGTTCGCCCCATCTGATCCTAAGTCAGCAATTATTCCGCAAGTTATATTACGATTATGTTTAACTCCTTATTTTAAATAAATTATATGTAGACACACGACCTTCTTGTGGCTGAACCCACATCAGAACCCCAAAAACCAAATTCCCTTTAAAAACTGGCAGCCAAAACACCAACAAAGCTGTACGTGACTAAAACGTGAACTTTACTATACAAAATTACTATATACACAAATTGCAATAAAAGAAGTACATACACACAACAAAGATGGGTTCTTGCCGCCTGAGAGACTTTCATCAAACGATATTTACTTCGAGCATGGGCTGCTTGTTCACAAGGCGTTCGAAGCCGAGGCGCGAAAGATCCAGTGTGGTGAACTTACCGTCCAGGATTAGTTCGGATATGGCTCGACCCACAGCTGGAGTTTGCTGAATGCCGTGCCCGCTAAATCCTGCCGCTATAAAGAGATTTCTATAGTGAGGGTGTCTCCCAATGATTCCGTTTGCGTCGAATGTATTGTGGTCGTAGTATCCCGCCCAACTGCTCTGGATTTTTACCGACTCGAAGGCCGGCACTCGGCTCGCCAGTGTGGGCCAGACATTCGATTCAAAGTAACCATGGTCCACATCTAGCGTTTCGCACTCCGGCTCTTCGTCTTCGCTGGGACTGCGGCCGCAAAGGAAGTTTCCACAGAGACCATCTCGCCGAAAATAAGTGCCATCTGGGTCGACCGTAAGAGGTGTAGCCACGCCCGGACAGTTCCGTCCCTGAGTGCTGTATACATAGACGTAACGCTTCCGAGGCTCCACTGGCAAAGCTACACTCAGGGAGCCTTCCTTTGCTCCCGGATTTCCGATGCCTGCCAAACGCGCAACCTGACCCGAATAAGCTCCCGCTGCGAGGACGCAAGTGTCGAACTTGACCGTGCGCTGTTTTCCGTCTCCGGCATCTACCACAGCACCAGAAAGGGCTCCAGAGTCATTCCACTCGAAACCCACCACCGAACCATTGGCAAAATTGGCGCCCAGGGCACGCGCTTTCTTCTTGTAGCCCATGAGCAGGGCCCACGGATCAAACCATCCTTCTTTATCGATCCCGTGACATCCCAATTCCACGTCATCCGTAGACAGCCACGGAAATCTGCGTCGCAATGCCTCTGGACCAAGAAGTTCATTTCGGGCTCCCAACTCGTTTTGCAGCTTTGAATTCTGTGACAGGATATGCGCACCCTTTTCAGAAGCCAGGATCAAGTAGCCGTTCGGCTGGTAACAAAGATCCACATCACCCAGGTGCTTCTGGCCGTTCACCACAAAGTTGTAGCCGAAAAGAGACATCTCTATGTTTTCAGCCAGCGAAAATTGCTGACGAACTCCACCCACAGAAAGCACTGTAGAGGCGCTGGTGTACTAAAAAAAAACAAAAAAAGAACTTATAATAAATCATCTTAATAACGAAATCAGGCGAACTATTATTTAAAGCGATTAAGAAAGGTTTTGTTCGTCTGGTATCTCCTTTAGTATTACATTTGAACAATTCAAGACAAGCGTAAATGTTACTCTTGGGATGTGCTTCTAATCACTAGTGATCTTAGTGATGTTAACTATCAAAATTCCGAATGCCAGCACGAACGTCGATTCTTTAACTATTACAAATTTTAGCATGGAATGTCAGTACTTACCCCAGCATCCCGCTCCACCACCAGGACGTTAAGCTTTTTACCAAGCTGGAGCGTCCGGGACTTAAGCCAGAATGCGGAAGAGGCTCCCATACCCCCTCCACCGATTATCAGGACATCGCAGCTCTCGGGAAGGACATCGCCTTGTGGTTTGCCACTCAATGACCGTAGCTGACGCAGTGCACCCGGTCGCAGAACTCGTCTCAGACACAACATTTTTCACACTAACCGGTGGCCTGCACATTCGTGTGATGATAACGCCATTGAAATCCGCCAGATTAGATTTGTGCAGCTTTCCGTAAGTACTTTGTGTGCACAGCAAATAATAATGGAATTACAGTAAAAGGTGCCTTAGTGAACTGCTTTAAAGGGATTTTAAGTACATCTTCTTATGAAAAATTAAGCTTGATTTTATAGATCCATCCTTAGAGTATTACTTAGGAAAATATATTTTAGTATACAATTTCAGAAAATAGTCTTAGAATCTGTTTAGAAAAATGCATTAAAATTTAGAAGTTAATAACATAATTTACACATGAGTTACCTTTTTAAAGAAATCCTTCACTTAATGCTAAAATTCGATTAATAAGATCAGAAAATAAACAATTAGGGTATCTATACCCAAAGAGCATTTACTGTAAACTCGAATACTATGTCTAAAAAAAATGAATAATAAAAGACCTCCCGTTATCTTCGGAGAGCTAATCTTTCATTGCCCTCAATTGCTTTAATGCCATAATGCTATTGTGATAAATTAGGCTTTATTTGTATATCCTTACAAAGGGCAAACAAAGGAGTTTTCACAGTTATAGTTGGCTATCTGTACAGGTTATCTCAGCCTTGACTCTGACTAGTGGGCTGACTCTCTTCTACGGCAGGTTTTCCGTGTTGTTGGGCTGGTTTATTGCGTCCGGATCTGTTGCGCTTGTTTGGTCGACCGCCAGCACCTGGTTGTTGTTGCTGCTGCTGCTGACGGTGTTGGGGATGGGGCTTAGCTCCTCCGCCCTCCCAGAAATCAGTGGATGTATTTGGCTTTTGTAGGCTATATAAATAATATTGCATTAAGGGAATGTTGCATTTGGGATTCTCGTTAAGCTTACCCCTCTATACTATCCGGCAGCTCGTCCAGGCTCATAAGGATGTGTAAGGTGGGTATCTGGCGGTTGACAATAATCTCCTCGAGCCCTTCCATCTGGGGCTTCCAGTGCTCTTCCACACTATATTAAACTCACTATAATAGTTATGACACCTTCGCTATGTTTATGAGAACCTCACCTGGTGTAAGCCATGCGTGTCACCTGGTAGACAGGGTGACTTCGCTTGAGCACCTCTGCACAGGATATGGTCTTTACCACTCCGCCGCCAGATCCGCTCCAAACCACGCATCTGTGTTCGCCCTTGTTTAGCGCTGCCTGAGCATACTCAATAACATTGCCAATTTTCGTCCCGCCTTTTACCTTTAAATACGAAACTCGCTTAGGAGAAGGCTCGAAGAACTAGATTTCAGTACTTACATGCATCCAAAGAAAGTCCTTTTGGGACTTTGGCATGCAGTCCTCGAATGGCAAATCGCTTTTGCTAAGCTCTTTTTCCACATTCTCGGCCTTGCGGTAGTGCATCATACTGAGGCCGTCCGTTAAAATCTGCAAATAAAATTGTTTTACTCTATCAGAAATATAATCACTGCGAAGCCCTTCAGCAATAACCTTGAACCTATAATGGGAGAAAAAGACCCCGGAGCTCCAGAATCTCAAGAACCAACTTAACAACCAACCACTCGTCGTTAACTGTCCGGAGCAGCTATTGCCTTGGCACAGTCCGTGCAAATTGAATAATTGCTTGGTTTATGAGCCGAGAGAGCAGGGCGGTATGGAAGAAAACAAGCTGCAAATGGTGTAAGCAGCCAGGTCTTTTGGCCGGCTATGTAACCTACACTTTCCTGATCTCAATATCCAATAGAATGCATATCTAACTTTTCAATTCATAGAAATGTTTAGTCATTTTTGAATACAATAATCCAAAAAGCAGTTAACTATATTTATTAAATATTGATAATATTTTATATTATATCCATTCTTGTTTAAACTAAATGCAATTTATAATTTATTTTTCAACTTTAAGTCAATAAAATTGAAATAAATTGGTTAAATACAATTTTCATTTTGCTAAGAAGTAAGACAAACCCTTTGCCAAAACCTTGACAGTCTTTGCTCTGACTTAATGCACTTTGGAGAGGAGTTCAAGTAAAAGTCAATAAAAAACCATTTCTACAGCAATTAAATGAGCGCGGATGCAGGAGCGTTTTCGCAGCGTTTTCCCATTAAATAAAGCCCTGCTAGTGTCGGCCACTAGACAACGGGCTGCGGACTGAGGGCTAAAGAATGGAGGTCACCGAGGGATGATAACCACAGAAGCATGATGCCACTTGTTGAAGCTGAGGCCGAACAACATTTTAGTGCCTGGGGTGGTAGCTGCAGCTGAATTCGACAGCAGCAATGAAAGTTTATTAATGAACTTTCATCCAGCAACAAAAAAAAAAAAAAGAAAACGAAGGAGGAATCAGATGATGATTGTGTGGGATGATGATGGCAAGAACATGGAGCCACGTGTCCCAGACAATTCTATGGCCCAATGCAGCCGGAACGAAAGGAGCCCGAGTTGAAAAAGGAAAACGGGCAGGAATTTTCCGAGAGGAATGCGTTGAAATTCCTTCTATTTCTGCTCCCGGTTGGGCTACCCTTCCCGCCATCGTCGTCGTCGTCATCTCCATCGTCATAATCACTTGGTATAGCCACCATTCCTATCAAGTACGTCCTGAACAATAATTCAATTTGGTGCGGAAGTTATTAATAAAACGGTTCGCACCCCCGGCGAGGATAAGTGGGAAGTCGTGGGAAGCTGTCCTGTCAATGTAAATTGTTGGATGTTTATGACAACACGTACTTTGAATTAACTCACCCATCGCCAAATTGAGTTTTATTTTAAGATCAAAATTAGGTTTGCTAAGCATTTAACATTTAACAACTCAAAACTTAATTTTATATGCGTATACGCAATATCAAGCATACGCAACGTTGCAGCCTCACATGGGCAATGGTAGATATTTAATTCCTCACTCCCCTATCCTTGGCTTTGCATATCTTCACGCACAACGGAAGAGGATTGGTAGTCACCCACTCCTCCGCTCACAGCCATGAATGAAGCGTCGCAAAAATTCCATTTATTTGCCATTTCAATCGCACCAACCATCAGCCATCAACCACCAAGTACCAAGCGCCATCACCATCACCCCATCCCGGCTCCAGCCCACTGAAGTATGCATTCATTAGACATGCCAAGGCAGCCGAGGGAGAAGCCGCAGCAGCCGCGACCGAGCTTAGCTTTTGGCCAGACCGCAGAGCAAGGATCAGTTTGGTTTCGCAAGTCGTGGCCAACGGTTCGTTGTCTCGGACTCGGAATACAAATCAACCACCGGAGTTCTCTTAGCTTCAAGTAAGTGCCACGGATCCGGTAATAACCCATTGGCAATTAGTGGACTATTTGTGAATTGTATATCTTACATGGCCGTTAAAAATGCCCAAAGGAACCGCAGTTTAATTACAAACAAAAATTGTGTTTATGCAAACTACCAGCGAATAAATCGGGCAAAATTAAGGAACAAAACAATGTTCAACCCACGCACAACATCCGAAGAAATAAATATCAAACAGCCTCCATATAAATACATCAAGTTCAATGTAAAATTTAATAGTCGGGTTTATAAAAAGCCACAAATAAAACTTCGAACACAGCGGGGATAAATCAGACCCAATAAATAAAAAAGGAAATAGTTTATTTTTGCCAAGGAATTGTAGTGGATTGCTTAACTAAACTAAAAATACCAAAACAGGAATATAAATGAAAATATTTTCAATTTGTGCTATTATATCCGGGATAATTTTGATGTTTTTTTAGATCGATTTAATTGATCGTTTAATGGGTATTGAAAATTTTTTAAAAATAATACAGAGCCGAGAAACTACAACTGCGACTACTAAGCGACATTGCAAAAAGTTTCTTAAAGTCCTAATCTCTTAAAATATAAACTTTTTAATTTGGCTGGCTAACAATTAACAAAATAGTTATTTAAACCAAAAGACCCCCATTTTGTATATGTTTTTTAAAATTAAAACGAAGGTATGACACAGTAAAAAGATAAGCCTTAAAAACGTATGCGACAATATTAATCTTATAATTTTGTTAAGTAAAATTATCAAATAAAGTCCTCTTTATTTGTCATTTTCGAATGATTTTATAACTTTTATATCTCAAAACTTAAGTAATATATAAAAATGGCAAATATATTTAGTTTCTAAAAAACTTCTCGCACACATTATCAAATTTGTGCATTTTCATATTGAAATATTTTTGTTATATTAAAATCGCCCACTTCGCTGATTCATTGAAAAATTTTCCAACTTTTAATACTAAAGCCCAGCGTGGGGGTAAACGAAAAAATTCGAAAACAGGCAGGAAAACGATTTGGGGAAGCGACCAAAGATGGATAGCACCGAATTTCGAAAACGTGGCATGGAAATGGTGGAGTACATCTGCAACTATCTGGAGACTCTGAATGAACGCCGAGTCACGCCCAGCGTGGAACCGGGATATCTGCGGCATCTGCTGCCAAGTAAGGCGAACACTCTCGAAATTGGTTTAGATTCTTCCTCAACTCCCCACTCGCTTAGCTGAGGCACCACAGGAGCCAGAAGACTGGGACCAGATTATGCGAGATGTCGAGGATAAGATCATGCCCGGCGTGACGCACTGGCAGCATCCGCGCTTCCATGCCTATTTTCCGGCGGGCAACTCGTTCCCCTCAATTCTGGGCGACATGTTGGGTGACGGAATCGGATGCATCGGCTTTTCCTGGGCAGCCAGTCCCGCGTGCACCGAGCTGGAAACGATTGTGCTTGATTGGCTGGGCAAGGCCATTGGCTTGCCGGATCACTTTCTCGCCCTCAAGGAGGGCAGCACTGGCGGAGGAGTCATCCAGGTAGCATCTAAACCACTAAACCACCACGATTAATAATAAGAAGACTTTAACTTTCAACTTATTTTCCATTGTCTTCTAATGTGTTTTGTGGGCCTAAAGACTTCCGCATCGGAGTGCGTGCTAGTCACGATGCTGGCTGCCAGGGCACAGGCCCTTAAGAGGCTCAAGGCGCAGCATCCGTTTGTAGAAGAAGGCCACCTCTTGTCCAAGCTGATGGCCTACTGCTCCAAAGAGGCGCACAGCTGCGTGGAGAAGGCGGCCATGATCTGCTTCGTGAAACTGCGTATCCTTGAGCCTGACGAAGACGCCAGTCTGCGCGGTCAGACCATCTACGAGGCCATGGAGGAAGACGAGCTGCAGGGCTTAGTGCCGTTCTTTGTCTCCACCACGCTGGGCACTACAGGCTCATGTGCGTTTGACAATCTGCCGGAGATTGGCAAGCAGCTGCAGCGCTTCCCGGGCGTCTGGCTGCATGTAGATGCCGCCTATGCCGGCAACAGCTTTATCTGCCCCGAGCTGAAGCCCCTCCTAAAGGTGAGTGGGTTTCCCAGAGCCCAACCAACCTGATTCCAACCCATTCACAGGGCATCGAATACGCCGACTCATTCAACACGAATCCCAACAAATGGCTGCTGACCAACTTCGATTGCTCGACGCTGTGGGTGCGGGACCGCATCCGCCTGACATCAGCCCTGGTGGTGGATCCGTTGTACCTGAAGCACGGCTACTCGGATGCGGCCATCGACTATCGTCATTGGGGAGTTCCACTCAGCCGTCGTTTTCGTTCGTTGAAGCTGTGGTATGTAGCATGTGCCATATGGGGACCGAAAGGCCCTCGACAGCCAAGTGCGAATGGGTCTGTTGACTATTGTCGAAAAGTGAATAGTTTTTGGATTGGCCTGGAGTGGCGTTAAGTATGTTGACTTGTTCGACTGAAGTATGCCCTCGCGGTATTTGCTTGCGATTTAGTTGTAAATACCAGGTTTTCTAAACCCCATGAACGCTGGATCTATCCCTCAGATGAGAAGAGTCCACAACGAAATATGACATGACATGACGAGCAAACATGGTCATTGCTAATTGTTCTCACCCAAAAGAATCTAGCAAGCTTAAGCACTTAAGAACGCTGAATACTATTTCCCAAAATGCTGAACGAAGAACGTATTTATAGGTTCGTGCTGCGATCTTATGGGATTTCCGGGCTGCAGCACTACATACGTCACCATATCAAGCTGGCCAAGCGATTTGAAGAGCTGGTGCTCAAAGATAAACGCTTCGAGATCTGTAACCAAGTCAAGGTGAGTTACATTTGCTTTCGTTTCGTTTCTTTTCTCTTTCATTTCCCATTATTTTCGATTGATTTGATTTCTTCCAGTAATTAATCATGCTTAAAGTTCAAAGCTCTTTTGTGCACCCCACTGAAATGTGTGGGATTTTCATTGAGGCAAGTTGTGGGTGTGTGGGTCTATTATTTTCGGACCAAGGGCCGACCAATTCCATGTGGGGCTCAGCTATAATTGGGAAATTGATTGGCGAGTAACGCAAGTATCGGTGCCTAAACTCTGTCAGGGAGCCTTGGCCACGAAGACGTGAACTTGTTCACACCCGCCTGGCAAGTGAGGCAAACGTGCGCAACTACACGCCAAATTCCGCAAAGAAACTGGCGCAAAAAATTGATTTCTTTTTCGCTTTGGCAATAGAAGTGTTTTGGCATAATTGCCATACAAAATCATTTAGAGACAGGCACAAGTGATTCATCGAGTCAGCGACTGACATCTGTTTCGAACTCGCTGAGCGTAAGCGTGCCCAATCGAATTAAGTGATCGATTCGGTAGCGGATCTACAGATGTTCATGCTCTGATGAGAACCGTTTTTTTGTTACAATTAAAAATTTCATCGTAAACAAGAATAAGTTTATAAAAAAACATTACACGGGGGCTGAACATACATCAGGTTATCAGGGTTTTGACTTGCCCTCCCCCATTTAATCATTTTAATCTCTCATAAAGTGTTTATTTGACAAACTTTTCATTCGCTTAGCTCAGTAAACTTCACACCAAAGGGTTTAGTTAGAAAATGATGTTTACGAATAGAAAATTGTGGAATATACAGGGAAATCCAATAAGAGAATCAGTTCGAAAAGTGATTTTTTGAGATTTTATAAAGTTTATTCCAATGGTTGAAATCCAATCGATTGTCTTTTTGAAATGATCTTTCAATAAAAAACCTTTTTATTTTTCTTAAAACCATCTACTAATAATATGAAGAACAGAAAATAAAAGTTAAATTTTTGTATTAGCTGGGCCTGGTCTGCTTCCGTCTGAAGGGTACCGATAAGCTGAACGAAAAGCTGCTTAGCATAATCAACGAGTCCGGGAAACTGCACATGGTACCGGCCAGCGTGGGTGAACGCTACATCATCCGGTTTTGTGCGGTTGCCCAGAATGCAACCGCCGAGGACATCGACTACGCCTGGGACATTATCGTGGACTTTGCCAACGAACTGCTGGAGAAGGAGCAACACGACGAGCTGTCCGAGATTATGAACCGGAAGAAGCAGGACACGCTGGCTCAGAAGCGCTCCTTCTTCGTGCGTATGGTTAGTGACCCGAAGATCTACAATCCGGCTATCAACAAGGCAGGCACACCCAAGCTATCAATGGAGCTACCATCGCCGGTGGTAAGTCGCGGCAGTGCCCCTATTATACGGACTCAAAGTTCGGTGGATCACAACTCGTGGATATCCTGGCCACTGGCCTTCCTCTTCAACAGCATCAACGAGGAGAAGGGCAGCAATGTCTCGTTGCGGTGAGTCAAGTTCAGAGAAATACGCTGCGTCAAGAAAGTCAATAGAAAATCTCTCAGAAAAATAGATTCACATATATTTTATCTTTTGCTTTTCCGCTTGTAGGTTAGCAAATAAAGATTGTTAGAAAAATCACAAAAAAATGTAATCAATAAACACAAAACCTTCTTTTACAGCTTCCGACATCTGGACACGAACGTAAGACCCTCGTCGTCACGTCGAAATTCCGGAGCAGGATCCTCACCTTCTCCAGAAAACGAGTTGGAGTATGTGAATGTCCAGCAGCAGCAACTGGAGCAGCGATCCCCACGACGATCGCCCATGGTTGTGCGCAAGTCATCGGCCACACGGGATAATCCCAACTAATAAATATCCACTCAGTTTATGAAAACACACTACTATAATGCAGTATTAGCGCTTCCTTAAGCCGGGCGCCTAGTTGAATTCTAGACCAATCTACAATGCGGTGGGACACCAAACAAAGGGCTTCTCACGATCTCCCATATAATATTTATGCTATAAGTTCCCTGGTGGCAATATCAAACGAATAACTTTCTTGTTTAGCAAATGCAATAAATATTATTTCAAAATATTATATTTGGGTCTTGGAAGTGGGGAAAGCAAATTGTGTAACAGACTTCACATTTCATTTTTGTCAAAATTTGATTACCAAAAAATCATTTGAATTTGTTTTGTTTGTTAGCCTCTCTAGTAACACCTCTTTTTCTCACGCTGTCACCCAAGATCATGCGTTCTCCTCTTATTTGCAATGACATATGTTCGAGAGATCAATATGTTGGATCAACTTTGAAAACTAAAATATGCATATGTACTGACACATGGTAAACAGAAATATCCTGTGATTTCTTTGCTTTCTTAACCAAGGTAAACAAACGGAAACGAAATCATCTCGCTGATGCCATTGATATGACGTAGGATCACTGTTGATCGTCATGAAATGGGAAATGGAAATGGATATAATTAATGTGTACCGGCGCGGACTCCAAATGGATTATGACTCAACGGAGAACGGAGATCATATATATTTCGAACCATATCAAGATAAAGAATGTGTGCCTTCGGGAAGGGGAGCTGTGCTTCTAGGAAAACTGCTCATCTTCCATTTTTTATTGGTCTCCTTCAAGTCCAGATTTCGACCGAACATTCTAACCAACTGATTCAAATAGGCCTCCTTCTCGTTTCTTGAATAGTGGTCAAGTTGCCCTTTTTTCATGTCCCAATTCAGATACCTGGGAGCCACCAGTTCTAGATCCAAGTTAGATGCCTCTTTGTTTTTCTGTTTCTCCGCTCGACTAGATTTAGGCATATCACTGATTGTTTTATCAAATAAATTACTTTGAGCACTATACATACGAAAATTGATCGGACCCTAAATCAGCAGTGTTTTCCTTCTTAGAAGCCTGTGGCGTATCTGCAGATTTTTGGTTTACTGATGGTTCTGATGCAGTTCGAGTTTCAAGCGCTGCCAGGCGCATATTGGAGTGATGTTTGAAGTGCGGACTCGTCTTCTCAATCATTCGTTGCAAAATTTCATCGTAGGATTGAGCTGACTTCACTGGTTCCTTAGCCTTTGGAGTTAGTTGGACCTGGCTATGATATTCTGGTTGATCCTGTCTGGTAGATTCTTGTTGCAACTGTTCCAACCGCCGCTTCATGGCCAACAGTTGTTGCTCTTGTTCATTCAGCTTGGACTTCGACTTCGACACCTTGGTGATTTTGGCTTCCGCCTGCTCCAAGTTGGGTGACAAAAAGCCTCGTTGAATTCTTGTATTGGTGGCCTTTTTTATTTCTTGTACTTCCTTGGGTTTTATATTCACTATGGCATCTTTGGGTTTTGACTGATCCCTTTTATCCCTCTCTATACGCTGCATCAGTGCGTCCAGATTGGGCTTGATTTTTGAAGTATCTTCAAAGTTGCTGGGCAGAAATCCTCGGTCTCTAAGGTAGGCAACGGGGGCCTCCCAGTTCCTTATCAGACTCCGCACGACCTCATTATAAGCTTGTAATGGATCATCAGAAGGCTTTGTCCCTTTTCCTGACTTGGCACTCGCCTTAAAAGCCACATTCACTATTATAAACCTAGACCATTAGAATATCTTAGAGATGTATAAGAAAACTTCCCAATTCACAAGTTACCAGATTAACAGCCTCATTTTAGAGCAGAGAAATTGTTATTTTTAAAATATAAGTCAAATTGAACTATAGGGTTCGGCTATAGAGATTTTCTAATGAGAACAACTAACAACCAACCCGTCTCATTGTGACCCACAAAAGCAGATTCCTTACACCAACATTGTGAAATTCAAATTAAAAGCCGGTTCTATCGAGCTACTTCTCCCAATAAACCCAATTATATGCTTCTGACGCCCATAAAATTAAAGTATCATTTAACAAAATCTTTGACACCTCCCTCAAAATAAATCAACAAAGCAAAGCCGAACCTATAAAATTAGCATGCCTGGTATCAGTCAGAATGAATGAAATGCCGAAGGTATGATTTGGCCAAATCCAAAACAAACGAAATTGCCAAAATAAACGAAAATAGAAGAGACCCAGACCGATATCCGTCAGCTGTTGTCAAGCGCGTGCACCATCGAAAATAAAAATGCAAATTTCAAAAACTACAGGCAGCGCTCGTAGAGTCGAAGGTCCACAAATCAACCTTCCCTAACCATTTATTTCGTTGGCTTGTTTAAACAGCGTAAATTATTTCACACAAACTCAAACTTCAGAGTTAACACTTGAAGTTTAAAAACCGCAAATGTAGATCAAGATGGTTAAAATGTTTTATGATCAAAGATATAGCTTTCTTATACAACTTCACATATATCCATTTAGGTTACTTTCTAAAAGAGATGTTAGTTTAAATTGCAATTAACATAAGTTTCAATTTAGTTTTGAGACTAACTCATATTTCAAACCAAGTCTTTTATACATTCTATTAAATTGAAGTTAAAGATGCTCGACTGTATCGAGACATTATGGGAATTCCGTTCGGTGTTTGGCAGTGCCAACTGCCATAATTAATGGGTAGACAACAAAAGCATTAGCCGCGCTCCAAACACGCATCCCCGATCTCACGTACGTAGCCCCCATGTTTAAGCAGAAGCAGACTCAGAAGGCGGATGGAGTCGGTGGATGATGGCGATGGCCCTCGAGCATCTTGAAGTGTGACCGCGTAAACTGAATATGATTTTATATTTAGACGCACGACGTCATCTGTGGCGGCTGGTACTGTGAATGAAAGTTCAGGCGAAACACAGGCCGAGCAAGAGGAGCTGAGAAATAAGGCAAGTCACGATGTTCGGGCGATCTCTGTCTCGCAATTACCGAAACTCGGCGCGCGGACTCTGCTCCCACCGAGAGTCTCTTCAAGGCGGCAAAGCGTGCGCCGAATGAGTCAGCCGTGTTTACTGAAGCTTGGTTAAGCCTCTTAACGGTGGTCGAAAAGGGTTTATTTCTTAACAAAACTTCTAAGGTTTTAGCTAAAGGACATGAATATAAAAGATGATCAGGTTTCTGTTTAGGTTTAGAAATGGAAGCCAAGCTCAGCATTTAAAGGCAATCCCTTATTGATTCTTTAGTTAAGTTATAAAATCTGTACTTGAAGATGTTCTGCTTTAAGAAATTTGAAGCAAAAAACTGAAAAGCAACTAGTTTTCCGGCTATTATGTATGTTATGTTATAGTACGTTTCTGACACGCTTGACTGGTTGCTAGTTGTCTTTTCAATATTTTGGATTCCTGCATAGTTTTTACAGTCCTACCATATTTAAAATCTTTAATGATGAAAAGCCATTTTATTGACTTTTTATTTAGATCAAATTATAAAATTTAATTCGGAATGATCTTTCCTAACATAAAGCATTAGCATTTGCAAAGATAAAACCGATCAATAAGAAAAGGCTTGAGCCTTGATATACTAGCACATGGACTATGAAGCCTGATTGATTGGTGGGTGAGCATGGCTAATGTTAGATCATTACAGGGCAGAGTTAGATAAGCACTTGTTGGCAATTAGCACCCAACCAAATTACGGGGGACCTCCAGTCGACTCTCACAACAAGCCTATTCATTCATACGTGGTTGCCCACCCACACCTATTATCTTCCAAGTTCCTACACCGCGCAACCTAAGCAAATCGTTGAAATTCATTTTGCAACGTTTGTTTATTTTGATATTTGTGTTTTTCTGTTTCACCTGGCAGGAGATTCCATGAAACAATGGGGGGTGTTCTTCACAGCTACGTCATGAGTTCGGCCTGTTGCCAGGGATTGGTCATTAGTACATTCCAATTTCCGTTAACGGATTTGGTCAATGTTTGGACAATTGTTTGCCACTTTTTCCTGAGTACTTGAAGTGATTCCCCCAATAGTTGCTGCCAAAGACATAAGCCACGGAAAGTTTTGGTAATTCTACAAGAGATTAGAAGAACAAGTTTCTTTTCATCTTTTCAAAACTCTGCGCACACTTTAGACACGTTCCGGATTTAGAAGAAGTCGGAAATTTTCTAAAAGTCCCAAAAGTTCCCCGAAAAGCGAAAGAAGAAATGTATTCAGGTTTGGCTATAATAAGGCCGGGGAACACGTTCAAAATCAATTTAAATGTCATTAAAATTAACTGTGGAGCTGGGAAAGAGATCATTTGTAGTTAAAATCAAGATTGGATCCCAATTACAGGTGACCCTCGAAGAGAGAAACTAAAGGTATTAGAAGATCAATGCTTCTCGGGTAGTGTATCTCAAAACTTAAAGTTCAGAGCCAAATATTCAATTATAATTAAGTAATTTGGACAATTTTACATAAGAAGCTATTATTAATTACTCAATCACAAAGCAAATGGCTTCCAACTCACCATGTAATTAAGCCAAATCAGAAAACCCTTGCCCACCAGGGACTTTTTCGCCAAGCAAGCTCTAATGCTCTGCCCGTTGTCGAGAGCAGAATGAGAGAATCGGCCATAATGACCAAAGCGGGTTTCCCAGCCAAACGAAGTCCGAGTCTCCGGGCTAGTAACTTGAGTGTGATCACGAGACAATCAACGTCAGTACGAGCACCTAACACGGCACAGGTGTAGGGTATACGGAGGGGATATAGCCGCGAAAAGAGAGGAGCCGAGAGTACCCGATCTTGCGATCGGCGGAAAGGCCTGTCTGCCATATAAAAACGATTGCAGCGCAGTGGCCAAGACATTCGCGTCAAGGAAGCTGAGCTGCAACGAGCGAGCGATACGTGTTAGCCGTGATTTACTAGTGATCGTGATATATAGTGTGTGCTGTGCTAGACCCCAGGAGTTAGCCAATAAAGATAAAGTACCAACGGACACGTATTATAAAATCCGAACATTGTTTAAGAACAAACGAAAAGTGTAAATTGAACAAAATGGATGTGGAAGAGTTTCGCAAATACGGCAAGGAAGTGATTGATTATATTTGCCAATATGGCACCAATATAGAAGAGCGTGATGTGGCGCCTACCTTGGATCCGGGTTACCTCAAAAAACTGCTACCAGGTGAGCAAGCAGAAAAGACTAAGTGTGAAAATATCAAAAACCCGGCAACAGGCAGACAAATAAATCAAAATTAATTAGTTATTTTGTGTCAAATTTAAATTACGAGAGGAATGTTTCATTAAGTCCTAATAAGGACATTTATATCAATGCCAAAAGAATTCATAATAGTAGTAGTAGATACTCCAAAGCGAATCAGATCTAAGGATCTGAAGTAGTTTTCTGGAATATCATTCTCGATTGGTATTCCTACTAAGTTTCGTTAGTCAGATCTATTTTGTTGATTGTTTCTGCTGAGGTTCATCTAAAACCAGAAGGAAAATGTTTAATTATAGCACAAGTGATAAATTGTATACACTAATTTGTTAACTATGCCCAAACAAATTAGCAATGAATCCGAAAATATTTCGCTTTGCGCAAAATAATCAAAGAAAGCCAGGCCAGAGCAACTAGCAATAAGCAACTCAACTCAATGCCTCTCAAAAACTTGTTAAATCATGTTGACTAATTGTTTCGCCCGCTGCCCGAAGAGTCATGTGAATAATGTGCGAGTGTAAACTATTCGAAAATCCCCAGCCCACGGATTCGAGTGCCCCGCAATGAGGTGTGTGGGTGGGGGCCTGGCATAATTGGGGCACACTCGGTAGCCATCTCTCCGATCTTCGATCTCCGGCTACCTCTCTGGGCTGGCAGATTGAAGAGTAGATTTCGCTGGCGAATTTCAAGCGAATTCCGCGCAGTTGGCTAAGTTAAATATTTACGCCGGAATGGACGCCGCAATCCCGAGTTCAACTAAACAAATCAATTAATTATGCATACGCAAACACACACCTTGCGTATAGACTTACTTGTTGATCTTTCTACTCACTGCCAAAAACAACAGCCGCGCCATAAATATTGCCTTTGCTGGCCCCCAAATTTATGGGTGATAAAAGAAATATCTAAGGCCCATCCCACTAATCCCCCCGACTGTCTGTTTACCTTCAGCCGATGCTCCCCAGTCCCCGGAGTCATTCAAGGACGTGCTCGAGGACTTCGAGCAGAAAATCATGCCGGGGGTGGTGCACTGGAACCACCCCAAGTTCTTTGCCTACTTCCCATCGGGCAACTCCTTTCCCTCGGTCCTGGGTGATATGCTGAGCAGTGCTATTGGATCCATTGGCTTTAGCTGGGCCAGTTGTCCGGCAGCTGCCGAGCTTGAGACGATCGTGATGAACTGGTACGCCAAGGCCCTTGGCCTGCCCAAGGCCTTTGTTTCGGATGCGCCAGGCAGCACGGGCGGAGGTGCACTACAAGGATCTGCCTCTGAATGTGTGCTCGTCTCACTAATCACAGCCCGTGCCCGGGCCATCAGTGAACTGAAAGGACAGACCACTGTCCACGACAGCGTCTTCCTGCCCAGCCTGATCGCATATGCCAGTCGTGAGGCACACTCCTCCGTTGAAAAGGCCACAAAAATGGCATTAGTAAAGCTCCGGATCATCGATGCCGACGAGCACGGACGTATGCGCGTCGATCTGCTGCGCCAAGCCATTCAAAACGACGTGAACGCCGGATTAACGCCCTTCTTCGTAGTGGCCACAGTAGGGACCACAGGCGGCTGCGCCTTCGATGATATCACGGAGATTGGCAAGGTTTGCCGCCAGGTGTCTAGCATTTGGCTGCACGTGGATGGCGCCTACGCAGGCAATTCCTTTATTTTACCCGAAATGCGGGTATTCTCTGCCGGCCTGGAGTACGCCGACTCCTTCAACACAAATCCAAACAAGCTGTTGTTGACGAACTTCGATGCCTCCGCACTGTGGGTGCGGGATGTGATGAACCTGAAGAGCGCTCTTAACGTCAATCCTTTGTACCTACGCCACGAACACTTGAGCGGAGTGGATTACCGCCACTACGGAATCCCTCTGAGTCGCCGTTTCCGGGCGCTTAAACTCTGGTTCGTCTTCCGAACATACGGCATTAGAGGCCTGCAGGAGTACATCCGCAATCACATGGCACTGGCCAAGAAGTTTGAGATGCTTGTACGCAAGGATGAGCGATTCGAGGTCCGGAACGATGTCCACCTCGGCCTGGTCTGCTTCAGAATGCGGTAAGTCTTACAACTAATTCTAACAACAATACCTAGTATTCATTTAAAGAAGGGCTCAGTATTTTGGAAAAGAAACATGACTTAGTTATTTCAAATTTTGTTTTTCAGAACTGGCGATGAGCCCAACCACATGCTGCTGGCCCAGATCAACCACTCGGGTAAGATGCACATGACGCCGGCCAAATTCAACGGCCGCTACGTAATTCGCTTCTGCGTTACCTACGAACACGCCTCCGAGAAGGACATCCTAGATGCTTGGAGTCAGATAAAATGCTTTGCAGAGGAAATATTGCGTGACCACCAGTTGGAATCCAGCTCCGTACCAACCACGCCGGAAGGCTCAGAACGCACCAGTTCGGAGCCAGTGGCACCAGTGGCCGGCAAGCCTCCCATCAAGAAGAAGCTTACCAGGACCAAATCTTTACGCTTCTCCTTCACGCGCAGCATTTCGAGGGAGCAGTACCAGAACCAGAGTGAACACCTCATGGACGGGTGTACACCCATTCTGGTCGTGGATCCCAAAACTCTGCAGGAGAACTTCCAAAAAGCAGCGGACGACAATGATAAGAACAACAGCAATGGCAACAGCAACAAGAACGGCAACACAAAACTCAAAGATATCTCTGACGTGGACACGGACGAGGCGAGTAACTGAGCGCCGGGCCGATGGAATTTTCGGAATTTACCTCCACTTAGTATTAATTGTCGAGCTGAAATGAGGCACGTACGTCTACCGACTAACATTGCTCAGTTTGAATTTAAGTACATTTATTTATGTATTTAGGGCCTAAGTTGTTGCTGAATATCATGTAATTTAAGCATAGACTCATTTGTAATTGATAATATTGTGTATCCACCGTAAGTTACTATCATGAACAAAAGCACTTATTTATAAACATTATCTTGGCATTTGTTATGCACATTTAAAAAAATATTGCAACCAAATATATTTCGCGAGTGTTTTTTGGGGGGTTACATTAGGAAAACGCTGAAACGCTTTGATCTGCCAACCCGCCACTTCACAACTTATTAGGTATTTGTTTTGGTTTCTTACGTTAAGTATGAATTTGTTTTTTATTTTCATTATGCAATTGTGTAATAGGTAAAAATCAAATATGAACTTTTTAACCTTATAAGGGCAACTTAAAATATTTGCAAAGACAGAAAGTATATACAACTTAGAAAACCATGGCCATTCATATTTGATAAACTGACTGGTGATCATGATAAATAACTTAAACATTTATTAGGAAACTAGTATTGGAGCTTATTATATGCATTTAAATTAAATAAGTAAGCTACAAATATTTGTTCTAAAAGCACCTATTTAAAAACACAAACGTGAACTTCTTCTTGGACATTAAATTAAGTATCTTTTTTGTGTAAAGGAAATTCCACATTTACATTTTAATAAAATAATTAGACAAAATTCTTGATTTAATATTCAACTTCTTGTAAAACATTTTTAATCAAAAATACATTAAACAGTAAAGTCTCATCATAGTATTAATATATACCGGCAAAGGTTTAGGTATTCTTCCACGTCAAATTCCACATGACTTTTTGAGGCAAAATAATTAGGGCTCTTTTAGCTGTTAAGAACCTTGGTTCTCATTATTTACATTTAAAATTTTACTTTACCAAATTAGGTTTTCACTTTTCAACGATTTAGCAATATATCCTTTTTTGGCTACATTCAGTAAGTTTTATAAAGCCAACATTTGAAAGAATAACTTAGTTTGTATAAGCGATTATTTTTGTTAAATATCAACACCGCATTCAGATTTATCAGTTTTAGTAGAAGAGATAAACAAAAACATAAATAAATACTTACAGTCAAATATGGCAAACGTTATGATATATTGCTGGCAAAGTTCACTATCGCACTGTACTCTTTCCCTTTGCCAATCCAAAGTTCACTACCTATCATGAACTCACCTTTATAAACAATAATTAAATAACTTAAACAACTTGTGCACAGCAAAATAAAAACAAACCTAACCACACGTGTGCCAATCGATATTACCGGCGTCGCAGCCTATCGATATACGTCAAGTAGTGATCTATCGTCATCAAGCCATCGCATAAAACGTAAACAAAACTCTGCCGGCGGGTGAAAATCTTGTAGTTTTCATTGAATAGTAATTAATTAATTATTTCAAATGCCAAACTGGAATCAAATACAGTCGCAATTGCGAAGCTCTAATAACCCTGTCGTTTTTTTCGACATAGCCGTAGGAACAACGGTAAACGAAAAATAAAACATTTTAAACCACGAATTAACCAAGCTTTTCTTTCGACGCAGGAGATCGGACGAATGATATTTGAATTATTTGCGGATACAGTGCCGCGCACAGCCGAGAACTTTCGACAGTTCTGTACGGGCGAGTACCGGCCGGATGGCGTTCCCATCGGCTACAAGGGCGCCAGTTTCCACCGGGTTATCAAAGACTTCATGATCCAGGGCGGCGATTTTGTGCAGGGTGACGGCACCGGCGTTACGAGCATCTACGGGAGCACCTTTGGCGACGAGAACTTCACCCTGAAACACGACTCGCCCGGACTACTGTCCATGGCGAATAGTGGCAAGGAGACCAACGGCTGTCAGTTCTTTATTACCTGCGCCAAATGCAACTTCCTGGACGGCAAGCATGTGGTTTTCGGTCGTGTCCTGGACGGCCTGCTCATAATGCGGAAGATCGAGAATGTGCCCACGGGTCCCAACAACAAGCCAAAACTGCCAGTGACGATATCGCAATGCGGACAGATGTAGCAAAGTACTGATTGTTGTAATAAAGTTTCTATTATGTCTTTGTAAACGAAGCGAGAACATTTCCAGCAAATCTGGTTACTTTCAAGGCGATTTTTCTCAACATCCTTAAGAATGACTCCAGAATTTTAGTTTTTAATGTCCTGAATAATACTAATTGTAGAATGCATAGCCGCCGGCCGCAGCTTTCTCTTTTCGTAAGGTTCGACAGTCCTCGATCATGAAGCTGAAATTAGAACACATTTATAAAAATTTACATCAGTTGAATGACTGGTACCCACTCGTAGTACAGAGAAGCCAGTGGAACTGTAGCCAGGTGCCACAAGGCGTGAGCATCTAAAATCCAGAGGATCGGTGGAAAGTCCAGCAGTTCTAGGCTCATGGCCAGCGCCATGAGAACATAGAAGCGCAAAATTCTCCGGAAGTATGGCCTTCGTATGCGCACAAAATGGCACCAAACAAACCATCCTACGGCCGCGATCACTCCTGTGGCCACGTTAACTATCATGTTAAATGTATAGTTGAACCGTCCCACGCTCAAGTAGGCAAAGTAGTTTATGTAGTAGGAAAGGAAGGCTAGCGATATTACACCTCTGAGGAACAGGGAGTAGCGGTGAAGCATCCTCATGACCATGACGTACAGCGAGCACAGAATTATTGAATAAGCAAAGGCATAGTCCAGCAGCTCGGTCAGCGGGAAGTCCCTAGTGTGAAAGATGGCAGACCAGATCCAGCCGTTAAGACTTGTCTGCGAGAAGAAAAGTTTACTTAGTAGGACATCCTGTTGCATAACTGATTAAAATATAGCCCTACCACAGCAAATATATGGGTCAGCATGAAGCAGGGACTGTCTGGACGCACTTCCCGACGGAATTTTCGTAGCATGCGGAGGTGCACCGCAAAGTTTAGAAGGGAGAATATTACGGATGCCGGCTCCTGCATTCCCAGCAGACGGAGGAAAGGCCACTTGCCATAAAACTGAGGAATAGGCCATCCGCGCTCGAAAAAGGCCAACACAGTGCGCCACATACAACCATACTGACACTCGTCCGCGCAGCTCCACTGGAAAAGCCGGTCGAACACTGACTGCTTATAGAACTTGACTGCCTGTTCTTGGATCTCCAGACCATCTGCACAAAGGAATCCTCTCTTAAGAATATAATCTTATGGTTTGGAATGACTACTCACCTGCCGAACAGTTTGTTCGCTCGCAGTTCTGTCGACAATTGTGAAAGAACTGGGTGCGGTCCCCGTTGGAGGCATGACAGGCGGCTACAAGCGCTGATAGGACTACGAGTATTGCACTTAAACTACGACTAGACATGACTAAAACTAGTTAAAATCGCGTTATCTGCGACATACATCTGAAATATTTTGTAAACATTGTACTATTGATTAATCGCCGTCCTGTTGACTGTAATCGACTAATCGTTATGCAAATTTGCAAATTATTGACTATTTGTCACAAAGATCAAGATTTGTTTATTTTTGTCAAAGTTACCACTAGTTATAATGGTTAAACTTAATAAAATTGCCCAAAAAATCGTGCATGATTGTAAAATACTAAACTAATATAATCGATCACATTGTTACCGATAGCCGTCGTGCATAGACTGCCAAAGAGCGATATTTGTCATATGTAAAAACATTTGCTCATCTGTATTGTACTTACTGTTTTTCCGCAGTGTTTTTGTCTAGTTAGAGAGGAAAATCTTACAAACTACTAGAAATATGCTCAGATGCCTTCGTTGGAGTTGAATGAATAACATTGGATGGTCCAAAGCTAAAATCACAGAGCTAAAGGCTCTGCTGGTGGAACTTTAACTATAGAGAGGTAGTGAGAGAGCTCTGGTGCACCATTATCAAATTGTCAGCCATGCATCTGCCAGATGAATGCTATCTTATATTTAGAGCATGACTCACCTGCCCTTATTTGTAAGAATCTGTTAGAGGGCCCGCCCACCAATTTGATGTCCACATATTCCAGCAGCCAGACAGATGCCTTCGCTGTTCCCGTCCCTCCTCTAACCAGGGAAAATCGGGATCCACGAAAATCACAGGTGTACAAGGTAACATAATAAAATCAGAACTGTTATCATTTGACTAATCTATGTTCATCAAATCCCTAGCAACGCGAGCCACTTGTCTTCTTCATCATGCGACTGAACCTGAAAGCCGTTCTGCTCATTCTCACAGTGGCAGTGGTGGTTATCACCCTAGGCGTCTACATGCGCTGCGCTGCTTTCTCCTTCTCGCCAGACTTTGTGCGCCCAGTTGACCGGACGTCGAGACAATCCTCTGGCGGAGGAGAGGTCACCGCGCTGCAGGATATCGAATGCTCAATTAATCAGGAGTACAGTGTACACTGCAAGCGGGACGAAAACGCAAACGAGGTGTACGTTCCGTTCTCATTCCTGCGGAATTACTTCGACATCAGCGGAGCAGTTTCCACCAGTGGCAGCGAGGTGGCCAAGTTCAACTGGGTGCACAGCACGGCCAAGGTAAACCTGCCAAGAGGCAAATACGATGCGCGTGGCGTCTTCATGTACTTCGAGAACTACAATGTGGAGGTACGCGACCGGGTAAAGTGCATTAGCGCCGCTGAAGGTGTGCCGGTGAGTACGCAGTGGGAGAAGCGCGGCTACTTCTATCCCACACAGATTGCCCAGTTCGCGTTATCACACTACAGTAAGAACCTAACGGAGCCGGCTCCCAGAGTTCGAGTCCTGGAGGATGGTGATGGAAACCAAATGGAATGGAGCACTCCCAAGACTAGCAACATGTCCCGCATCTGGCACCACAAGTTCAACACCAGCGTAGTCCAGTTTGAGACGGCGCCTGGCTATGAAGGTGCTATTAACATTGCCCTCAATCAGACGTTGGACCTGCTTCTCAGTGTTGACCTCTTACTTGTCACGAACACTAGTAGCCTCATGGTCACCGTCCAGAACCGGGACACCCGGCACAGCTACAACCTTCACTACATACCCGCCGACTTGCTTCTGAGCGTGCAGGACTCGAACATATACTACGGGCTGGGCGGATCGGCGCTGAATAAATGGCGCCACATTACCCGAGACTTGCACATCGATGTCCAAAAAGGAATAGTCCTCGGAGACAAACGCTCACCGCTAAAGGTTCGACGCTCCGACCTGGAAGTCCTATCGATTGGCTTTCTGGGCCTTGGATTTTACGACAACATCACTTTGTCCACCAGTGACCATCTGGCCCACTTTTACGACGCGGCAGAGTGGTTTGTTCATAATCAGGACCCTAAGACAGGTGGCTGGACAAATCCTGTGCGTCGCAGCCTCAACGGCTTTGCCGAGCTACGACCGGGTTGGATATCGGCCATGGGTCAAGGGCATGCTATCTCGGTGTTGGCCAGAGCATACTGGCACTCTGGTGGCGATGAACGCTACCTTCGGGCGGCTGCAGCCGGACTGCAGCCCTACAGGGTATATTCCAGGGACGGTGGAGTCCTGGCGCAATTCATGGACAAATTTTACTGGTAAGTAGATAAGGTTATTGTATAATTCTCTCTGTTTTTTTTTTACTGACTATTTATCTCCTTGTATGGACAATCATCAATTACTGTTACTATTTATTGTTTTAACCCTACAACCATTTATTTTTCCTTCTACAGGTACGAGGAGTATCCCACTACGCCGCCGTCTTATGTGCTGAACGGGTTTATCTATTCTCTACTGGGACTCTATGATCTAAATAGCACTGCGCCCGTAAAAATCGCACGTGAGGCTGGGAAGCTTTTCGCGCAGGGCATGTTTTCACTAAAGAAGATGTTGCTGCTGTACGACACTGGCTCTGGAACTAGTTACGACCTTCGCCATCTAAGCCTAGGCGTTGCTCCCAACCTAGCGCGCTGGGATTACCATGCGACGCACGTAAACCAGCTGCTCCTGCTGGCCACTATCGACAGTGATCCATTGATCGCACAGACCGCAGAGCGCTGGAAGGGCTACATGTTTGGCCGGCGGGCTAAGCACAACTGAGAGCTAAGGAAACTGGCGGCATATCGCCGTCGAAAAAGTGATATTTTGTAGGGCTTACGTATTGTGCTCAACCATTCTAAATGGTTGCACCTCGTCCCATGCCCTTTCCACACCCTCACCCTCCTAACCCGGAAATAAGTTATTTTTTCTATTGTGTTATTTCCGCCTTAGTCTTTGTGCTAAAGTCCTAATTTGGCTCGTCTAGCTAGACGCTTAGTGTTAAGCTATTGTACCTCTACCTTCGATTGCATTATCAGATGTTGGCCTCGTTTTTACAAATTTGTTGATCCCCTATTGATAGCTTAATTGTTTGGCGGATTTTAGATGCACGCGCACTCACTGGACAATATCTAGAATTGAACATTTAACACTTACTGTTTTAGTCAGACTTTTTTACTGTGCAAACTAAGTAGAGTTCGTTACTACACTTTCCTGTATAAAGTAATTTAGAGAGATTAGCATAATAGTTGTAGATTGTAGGTAGTATCTGTTAGATACAAATGTAGACTCTTGTATTTTGCCTCCCTTATAGAGGTGATAGTAGTGCTCCCACTCAAATACTAACTGTCCCGAATAACGATGCACGATGATAACGACTTCTATGTGGTAAGCCTGTAATTTAATTAATTGTAGAATATGCCACTTGAGAATAGTATGTATTTCTCGCCACTTAAACGATGCCATTCCAAACGTAATTTTATTTTAACTCCTAAGTTTTCGTTATCGCTGATAAGCTGTCAATTAAGCAAGGAATACATGTACCATTTTGAATATAACCACGGATCCGTTTTATATGGCCCACTACTAATCCCAAAACGAGACTGTTAACGAAAATTATTGATTTTGAGTATTATGTTAAGTGAACCAAATTAAAGTACTTAATTTATGTTCTTTGTACTCGTGTATTGATTCATTTGGTGTCTGGACTATAGAACTACATACTTATGTACATTTTGGTTGTCCGTATTTACGCAAATCAAAAGACAATTTATTTACAATTTAGTTAATGGTACTAACAAAGAGGTTTGTCAAAGCAGTGTACACAACTTCAACTTAATTCACTAAAACGGTTACATCAACCAACATTCTCTCTTCACGACCGCTGCGAGGTAAGCACGTGGGAACGGATGGAGGGCGGACCGCTCCGTCGACGTACCTCTTGAATAAACGCGTTCTCCATTTGATCGCATATAAGGTCGAAGAATATGTTTGCCACGTTACTATGCAGCAGAGACTTGAATTCAAATGACACCTTAAAGTCTAGAACGCAGGAGTTTGGTATGTCCTTGAGGCCCGGTCTGAAACGCCACTCGTTTAAAAGGTAGTTGAACAGGCGACCATCGTGACACTCCGACTTGACCAAGCTGGGCGATACTAAAGTAACCTGAGAGGTGTACGCCTCGTTCAGCGGTGGGAAGCCCACAATAAGGTCCGCCTTAAAGGCACCACTTTTCTGACTGTGAACATGGGAGCGCTTCACGTACGGTACGAACTTGTAATAGTTGCTGACATCAGAGACCACGCTGTACATGTCCTGCATGGAGTACCTACATAAGAGGGTTGGACACTTTGGTGATGTCTTTATTATGGGCAGGCTATGGACTTACCCTACAAGCTCCTTTTTTGTGTACCAGCGATTTTTATTGCGGAAATCATTGAATGTTATGTAGGACCTGTGGATGCTGCTAGAGAAACTGCGCTGGTGGCCTCCACTGCAATTGGAGAATAACAATCTGAGTGGCACAATCAATTTTGCTGTTCCAATGTTACAGGTTTGGCATCAGCCTCAGGTTATGTAATTTACATTTACCTGCTGACCTTGTTTCAATAAGGGGCCGTAGGATTCTGACATCCAGGGCTTTCAGTGTACTGCCCTTTAGCATTTTAGGCAAAGCTGGTACGTTGGGATGTGGATGCGGAAAAAGATAGGTATCCGTATCCTAAATATCGCACAACGAGTTTTGAGAATCTAGCCGTTTTATAGCCGCCTAGCCGATTATGTCGATATTGACCGAGTACGCTAAAGGAATTTTCATTTAATTATCTTAAATAAAATTTAATGAATGCGAACAAAAAGAGTATATGACTTTCAGATATTAATACGTATTCGAGTTTACTCAAAATGTTTCGTATTCAGTTAAGTAATTAAAACAAAATGTATATTTTAGCATTGCAATTGTTTAATAATTTTCCTAAAGACACTAACTATGATTTAAATAAAATATTGCTAGAACTTTGTCGTCGTTGGCATTATATAAATAAATAAATCTTTACCAGCAGACTTCTTCTTCTTTTATCCATATTTTTCTAAAGCCAACTGTACATCACTACCAGCAGCAATTAATGACAAATACAGCTGATCATTGTGCTGCCAGACTGTCGAAGATCTGCCGGGGAAGCAGTATGTTTATTTGAATGACAAAAAAAAAAACACTAGTCCTCCAACGAAAGTCATCAATATCCTAGTTTTCTTAACTATTCTTTTATTTTCACATGATCGTACACAGTGAGCGCTCCTCCCCCTGAGAAGCAGATTGGCCAGAGAGCTCCTTCTGTTTCAGCTCCAGATAGGTGTTCTCGTTGCGCTTCTCCATCCAGTCAGGCAGAGGAGAAGCCCAATCGTGGGGTGGCTCCTTTCGTTTCTGCCAGGTATCGTTGGCAAAATGAGCGCGCAGTCTGACCCGGCGACGCTCCTCCTCGCTTTTGACTACTGCTGTACCGGCATCCACATCATTGCCGTTGGACTGATGATATCTCTCGCAATTTTGATAGTCAGTAAGCCACTGTGAGCAGTCTGTATCCTTACCAAATATGAAATACTGGTGGAAGCGTGCTTTGAAACTCGTGCAGTCGTCATATTCCTCTTTGTACAAATGACAGGGGCGAATCTAGAAAGAAGGTTCCTCAATTTCGCTTTCAACTGCTCAGCAAAATACTTACTGCCCACGTGTCAACTATTGGGTCCTTTGAATTATTTGGTTTTGAGTCAGCATTATCCGATTTCGTAGCCATTTCACTTACATAAAAACATTCCTTGCTTAAACAGCTGATTCTGTTTATACCGCTCGACCTCAGCGTTGCCACTTTTTTTTTTGATTGAAACGAATCTGTTACATTTCAAATATTTCTTTTAATACCAAATAATTGCACAATTAATCATTGAAAATGGTTTGCAACTTACGTTGCCGGCAACTATTTCGATTTTATCTGTATAAAGTGTGTAATATGCGCTCATTATGAAAAAGGTGTTTTATATTTCCTTTTGTCATACTTAAATAAAGCCTTTCAAAGTATCATTCAAGCGTTTTCAGCATATTACAACAGAACTTATAAAATTAAAATAACTTTTACGTGTGTACTTAATTACAGAGCTAAGACCCGATGGCAAGTTACAACTAAATCGTAGTCAAAAATTTACAATACGCTGCATATGTGTTTCCACGGTCGTTTAACAAACTACTCATAATTCTAAGATCGCTATTTTTCAATCGTAATTTTTGTACAGAGCTGAGAACTGGGCGCGAATTGAATCGTCGATCATGGGGCCAACTAAGCATATAAATATATATGTTTGTCTACGTTTGGACTTGGGGAAGTATAATTACGCGTTATGGGTATACGCAGTGGGGAGTTACATCTAATGTTATTCTGTAGTTTGACTTTTAGACCTATGAACTAAAGAAAATGACCGCACAAGACCGTCGGCCAGTGTGCATGTGGGTGGCCGTAGGTCCCTTCTCGTTTGATCGATCTCAGGGCAGAACGCTCTCCAGTTGGAGCAGCTGCAGCAGCTGCCGGTGACAGCCGCCCGACAGTTAGTACTTGTTGTGCTGAGCCAACAACTGCATGTCCGTCAGATACTTGATAATGTGCACCTTTGCCTCTGCCTTTTGTCGCACGCCCAGCGTGTTGAGCATGTCCGTGACTACCATGCCGAACGACTGATCCTCTGCGCTGACCGCCTGGGAGACGTTGTTCTGGAAAATCTTAATGGAGTTGAGCATGTTGTCGCTGTGCTCTTCCTCGCTACGCTCCCGCTTGAGCGGCGGCTCGTAGAAGTATGGCTTTTGGTCCTTGCCCACGGCAGTGGCTAGCTGTGCATCACTGGTGACCGTGATTTCTGTAAAAAATAAAAGAGTTTATCGGAGAACTCTTTTGTTATAGGGCTAAACCACCTACCGTGCGGATGAGTCAGTGCCTGTGCTGATGTTGTGGCACTCCCGTTGAAAGGCTGTGCGAATATGTCTACGACGGTCTGTTGTTGCGGCTGTTGCTGCTGAGAAGGATCGGCCACCTGATTGGCGTTTTGACTGCCATTGGCGCACTTACCGAGCAGTGATTCTCGGTACTGCCGAATGGAATCAACCAAGAATTGCATCTGCTTGAAGTAACGCCAACGCGATTCCTGGCATAGTTTCATCTCGCGGGCGAACTTGTCGCGTAGGCTCTTCCAGCGCTTGGTACATTTTTGTTCTACAATAAAAAGGATAAAGCAATGAATTGTTGGCTTCGGATAAGACAGCTTATCTTGTACGTTGCGTGCAGCTGATTTAATTACAGTTTTTTTTTGGTTTACTCTAAAAGTTTTATTCATTTTTCTTTGGATTATACTAATTAGTCTTTCCAAAAACAAATCATTGCTGAATTTAAAAAAACGATGCATTCATACATATGTATATGTATAAATAGTTCAATCGTTTGTCATAGGACGTATAATATTATTCGGGCAAAATTACTGCCTCTACTTCTTAGTATTCTTAGTATTCGTAATTGCCTTAGTAGAAAAGAGAATATCTTTCGTAAGGGCAAAAACTGACAGAATAGATATACAAATCTTCCTGCTTAGATAATTATTAAAAAATTTTAATTTAATGTAAAAAAATCTCCCATAAAGAAGAACGAATACAACTTTTACACCATTAGTTCTTCAGTTCAGCTGTTACTCATTGGGTCAACATATAACTTGTGAATTGCCATCATCTTCAGGAACTAAAACTACTATACTATCTTTACCACCTGACCCACCCTGAGAGCGCATCTGCTAGAAGCATCAAATCGCAAACCAAAACAAATCGCTGGCTGAAGCAGAGCAGCAGCTTCCCAGCGTCAGCAGAGACGTTGACGTGACGGTGACGTCGCCGACTGGTTACTGCCGACTTCGACTCCTCTGCCTGGAGACGGAAACCTGTGGCATTGCTGCTGGCCGACTTGAACGACTGCAACTCTGGTTTTCAAGCCACCTTCTTGCATAATCGAAAGCCGAATAAGGTGGCACAGCAATATAGGCGAAAATTTAGGGTTTGATCAACGGCCGTAGAGGGGGTGGAGTGAACGGTAAATTTTGTTGGTATACTCATAAAAACGAAACGAAAGCTGCCTGGTCGGTCTCTGGTATCTACAGTAAGGCACTAAAGTATTGCCACAGCTAAGATTTTTCCATTTTTAAACTGGAAGTTTATTCCTTAAAAACGTTACATTTAATTTAAACTAACTACAAAGTCAACAAAAGAATTGACACTTCTTAACAATAAACTACATTTTAAAGTAATAATGCCAATCTTGATTTAAAAAAAAAAATTCGGTTCTCCAAAATTATAAATTTTTTAGATAAAACTTATATTGATTAAGGGAAGAGAATCGGATGTGCAAATATTTTTTGCCGCCACTGTACGTATGAGTACATACGAGCGTGTGTGAGCGAGTCAGCTGTCGACCGAGGCAGCGCATATCGCAGTCGCAGTGTACGAAAATAAACGCTGGCGCAAGCAGAATAGCTGTGGTGCGAGCGAGACAACTACTGCGACGCGACGGCAAAGTACAGCAACTTCAAAAATATCGACTGAGCACACTGCCACAGACGTCTTCACACCGACAGAGCGGGCAGGAGCGCAGTTAAAGAGCCCAAAGGGCCCAGAATGTAAAAAAAATAAAACATGTAACTTGGCAAAACGTAATATTTCTTGATGCAAACTGCGTACGATCTTGAAAACTTAGACACTCTAAAACAAATTTGTTGATTTCTGTACATTTTTTAACGAAAAATAATTTTAACAAATTGTATTTGATAATGAAACCGGTTATGACTTGGACACCAACCTCTTCATACCGAATTCGGCCCTGTAATTTCCCAACCATCAGCCAGCTACTGCGTCGCGTCGCCGTTCACTTTTGCGTCGTTTTCTGTCGTCGTCGACTGACTCGTCCGTCCCGTCCCTCACACTCTGCTCCCCTTACAGAATTAATCAATTGGCTGGTTGGGGCACGGACTGGCGACTGAAGACAGAAAGCTGGAAACCCGTAGCCAAAAACCAACCGAATTTCACTTACCAGGCACACCGAGCGTTTCGGCGATTTGTTTCCAGGTCTGGGCCTTGCGCACAAAGTGCTTATAATTGTAGTGCGACCTGTCGTATATCACTGGGTTCAGCTTGACAGCCTCGATGAGATTGAGATCAAACTGCTGCTCAAGATTGGCATCCAGCTTATCCATCTCAATGGCCGCGGTGAGGGTGTGCACTGGACGAGACGGGGCAAGGAAACGGAAACAAGAGTTAATTTAGCGAGAAACGAAACGGGATGAGAACTGGATCCCAACACCCAACACCAGAGTGGGCACTTGGTCTTTCACTGGCCGACGACCACTCACTTTGCTTCTTTCGTTTGCTAATTGTTGTTAAGTATTTGGCGCGAACGCACGTTCTGTTTGTTTTTATTTTGATTGGTTTCTTCTGCGAGGAAGGAAGGTCGACGTTTAATTTTATTTCTCTGTCGCGTCTCTGCCAACGGTACGTCTCAGCTCAGTCGCGTCTCTGCCAATGGAAGGTCTGCTCGCGGGTTTTAGCCAACACTACCGTAACAATCGATACTAATCGATGACATTAACACTCACGAGGAGCATTTTTGCCGAGCACGGTCACTCTCGGCTAGAGAGAGCCAATTAGAAAATTTATTGGGCAATAATTTTTATTTTACCGCTATAACCCCTTTTTAATAATCTTACAAACGTAAGAATCAAACAACAATCATGCACTTTTATTTTTCAATTATATATTTTGGTATATTTGCAAAGGGTAGTTGGTATATTATAACGGCCTGTGTGCGGCCACACTCTTTCTGATTGGACAAAATGGAGGAACTGGCCGCGAATCGAAACTGGACAGATGAGGAGCGCCTTGAGCTAGCGGCCCAGCTAGACGCGGAACTAGATGCTTTTATCGATGGCCTGGAGAAAAAACGCTATGAGGAAGGCTGGCCGGAGGACCGGTGGCAAGAGGAAATGGACAAGCATCCGTTCTTCATGAAACGTGCTCCTCAGCCAGGTGACGACGTACATCCGATGTTTGAGGGCCTGCAGAAGCTTAAGTACGATCCGGAGGAGAATACTCGTGACGAATTGGCACTTAATTATAAGGAAGATGGCAACTTCTATATGAAGCACAAGAAGTTCCGCATGGCCATTTACAGCTTCACCGAGGGCATCAAATCCAAGACGGAGAATCCCGATGTGCTGGCAGTCCTCTACAACAATCGCTCAGCCGCCCACTTCTTTATAAAGAACTTCAGATCTTCTCTGAGCGACGCCCAGAGAGCCCTTTTTTTTAAACCAGACTACACTAAAGCCCGCTGGAGGTCGGCGCAGTGCGCCTACGAGCTAGAAAGGTTTGACGTTTGCACTCAGATGTGCGAGGAGCTGCTCGAGGTGGACCTAGACCACAAAGAGGCCAATGCTTTGCTGCACAAGAACAAAATGAAGAAGGTGAGATCGAGTAATCTGATTAAATGTGAATCTGTCTAATCCGCTGTACTCCCACAGCTAGAGATAGAGCGAAATCAACGCAAGGAGGCTGCTGAAGCTAAGCGTCGTCTTAACCGCTTTCACAGATTGAGTGATGCCATTGAGCAAAGGGCCATAAAGTTCGACGATCAAAAGATCGGAAAAAAGGTCGATTTGAGCGAGGAGTTTCTCCGTCCAAAATTTTTGCCACTGGAGGACCATCCAGTGCATCTGGACGAAGACGGCAGCACGCTAATCTGGCCGGCTGCATTCTCGTATCCGGAGTTCCTTTTTAGCGACTTCCAGCAGCAACTGCCGGAGACGGCTACCATGCGGGATTGCTTGTCGACCCTGTTTGCAGAACCACTGCCCTGCGACAAGACTCAGAGCTACCGCCAGGGTAATGTTCATGTGTACTACGAGAACCGTAAAGCAGGATGCGTTCACAGGGTGACCGAGGAAAAGCAGCTTGCCGAGATTATCGCTGAGAAGGGATTCTTTGTTTCCGGAGGAGCTCTCCTATTCTATGTGGTTCCCAAGGATTCACGAGTGGAACAGGAGTTTATAAACCAACAGCGACGACCCATGGTTTACAGTTGAGATAGCGTGGAAATAAAGATCGGTTTTAAAACACATAGTACTTTCTGATGGTTGTAAAATTTATTTCAGTTGCTGCAATCATTTATTTTTAAGCTTAAGTTTTAGTCACGGTACAGTTGAGCTTTGGTTATGCTATCTAGAAGCATTTTATGGTAGGATTAACTAATTTTTGATATGTTATGCAAAGCCAAAAAGCGTAGTGTCAATCTTGCACCGTGCTGAAATATCAGAAGCAGCGCAAGATCCTCCTGGTTTATTATGATCGTAATATATAGAATAAAAACTTGTTTAGCTAAATTTAGTTTCTTTTCAACAATCAGGCGCCTAAATGAGTCAACAATATGGGTTAAATTTAATTTGTATAAAAGCGTTTTGTGTAAATTTCCATAATTGAGCATATTCATATGTATAAATTGTAGACATTCATCGTTAGTTCACAACAGTAATACTAGAGAGGCCCCTCAAATGGAGCCAGATATGATTCGTTTTTATACCTTTGACAAAGCAAGATCAACCTATAAGGCTTAATACTAAGTGCATCGTGGGGAAGCGTATTACATACTCGGATAACATAATAATAAGCTGATGACATCAACTTGTCCAATTAACACAAGAAAGATGGGCAGATCACATTCACAAGAACCTACAACATAAAAAGCGAAATTCATAAAAAGCAGCATGTTTCCACAGTGAAGTGTTTAACATTGATACATAATTTGTGGAAATGCCCGCTACTGTTGGGGCGACGAAGGATTTCTCTGCAGGACATTGTTAAGCCTCATCTTCAGTGGTGAAAAGTCAATTTTCTTGAAGCGTGGCAGCGAGGCAAATTTCCTCATGCTTCCTCCAGAGGGCTGCAACTCATTAGACGTGGCCACGGATTGGATCATTGGCTCTGGATGAGATGCGGCTGGCTTAGTCTTGCTCGGGGATTGTCCAAATTTAGCCAGTGTGGCGTACTTTTGCAATAGACGAGCGGCTTGCTCCGCAGCCTGATAGCGATCCTCGCACTCCTTTTCCAATTTTGGTGACACTGAACATCCGTTTGATGCTACAAGAGCCGTCGCCTTTGCTTGACCAGAATTCTCGGTTACTTGGCCGTCGTCAAACTTAAAGTCGATGTTCTTTAGCATGGTTAAGTGTAGTAGTTCGTCATCCACTCCTTCATTGTTATTGTTGTTATTATTTTGGTGGATGTTGTTACTATTAGTGCTATTTGGGCGCTTGACAGGATGGGTGACGGCATAAACGCTATCCGAGATTTTGTGAGCGGCAGTCTTTTTTGTTGAGATTTTTGTTTTGGTTGATGATGATGAGATTGAGGACGCTTTGTGACGCTGTTCAATGATTTGCTGGGGCGATGAAATGTATAGGTTTTCTTTTCGCTCCCTTCGCAGCTTAGAGCTAACCAAGTGTTTGAGACTGGGTCCATGTTCGGTGGGACTGCGTCGCTTTGACTTGAGGGTGTCGCAGCTGTTGGGATAGTAGGAGGGTATCTTGTCGTCCACACTAATGATCGACTTTCTTGGTGTCTGGTAGTAGTTCTCCTCATCAGGCTTCTGCTGACAAGTTTTCTCCTTGGGTGTTCCCTTTTGGGGCAAAGCTGGCGCTAAGGGAGATTCGGTGGGTGTACTGGTGCTAAGTCCAAAACCAAGTGGTTGCGCCTCTAGCTCCTGTGCGGCCTTGATAGCTAACAAATTCTCATAGAGATGTTCCGCAAATCCAGCTGCAGCCGCTCCGACGGTACTGTTTAAAGAGCTTCCGTGCATTGCTTCGTAAATGTCACTCTCGTTGGCCATTTGGGTTTTGGTGGGCTGGTCCTCCGTGTTGCAGCTACTGGTGGAGGAGCAGTATGAGCCCGTAGAATAGCCAGACGAAGTGGAAACCGTGCTGCCGCCTGGCTGTGGTGGCAGCTCCTTCACCACCGCCTTTAAAATGGGCGCCATTACACAATATCCCGTTAGATCGTCCTCCAATATCTTGTTTTTCTTTATCAGATTGCTCTGCGGAACAGCTCCATGCGATCCGATGAGATTGATAGTGGACGTGTTACAAGCGGAAAAGTTGAAATTGTACGGCAGTTGCTCGGAAACGTTCAGGCTCTCCAAAGAGTCGGCCTTGCTGAGTTGGCTAGTTATCTGGGCCACAATCTGATTTCGGGAGATCGGTTCAATGACCGACTCATCCAAACTTATGTTCAGCTCCAGACTCGATTCGTGGTTCTGTGCTCCGAAATATTCACCAAAAGCATCTAGAAAATTTAGTTTGGAGAGGTCCGGACTTGAGAAGCTGTTGCGTTGGGACTTGCTCAACTGGGATGTACGCTTTACCGGAAGCACTGGCTCTGGAGTCGGAGCATTCTCGTAGAGCGGTAATACTTCCTCATTTGGTTCGTGAACGAGCTCGCTGGTGCTACCAGAACGCTTTTGACGGGCTCCACCAAACAGGTTGTCCAACATGTTTTTGTACTTCTTTTTCTTGGCTAACTCCGACTCGGGATTGGTGCTGGAACGTGGAATGTCACCCAGTTGGGCGCATTCAAAGGTATTGATACGCTGGCGGTGAGGATGTATGGGAAGTGGCGGCGGCGAGGGTGTCTCCATAACCGATGGCTTCATCTCCTCGTAGATTCCCGAGGCGATGGACACACGGGAAATGCGGCTGCCGTCGAAAATCTCTTCGTAGATCTGGGAAACGCGCGGCGATAGAGGGCCTGCGTCTGACGTTTCTGGCAAATTGGGCAGCGGGCCCAGAGCCCCAGGGCCCCTGCTTAGACGACGCTGCTCAAGGAATACCTGCCGGTAGAGCTCCAAGTTCTTTATCGATTTTCGCATCCACTTCATATGCCGTCGACAGGAGATCTCCGTCTCCAGAGCGAAGTATATGAAACAGTCGCGTCGGTTCTGCGTCCAGAACAGCCCGTAGGAGTGCTGCTTTGTGCGCGAGGTGGCTAAACTCAGGCTGACACCCGGAACGTTAACGGAGACAATAATGGGTTTGGCGGGATGTAAGTCGTGGGACTCCGTCTCTTGAGCTTGAAAACTGAGCCGCAGAAAGCAGGGCACACACTTGATGGCCTCGATTTTCACCTGGCACCGAGTCCACGTCTTGTAGCGTAATGCCACTGGACGCTTGTCGTGTGTATCCAACTTGACATCCATGGTCATGGAGATCTCGTTATGGTCCATCTTGAGGCGACTATTTTTTGGTGACGAGGGTGGAAGTGCGGTGGATGAGTTGCGAGTGAAAAATAAAAAAATGTTAACTATATTTTTTCGCTACTTCGAGAATTACATGTTTTCTGTGACTGGGTGGAGCTCTTATCGGCTATTCTTTTATCGCCCTTCTATCCTTCGTGTCCTCGTCACGTGACCAAGGCTGCCACCTAGTAAAACTATCGCACCAATTGACTTTTTTAATATAATTTTATATTGAATTAAATTTTTAAACAAATGTAAATGTTCAAATGTAGAAATTACTGTTATTTAAATATATATATAACAAAAATACATACATAATAATATTAGTTAACAGAATTTGAATAATTTTACTGAAACATATTTTCACTTCTTGTTTTTGAATAATTGGAAAATATTTTTTAATTCATTTTAGTTTAGTATACATTTGTTTCTATTGAACAATTACATAACAGGAGGGAATGTAGTAGTCGCGGCGATTATGAGATTCCAATCATGTTAAACGTTTTTTTAAATTAATGCAATTTAAACAGAAAACACGATATTTAATTTTTATAGAGCCATCTGTTGATAAGGCCTTGCACTACGATATGTTGTTGAACCGACGGTGGTATACTTTTAGGTATGATAAAAAGCCAATATACAATATAGTGATATATAGTTTAGTAAAAAAAACTCTTTAAATTGATTACTTAATTTTAAGAATTTTTTAGACAGTAGAGCCATATTTTTTTCTATATTAAATAGAATGATGCTCTTCTTTTTCTGGTTTTACCTTTAAAAATGTTAAAAATGTGAAGTTTTTTTTATAATTATTGCTTTATTAGAAAAAAATTCTTATATAATTTTAATATTTTTGGTTACAATAATCGAGCCTGCAGCAATTTTGTACTGTTTTATTAAGAAAAACATGCTTTAGTCATGTAGTACCTTGAAACGAATACTTTATTGACTAACTGTATGTAGTTATACCCTTACCACAAACTCCAATTAATCTTTCCCGATTACAAACACTTCCAGCTACTGAAATGTAATGAAGTTATGTTAGATCATCTTTACAAAGAATGAAGTTGTAAAGTCTTTCATGTGTAAAATTTAAATTGTAGCATTCGAACAAGGTTACAAAAAACCTAGCAAGCTGCTGGCAAGACAAAGGTCAACTCCGATCTGGAAAGGTTGCAGGTAGACCAGGTAGCAGATGCTGCAGTATAAACATCTTCCCTTAAATCTGTCTAACATTCATGTTAGCCTGTTTGTCTTGCAGATGTTTGTTACGCTTCTTTGATTTTCGTGCAGAAAGTAAAATTTTCCTTGGAAAAACTAAATCTAAAATGGGTCGCCCTTAGATTTTTGTAATCAGTGCGGTGGGTGCTAAACTCTCCTGCTGCGATCGTCGGTCTGACAAACTTGGTAACCTGTTCCCTGGATACACACGAGTGCGCTTCAGTGATTTTTCCCATCATTGAACGATGATGCCTTCATGCCTTTGGGCACATTTCTTCTCCAGGCTGAGACTGGCCTCCTTGATATTGCTGTGAACCTGTTCGAAAATTATGCATCGATGCGCATCAGTGGCAATCATGGCAAGATAATAATGGGATGCTGCTGGATGATGAGCTTGTTGTTGTTGTTGGTAATAATAAATGTGCCGACAGAGAGAGGGTAGCTCAGATGAAGTTTCAGTCCAGATGAAGCTGTGCTAACAATTCTGTTCACCTGTTCGTTTGCTACACTTTATGCATGCTTCGGCAGTTTTCTAATTATGATTTATGATCTCTGGGATTAGACAAACAATGGGCGAGGTGTTCCCAAGATGCTACACATCAATTGACCTTTGCTGACTCTCTCACGATCTGTTTGCGGTTGAGCTGGAGGGCACATGATCACCGCAAATCCCCTGAAGCCTAAACAGCCAAAGGCTTAAATCTGTATCATTCGAATGGGAGAACAGAAAAGAACAGAACAGTCTTTTATCTTGTCTTGTCTTCGGGCAGGTAAACCAAGTATCTGGCTGGTCCCTTATTCCTGGCCTCAATCTCAGCCGCCCAGAGATGCTGCTGCCCTGATCGTGAGGTTCGGCTTGATTGCACTTTAAACCACAGGCGGTGTTGCCGCAAGGCAAATGCTTTCAAGTTCCTGGAAGTGGAAACACAACAAAAGGCTGGTTATGATGAATGGGTTTTGTGTTTGTTTTGCTAATTGATTTGGAACAGGACAGCAGCAAGGCTAAGCAAGCAGTTAAAGAACTCTGAACGTTAACTTCCTATTCTTTACTGAAACTCCATTGTAGTATTTTTCTTCCTTAGCCCTACATTAGGAAAAAAAAAACCTATAATTGAAAACGATTGAGCTTCCTGTTTATTTTAATACGGCGTGAAATTGGAACAGGCTGGCAGGGAATGTAGTCAGCCAACACAACCTCTTCACACTCGAATGGTTCTTCTTAGCCCAATAATGGCTGGCTATTGTAATTCGATGCGTGTCGAAGACCATTATGAGGGTCTTCCACAGCCATCATTTCTTAGACCCACACGATGCCCCGGCCTTCTCACATCGCTGTGAGCCTATTCAAAAACATGAAATTATCGTGACAAACATCAGGGTTCATTAAGTCGTTTAAACATATTTACCACACACAATGGATCGTTGCCACGATCATGTTTCATGTCGTTGCATATACTCGTATATAGAGAGTGTCAGGGAGGGCGTTTCCACTTAAGAGACCCCTATAATTTTCCAGTTGATAATCTTGGCTGATGATCGCTAATTGGCTGTCAAAGTGACAGGAACGCAGGGAAGCCAAGCAAGCAACTGGTGAAGTTGTGGAATGTTTCCCGACATTTCTTTGGCTTTGCCATAAACTGTGGCACGTGCCACACTTTCTTAGGGTCTTCGGACTCCTTTTGTCTGAAATTTGATGCTTGTAAATGTCTTGAAGGTGAACAGGCAAACAGAGTTTTCCGAACGACGACAAGATGTTTTCGGAACTCATGTTTCTTTGGAGTTTTTTGAGGTTCTTTTGCCGTTGGTGGTTGAAGTTGAATTTGATTTTTTTGGGTTGGAAAGAGGGGGAAATGATTGCAGGCCTTGTGCGTAATTGAATTACTTAATGATGCGGTTGAATTGGGGTTATCTTGAGTTTATTTTGGGATTTTTCTCAGGAGAATATTTGAATACAAAAGGGAAACGGGAATCTTTTAGAAATTGGTTTACATTGGAAAAGTTTGTGGTAAAAATAGATGAAGGAATCGCAGCATTTTTTAATAATTTATAAACAAATTATATACATACGAGGTGTGTTCAAAAAGTAAGGTGACTCTTCAAATTTCGCGAATTTCAAATTTTTCGATTATCGAAACCTTTTAGAAGTTATACGAGGTGTGTTCAAAAAGTAAGGTGACTTTTCAAATTTCAAATTTTTCAAATTTTTCGATTATCTTCAGTTTTGGGAACAAGAAAAAGTCACATGGGGCCAAATCCGGTGAATATGGTGGCTGAGGCATTATTGTGGTGTTGTTTTTGGCCAAAAAATCCAAATCCTTTGATCCATATTTTTCGATAGCAAAAAATCGCCGAGCTCGCAAAACAACTTGTAACTTTACGCCTCTCACAACCAAACAAAAGAGGATGTTCCATTGAAACTTGGTACAGATGTTAGGGAAGAGTGTACCAATATAACAAAACAAAAAAATCGATAATCGAAAAATTTGAAATTCGCGAAATTTGAAGAGTCACCTTACTTTTTGAACACACCTCGTATATTATCATATATATATATATTATCATTATAAATAAATATTAATTTTATTGTTACTCATTATTAACCCATAAATAGTTCTTAATGTATGTAATCTTAAATATTGACTTAAAAACATGCAATTATGAATATAATTTCAAGTGTATCAAAGTTCGCACGAAAACACTTGTACTACTTCACCTTAGTCGCATCTTTACACTTTACCAGCTGAACCTTTACAGTCTTTCTGTTTTCCTGGTCGAGATCTTCGCTTGAGCATAAAAAGTTCTCACGACCATTCTGCCGGCGAGATGAACATTCATTCTTGTAACGGATAATGGCCAAGAATTTCCCACACGATGTTGACACAGCGAACCGCGACCAGCAGACAGCAAACATCGACGTTAAAGCCCTCCACAAACACACACCTAAAAAAACCAAAATAAACGAATAAAAAACAAATTCCACAGAGTCCACATCCGTTTAACGTAACGATCGAGGATCTCGTTAAGAGAACCAACAACAAAGTGATAGAGAGGGGAGGAGTAGCCGTATCTGGAAAGTGGATGTGGCCTTCCGATGCTTCTGCTCTCCTGGTCCCTTTTCCAATATTTCGATTCGTAGTTCTCACGCGAGCACATGCCAAAACGAGAAAGGGAAAACAATTAACAACTAATTTAAGCCTCTGCATATGTAATTTAAGAGAGAGAGAGTCAGAGGGGGTGTCGAGGGAGATGCCCTATCTGCAGGAGCTGTGGGAAAAAATACGTTACATTCCATTCCTGCCGTCGGTTAGGCATTTATTCCCACGCGATCCTCAACTCTCGTTTTTTTCGGTTTTTTGGGTTTCGCTTTCATGTGATACCTAGTAGCTGCAAGTTAAAGGGGTAGATTGGTTCATAGGTTTGTATATGATATTATTATATATATTTAAATATTATTGATAAGTTATTTACATATTATTTTAAGGTATATTTTTATAAAAACTTTTGAAAATTTTATTTTTAAAAAAAGCAATAAAAGAAGTACAATTTATATATATTAAAAATATGAAACAAATTATTTATTTTTAAATATATAAATTACCTTATTATAATTTTTAAATATTTTTTTTCAAGTGACATTTACAACCTAGGTAACCGCAAGTCGACTATCTCTACCAAAACGTTCTTTCATGTTATTTTCGTTGCTCTTCGTTCACACGATCTGTGCGTAAAAACTGAGAAATTCGAGAGATGGGAAAGGCAGGGATGCCGACTCTCTTTCCTGGTCGCCTGGTGCAAGATCAACAAAAATCGATTGAAATTCTCACGCTTGCGGCAAGGAATTTTACCTGCGGCGAAAGGATTACGCCCACATTAGCTGGAAGATCTTCAACTCGAAGTTTTTTTGCTTTTAGGTCTTGAAAAGATATTTTCT